CGGAGGAACTTCCAGAAACTCAGAGGAATGGAGGATCGGATGAGTGGATGAGCAGAGGAGCGGAGGAGCGGAGGAGCGGAGGAGCGGAGGAGTGGAGGAGCGGAGCTCCGGCCTAGGGAATTTCTCCCTAGGCCTGAGATGGATGATTACTAAGTCGGAGGAATAGAACTGTTACGAGGACTTAGTGTGAAGACTAGTGTGAGGACTAATATGTGTATGATATTCAGACTGAGGAAATACAGGAGTATCTACTGGGGTTTATATACTAGAGGCAAGTCTGTGCAGATCAGTAAGCAGAGGGGTAAGGCTATGTACGAGCATGTGGAAATGTATTAGAAAATAAGACGGATCATAGGAAATGAACTCGGAGATGAAATGAGGTACGGAAAATGAGGAAGTCTAACTCAAGAAGGAACATACAAAGGGATAAGGCACGGAAGATACACGCGGGTCGGATCCGGATGTCCGGAGATGAATGCGTGATAGGTCTGGGTCTGGAATGCAAGGAAGATAGACGTGGGTCGGGTCCGGATGTTCGGAAGTCCGGAGACAGGTGATTACCATAAGGGGATGGGCGCTGATTTAAGGTTTGGGTTTGGACATGACAGATAGGTCGGATCCGGAGATCCGGAGATGTGGATATCAGATCTGGCATCCGGATATCAGATGCAGGAGTACAGGGATCCGGACGGATAGAGGATTGGGTCTGGAGACATGGACAGGAGGTCCGGAGGTCCGGATGAGGCGTGGGAACGTCGTCGGATGTTGGTCCGGAATGCGGGATATGACATGTCCTCCACATACATTTGAGCTATGTCAGCATTCACTGACGTGCACCAGGCGTGTGCACTAAGCACTGGTGGCTGCTGGGATCAGGTGGGGGCAGGTACACCTGCCACAGGTATGTACCCACATCCATACCCATACCTGTAGATACAGGTATGGGTATGGATTGACATCGGGACACCTGGGTTTACCCATGTGGATTCCTAATCACAACATGACCTGGTTGCACTGTGCAAGTATCACAGTTATGTAATCAAGATCAGTCACCAACTTCTGTATCATTCTTCTAACCAACCATGACCAAGCTGAATTAGCTGCAGCCTGATGTCGGACAATCCCCCTCTTACTATTTTATCTAGCCCAAACTATGGTGAGTCTCATCTTCAGATATCCAACATACCTAACCAGAATTTGAACTTTGAAGGCTTAGAGGTGCAATTCAGTCTCAAAGCAACATGAGGCTACAGAGTGCTGGCTTGCAAAGCCAGGGTGGGTTGAAGTCAGTTCATCGAGAATCCTGCTTACCTACCATCACAGAGTTTGAGATATACAAAACACAAAGGCATATGCTCGAATGGCACAGTCAGTATGTTCAATGTCTCACTCTTTGGTGCTGGCACTCAACAATTTCTAGCAAGCAGGCAGGGTAAGTGAGATTGTCTCCATGTACTATTATATGATATTCTTGCTAATCATTAAGCCTGTGCTCAACTCTCGCGATGTCACTCCCGAACTCAACAATCCTATACTTACCATGGACAACATTATCCTTTGTTTATGTGATATTCAAACCCTGCAAGCCATTGAGACAATGGTAAGCCATTGGCAAAAGGAGTGGACATCTGAAGCTACTTGGAACAAGGTATATGAAGAAGTGTTTGCACATGCACAGCAAAAGGAGGAACAAGCAACAACTGATTTTATTGATGAGTGTGGTCTTCATATTTGGGAGGGGAGGGTGATTCTCGACAGTATTCAAGAAGTCATGCATACTAGTTGTCTGTATTGCAGGGAGCGACTTAAATATGATATTGTTTTGTTACATAATTTACTTATTTGTGTCTCTGCTGAAGTCAAATTCTTTGAAGTTGACATATATTACAGTACAAAGTGAAGTACTAGCAATACACAATGAATCCTTTGAGCACATCAATCAATCAAGTGTATTGAATTACTCCTAAATCCGACAACTTAGTATTCAAGATTACATCGAACATAAGCAAACCAGCCATGATATTGTGTATTGCTAGTACTTTACTTTGTACTGTAATATATGTCAACTTCAAAGAATTTGACTTCAGCAGTGTATATGATAGTGAACATGACAAATGCATAGTAGACAGTTAACAAATATAACAAAGTACAATACAATGAATCCTTCGAGCACATATCATGATTAGGTGTATTGAATCACTTCTGAGTCTGTGTCATATCCCGTATTCCGGACCTACATCCGACAATATTCCCACGCCTCATCCGGACCTTCGGACACCCTATTCATGTCTCCAGTCCTCTATCCATCCGGATCCCTGCACCCCTGCACATCCACATCCACATCCACATACATTTACCTCCATACCTCAATCCACGCGTCTCATCCGGATGTCCGGTCCGGTCCGGTCCGGTCCGATCCGATATACGATAAGCTTCCTAATTCAATTCCTGTGCATATAACGTTAACACAGCCTATTCCTCTATTCGGTATTCCTTGTCCTCGGTATCTCGGTTATACTTACTACCGGTATGCTTACTGATCCGTTAACCTATGCTTCATTTCCGACTCGTGCTTGATAACTTTGCTTATGCTTCATACATAGCCTCGGACACTTGCTTACTGATCTTTCCGTTATTTCCTTAGTATATAAACTCTTGTATATGTCCTGTAGTTCCTCAGTCTGAATATCATATTAGTCCTCGCACTAGATCTCACTCTAAGTCCTCACATCAGTTCTAGTCTATCGACTTAGTCAATATCCATCTCGGGCCTAGGGAGAAATTCCCTAGGCCAGAGCTCCGCTTATCCGCTCATCCGATCCTCCGAAGTTTCCGGACGTTCGTCCGAAACTTTCCCGCGGTCCTCCGGACCTATTCTGCTTCGGACTTTGTCCTTGCAGCCTTTCCTCTGTTTGCTTCTACTTAGGACTTGTCATAAGTAGCCATTACACGTATCCGTATCAGGACGAAACCTCATCGTAATTTCCGGAAGTTCCTCCGGAACTTTCCCGCACTCGTCCGGAAGTTACTTGCACTCGTCCGGAAAGTCCTTCCGAACTTTCCCGCGCTTCGGACGTCCTTCGGACATCCTTGGACTTTCTTCGGACATCATTCTGAAATTAAGGGCACATACTCGGGTAAGGGGCGCAGCGCACGAGCTGAAGCCAAGCCCCTCGGAATCAGTCCTACCCTTTGTGCACGGTCTTAACAGTCTGATAACTTAATGTTCAAGCTCACATGTCAAATATAAGTGGCCCAAAATGATGGCAAACAATAGCAAACCTCTTGTAAATTCATATCAAATGACTAGTGAAATTGTATCAAACTTTTAGTGAACATATTGGTATCCATAGAATTACAAACCTTTGGAGAATTCCTAATGAGCTATCTGTTTCTAAGGTTTATGTCTGTTATATTGCAGGGGTCTGGATATGCTATGAGTGCTACTAGGGATCTACTTGCAACTAGGATTGTATATTACAATGAAACATGTGACACTCTTAGTAGAGCTATGCCTTACAATGATGCACTTTTGATATGATTCGTTAAATCACCAAGTTTCATCACAACAGCATTTGTATTACAAGAATAACTATGTAGAACTCAACATGCACATTCTGTTACCTGATGATCATTTACAAGCTACAAGGTACTATGAACAAAGAGAACTATAAAGGTATCTATATTCCACAGCAGCTCATGGTATCCAACAAGTCCTCCACCTGTGACCATAGGTCATCTGATGTAGTGGACAAAGTAGGTGAAGGCAGAGATGGCCAGAAAGGCCTGCCAGGGATCAGGACCGCTTAAACTCTTTCTTCATTATATTTTGTGGTGTATACTTCAAGCGCTTTCTGGAATGAAGGATACAACTTCTGAATATTGCTGCTAATGAAATTAGTTTATTCAGCAACTTCTGCTCTTAAACAATAGTCAGTTATATTTGAGGTGAAATAGTGAGAATACTTACCAGTAGTAGAAGATTCCAACTTCTTGTCTGACTGTAATTACCCAGAAACCTTCCAGTTCAAGACCACCACATGGTACTTGGACCTTGCTTGGTGCAGGGACCATAATACTATTGAAGGGAAGCTGTGCAACTGGAACAGAAGGAGGTGTGATCATGGAAAATCGTGTTTGCAATGGGAAAGGGCTTTAGGGCAGTAAAGAGCTCACTGAAGTTGTTTGATTGGGGCAAGAACCATTAGTGAGGTACAAAGTGTGGTGGTATGAACTGAACAATATGATCAACTCATTGACAGTCTTCTGCCTCCAAGTGACAGTATCTGAGGATGAACCTGTACTCTAAGTTGAGTATTAGTATGTAGCTAACTTTGAACGAGACATTTACATACCTGATAGTGTCATGCCTTCAAGTAAAATATGCAAGTCCTGGATATGATTATTGTGGGAGTTAGTAGAAGATGAGGGACAGTGTGAGGACATCTTGAAGGAATACTTGATGCTGATAGTAGAAGGCGGGAGAGAGATGAAGGCTTGCAGGCATAGTATTGATTAGTCATTCAGTATGGCTGTTCTTGGCCTAGTGAAAATGTGTACTTCTGTATCATACCTGCAAAAAATGCCAAAATACGACACTGTGCAAGTTCACAGCAAGCTCTCCTTGTGTTCTATTCGACATGTAGGATCATCACAAGATAAGCATGATCTGCCTGTCAGCCACACATTGAAGGTGTTGAAGCATAGAGCATTGGTTCAACAGGCAGCTACTTGCAAAGAGCAATAAGAAATCTGTTTAAAAGGCAAATCTCAGTATATTTACAAGTAGTATGAAATGAGAATACTAACATTATGTAGGGCAATGATGGCTGATGAGCAATGAGCTCTTGAAAGACTTAGAGTCAGCCCTACTTTTATCTCTGGAATTGAGGAAGACTCAGACAATATCAGTTTCAGTGGGATCTGGAGTGGCTCTAATTCACTCCCCATCAGTCATGCTGGTGGGGAGTTTGATGATCTAGCAAGAGAAGTTCTCAGTGATGTCTGGAGAGTATGCATTTCAGCATTACTGGTCAGTTAGTTACTGACACATAGTATAGATAGGACAATTTTCATGGTGTTTGGCAAGTTAATAATCACACGTGTTGGGACCATGTTCTTCAAAGGAATATTGCCTTCAGTGAGCAGATCCCAGCTGTGAGTGAAGCTTACCTTGTGTGGTGCCTAGAAAAGTCAGTAATGGGCTTCTAGAGTTTCTTTGATCGATTGCACAGTGAAGAGACTAGTACTAGTAATAAAGTCTGCAACAAATGATCAATGACTGTAGTTGATGTGTTTTGTGAATGATGATTGATTATTAATCGGTGGCTTCAATGTTTGCTTACTCATTGATTTTTTAGCTACTGAGAAAGTTATATCATCAAAGGACTGCACCATCACATCTGCACTTGTACATCAAGGCATTTTACCTTGCTTTCCAATATTACTCATAGTGGGCATAACCATCGAAGCCCTTGAAATATATTGTGTGGCACACCTCCGGTGTCCCCATCTATCCATCCAGGTATTTGTAAAAACAATGTGCGACTTTCATGGGGTATGTTTCTCATTTGTTCAGACTTTCTACTCAGTGCTTAATACATGCAGGCCAAATTTCACGGACATTTATCATGCTAGTTTTCTATTGCATGTGACTTATACCTCCAAATTAGATAGAGCATAGATGCAATGGTAATGGAATCAACTCGCCCCACTGGCGCCTTTGACATTCTTGTTCATGTGCACCTACATGCTGATGAATGAAGAAGATTTAACCTTTGCAATGCTCTATGCCATGGACAGCAATGATTCCCTGAAGTGAGTCCTTCAACAATCTTTCAACAACAAAGATGACACTCTCGGTGCATCTTCAGAAGTTCCTACCAGCCAGTTACTCACCAGCAGCTGTTACTTGTCTTGCAACTTTGTGGACAAGTTTTCACAGGACTTAGTGAGCATTTCAAGTGACAAGGTAAGTACTTAACAAAACTTAGGTAGCAATAACTGAATGTCTATTAGAATACACCTGCAGATGATTCATGCAAAGGCCGTTGGAGCAATATGGATGATATAAAGACAAAGAGATCTTGGGGGATCTACAATAGAACAGGTATCTTCGTGGCCATCTACTGCCATGGTTTTTGTCTACTTATTGTAGACATGGTGCAGAGTGGGGAACTGTGAGTCGTATATTCTGTCTACTTTTTCTATTCATAATAGATGTTCTTACAGTGCAAAATACCCTTTAGTAGTTGTTGCCAAGTTACTTGACATGTTTGGTAGCAATTTGGGGGGCAGGTATGATATTGAATGTCAGTTTCAGACTACACTCGACAATAGCTCCCTCAGACCTCTTGCACACTCACTACATCACACTTGTCTTGTTGGTGCATTCCATGGACATGCTCACAGATGCTTATGTCAGCTCATTTCACTGACAATGTACATCAAAGGTCTTGGAATCAAGGACTTGGAGACATGTGAACACACATTCTTCTCAAAGTCAAATTTTCTCCCCATTATGCCAGTGTATTTCATCATCAGCAGGTCATCAACTTGTATTTTGAACATAATAACAACTTCAAGGTATATGTGAATCTTTGTGAGTGTCTTTAATTTGAAAATGTGAACAATGGGTGACATAATGATTACACGGCTAGTGAACTTTTTATATAGTAACTATAGACAAGCTCTTGACATGTTGGTGAACAGTGTGTGCGAGGAATGATAACTAGATGAGAAGGGGTGAAAGGGGTAGAAAGGGAGAAGTGGGGTAAAACTTAAATAGACTTCTGGACACGAGTATAGTTTCGGCCCGAGGGGATTGCTACTGAGAATGATTCCCCTAAGTAAAAATATGAGGGGGAAACTTTGGAAACTAGTAAGTGGGGTTGAGAAGCAAGGGAATGTGAAAGCCAAAGCCGAGCCAATGTGAGGCGCTGGAGGTATGAAACAATGTGAAACCGTGTGGCCAAGAGTGCATTAGTGTGTGCAAGTGCATGGCCAAGTCGAAGGGTAAAGATGAGAAAGTTGCGAAATGCATGGACAAGTGGTAAAATCAACCAGGCGGCCACTAGAAATGTGTGCGCTGATATATGCCGAGGTTTTTGATCTTCAGTGCGGATGTTCAGTTTTGTGAGGACATATAAGGTGCATGGGTAGAATCTACCGTGGACTCGCGTAGAAAATTGGTAGACTCTGTTCAGATAACTCCGCCGAATCTACCGCAATCCACCGGAGTCTACCGCAGTCCACCCGAGTCTACAACGCCACGGGTAGAACGACCAAACAATGTTCTCGATCTGTATATCATACTCAACTGCTCCTCATCACCGTCATCGACGTCCCCCTCTGATGCCCTTCATGATGGGCATCGGTCAGCTACTTGCACCCCTCGATGAGTATGATCTCACTTTCCCTGACCTCATGGCCTTTGTTCGGCTTGCATGCATGGCGAAACCATTCATTCGCCAGTGCATGACTGACATCCGACATCCACCCATCCACCCTCCACAAGTTGTCATATCCCTTCTTGCTGGCGCACTCAGTCAAGACCCACCAACTATCCTCGCATGCTGGGTAGCATTCCGTCAGGTTATCTGGACTCACGGTGCAGTACTCCCAACTGACCAGGAGATTGAAGTATTTAACTGTCATGGACTTGTGCGTGGTATTGGTGCGTTGCTGTTCGTCTTTTCTCTTCTTTCACTGACATGTTTTAAACCTCGTAGGATATCATGACTTGTATCCACCAACACGTGTATGCCAGCGTCCCGAATGCGTGAACTACCGTGATGGTGATGAAGTAGCCACTCTCACGGATGTCAATACATTTCGTGCTAGCCTCTTTACACTACGAGATGGTTCTCTTCCAGTCCATTCAGTATCAACATATTGTCGATGTATGTTCTTTATCTTCTAGTAATGCATACTGACCATTTCATTCAGAATGTCATACCAGATATTACCCCAACTATTGGACTAACAACACCGACTTGACACGCATTTACTATGCTGGTGTTCCCAGCGTCATTCAGGCTGCGAGGCATTTCTATATTGAAGCTGCACTGTTGGAACTTTTTGCCGCAACGAAAGTCTTCGGATGGTATTGTCGTCTTTTTCTGATAATCATAATGCTAACCTTTTGTTCCACTTCCAGGATGTCTAGCATGAACTGTGCTCGCGTGTACAACTATGCACTTGCTCGACGGCATGCCTACATCTCGAACAATAGACGCGCTTTTGATGCTACACTTCCACAAGCTTTTGACGAGGAATTTTTATGGCAGTATACCCTTCGAATACGTGACACTGACGTCCTGAATGGTTTTTTTATCTACTCACTGCTACTGGAGAAGGCAGAGAATAACACTTGCCTTGTTCTCCCCCACGACGAGCATCAACGGATCCGAATTGATGTTGCGCTGAGTGAGCGCAACAAAGAAATGGAAGGTATTGGGCAGGAAGCATACCCGCATGCCTGTGACTTATGCTTCATCGTTATTGGTGATGACGACTCAAAATGTAAGTCAATTGTTTGTCAGATGCGCGGTGTCATGCTCAGATTGATTACATGCCATAGCGAAAATTCAAGCAGCTGTTTGTGATGGTAATACCATCGGGCACCCGTGTTGTGCAGTGCATGACTGCAAAGTCCCACTTATGACCAACCGTCATCGTTTCTGTCCTGACCATCAAGACTTGAACCAGTGGTGCACAGTTGATGGCTGTGACGAGGTCAATGCCTCTGGATTTCGAACATGTGCCAATGCGGACCACCAGGCTCTTGAAGATGCCTACTTCAAGCCCGCGAAAGCTCTCTTCCAGCTGCGAGCGCGGCTCAAGAGGGCTGGTGTTACCTTACCCTTGGACTCTGTTCCTTCATCCTTGGATAGTGGTAGTAGTAACCCTAACAGCGCAGATGAAGATCTCGAGGTGATTGTTGACTCCGAGTGTGACGGTAAGCCAGAGCACGGCAACAAACACCTCAGAGCAAGGTTTGGTCAGTGCCGCACCCATAACGAGCAACTTATTATGCGACCTTGTGGGGTGATATTAGCGCGGGCTACGTTTTTTGGGTCTGAGGCTGTCTCTGCTGTTAATGTGAGTTACACGCAGTCTTACTGATGTAAGCTAACATTTAAACTCAAGGAATTTGCAAAGGCGGTATTCCCTACTGCCGCATCAACACCTGAATACTTCATCTTTGACAACAACTGCAAGCTCCGCGCTCACCAAGACGCTATTGGTGATGACCACTTTGCTGCAACAGGGATGCCTGTTGATGTGTTTCATTTCAACTCGAAACACAAGGAAACTGACACCTACTGTCAGCAGCACTGCAACCCTGCCGCTTTCCCAGAGCTCATTTCCAGTGGCAAGTGGCGATTTAATACGTCAATTTGCGAACAGACGAACGTTTGGCTAGGCGGGTATCAGGCAATCCTGTGGGACATGTCTGTACACCGGTACAACTTTTATCTTGATGAAATGATTAAACGTCGGAACCGCTATGTTATCTCAGAGTCGGAGAGACGAGGGCATTCTCCTTGGATGATTTCCATGGACACTCTGTTTGGTAGTGACTAGTGCATTGACTCCGCCGGTGCTGTTTGCATTACATTGTCTAGATTGTTGTCATTTGTAATTCTATCTCTTATTGTATGTTTTTTGTCCTGTGTTTCAAATGAATGCCAGAGTTCATCACTTGGGGATCGCACCATTAGAGTGACGCTCTTCGCATTAGTGAGTTGTGTGGCTTTGTTTGGCATTTGCGAACAACAGTTCTTAGATTTCCTATTGGAGCTATGGTCGGGCGCAGAGGATATACAATCCTTACAAACACCTGGCGCTCATCAGCGCTGGCATCAGCAACGCAGTTATGACCGACCAACGCTCTGTAAGTGCCACATTCATCTTTTCATGTGTTTGATTGACTGCTTGTACAGGCCCTGGATTATCAGAATTCGCCTTTCTTGCAAGACGTGGGGATCACTGTATCTCCCGACCCTATTTTAGTCACTGGACGTGTCCTCCCCATGCCGAACATCCATTACAGCAATGCTGCCACTAGTAGACCGGTGGTAAGTCCAGGATGTCAGCATGCATGGGACGCAATGATTTGATTCTTGACCTACAGCAACCGCAAAATGGATCTTGGAATGTTATCAATCAGATCTTCCATGAGCCGAATATGGACATCACTCGAGGATCACACTATTCAGATGTCAAGTTTCATGTACATTTTGATGCCACCGTCACCATCCTGTCAGTTCACCACATTCTCGAGTTGAAATTATGACTAGCTACTTGTAGTTACTTTTTTTCAACATAAGAAGGTTGGATTTCGTGGATAATAAACAGAGTAGTTAGTCTACTAATTAAAAGGTGGTAAGGGTGGTAAGGCTTGATTATCTACGGGAGAAGGATCATTCAACCAGGTGCTAAATAGATCAAATTGGGGATAACTCGTAAAATCTAAAGGAAAATCTAAAGGAAATTCAGGATCAGTGGTAGCTGCAGTATTATTGTCCATTTTATCTATGTTCTGGAATAGTAATGCAAGAGCATCATTCATCTCGCTGGTTAGGTCAGTAGGGAGTGGCAATCTGGTGTCAGTGGTAGATGAGTTCATTGGTAGACTCGGAGGTGGGGTAGGACCTGAAGGACAAGGATTAGCCAACCACAGAAGTAGCAAATCAAATTATACATACACTTCGTGTCCGAGTTTGAGATGCTACCCAGGCCATTACTACCAGTAAGACTCGGAGCTGCATTAGCTTTGATTTTGGCCAAGAGAGTGTTCCACTGGCCGGCAGGGCTATATCCTGCATTGACAGCATGTTCAACCCTATCACTCGAATTCTCGATAGCTGCCCGATAAGCAGCGCGATGCTTATAAAAAGTTGCCTTGGCATAGGTGCAATTTGGAAATGTAGTAGCGAAGAGGGCCTGGATCATTTGATCATCTGATACATTGATGAAGAGCTGAATCCGGGGAACCATATCACATGTGTACTTCCAGGGAAATCGTGCTCGGGCGCCTGCAGGGATGGTAGTGTTGGGTTGGACCATGGCTGGTGCAGGCACTACTACAGGTGACGTGTCTAAGTCGCCGGCAGCGAGTGACAGAGGTGATGTCACAGTGGGACTTGGCAATAGGCTAGTGAGTGGTAAAGGAATGGGCGACTGCCGAGAGATGAGAACCGGGCCCGCGGGGTTGTTGCTACTGGCATTCCTCTGCCGCTTCAATGGTGAGGTCATCCCATCCAATCGGAACAGATGCATACCCGTGGCACTAAAGGATCGTTTTGACGGAGATTGGACAGTTGCAGGTGCACAACTAAGAGATAAAACCCTCTCGGCAAATCCGAGTAGCATATGATTGTCGGTCAGATCAATAGAACGCAGGAGGATGGTTGAATTGGGGGGACTGAGAAGCGGAGTCTTGATATCTTGCTCAATCCAGGTGTGCTGATCACTGCAATATACTGCAATGTAGTCTCCGAGCTCAAATCTCATCAATAGCGGATGGTCTCCTGGCACGAACTTTCCAGGTGTGGTGCACGTAAGCTTTACGAGGTGGGGAGGTTCATTGTTCTAGCAATATTCAAGTTGGCTAGTCAGCACCGAGAAACCATCTAATAGATATAGAAGACCATACCTTCAACCAGAGCACTACATCAATCATATTGCGGATCATAATACTCAGACTTTGGTCAGCTTGAAAGCGTTGCTCAGCCACCAATGTCTGCTGGTGCCCAAGAACATAGTTCCGTGTGTAATTGAGGTCTAATGGCCGAGCATAGTTTCGTGAAGTGGCTGGGAGCGACTGAGTACTAGTAGCTAAAGATCATGACGCACTCGCTGACGATGAATTCGATGTAGTAACTAGAGGGTGATCAAGTTGAGTAGACGTGGGGTTAATGGTGGCAAGTGGTGGTACGATCGAGTTTTCATGCTGTTGAGTAGCAACAAGAGAAGATGCGGCTGCGACTCGGTGGACCCTACACCCTCCTGCCACCTCACAACACTGCTTGCAGTTGCGTTGTATGCAGTTTTTGTTGGCCTTCCGTGGCTGAGTGCCTTGCTTCAAGTTGCGGCAGTCAGCCTTGGTACACAGGACCGTATCAGCCATGCAAACATCCAGCGTCGGCCACTGCTCGTTGTTGGAAGAAAAGTACTGTGAACACACTACAAAATTTATACTGAGGACGGCGATCAATATCAGGACTTGTCCAGGTGTAGGTCCAACTTACTAGTGACATAGTAGTGGCTTGGTGAAATAGCGGCGGGTCAGATGGTGACGAGGCAGACGGGCACGAGGCAGACAGGCAGACAGTGAAATAGTGGGGGGCAGATGGCGAAAACACTGGCTTGCCATTGTCATATATATGCCAGACACTGTTGCAGGCAATGATCACAGCCAAGCAATGAGCTCCGGCGACGTCATTGTTTGGTTGATCTACTGAGACCGAGTTGAGTCTACGAATGGTCTACGGATTCGGTTCACTTTCCACGAAAAGAATTTCTAATGCTCCCGGATTTTCTACACGTAGTCTATGGTATAGTCTACCCACGTACTCTCAAAGTTCTGAGTTTTGTGTGCAAAGTGGTGATAGATTTGTGTGCAGGAAAGGAAGAAGTACATGAAAATTCTAAGTATGGGATATATATGTATCATCACACATTGGGTTCCGGAGGATGCAGAGTGGCAGAGGGTGGGAAGGCTCATGGCTAACAGAAAGTATCAGCATGCACTGAATTGTTTGGAAGGGTTGATAGTCACGCATATTTTTGAACTTACAAAGATGAATAGGGCAGGGACAGGTGAGTTTTGGTAACACTATTTCTTTTGAATGCTAATTATGATGTTTGTTAAGGTTACAAGCTGTGCAAACATATTGTAAAGGCATTGCAGACACGCTCTGCTGCCATCAAATCCGCTCTCAGCACTTATAACACTGTTGCCAGTGCAATGTCCTCTCCTCAGAAAACCCTCAAGTGGGAGGAGATTGTCAATTACACATTTCTCGCAGACTTTGATCTGCTATGCGACACACATGCAGATATTTCTCAATCCCCTTGGTCTTCACCTGCAGCACGCAGTGCAATGGACCTTCACTTCAAGATCTGTTGTGCATGAGAGGAAATTTTCCATCTGAATGTTGAGATCCATCGCCTCATGACATATATTCAAGATGAAGATAACTATCTATGGGTGTCTGAGGAGCAGCTGAGGGCTACTAGCCCAGCTCTCACTCATCAAATTTCCATTCTGCACAACATTTGAGGCCGGTTCAACTCACACCATCTGAAGTAACTTCAAGATATATCTCAACTCACTGGCTTCAGTGGGACACTCACCCCTGGTGTAAGTACACACACAGGTCTTGGGGAGAGTGCTAGTGTACCAAATGTGCAAATCCCCGCCAATATGCTTGCTGACATCCCTGCACATAACCGTGCATCTCCTGTAGGTGTTGATAGTCAAGAAGAGCTGGAGGAGGAGGAGGAGGATGAGATAGCAGAGGAGGCCTCAAAGATGTTGCAGGATGTCTTGATTGTCACTGAAGACCTTTCATGGCTCAAACTTATTGACCATACTGACTTGGAGGAGTAGCATAGATTACCCACTGTAGTGTCATAACGATCTATATGAATTGTTATGATGTTTACTGTCAAAACACGCCCTCGATACATGCAGTTTAACATCAGATATTCAAGTTCATTGTGTGACACGTTGGGCACAAAAGTTTGGGCAGTAGGCGGGCTTAGCCAAACATCAGGAACATTAAGTATGTCAGTGCCAACATCCTGCACTCAATTGCCCTAGGCTACAGCTACTCTTTCTCATTATAAGTCCTTATTTATTGAGGAGATATAGAGGGAGGCTTGCTGCTGATGTATTTGTGTCATTTTAGACGTGATAACACTATGTATTAGCACCTCTAATATGGGGGAGTCATAGATGGTTCATCAGTGAACACAAGAGATGTTAGGTATACTGTAGAGATACACACTTAGCTTCGACATCATCCGGGTGTGACCAACTGAACCTTAGCTTCGAAGATTCAAAGATGGGTGTGACCTGTGACACCTCAGAAATAGCTTTGAACCCAGCTGCTGTCAGCAAGAGCTCACAGCTGATGATGATGAAGAAAAATTTGGTCATTTAAAGTGAGATGCATGGCAAATACTCAGTACAAGATGTTAGTGCTTCGCACATGACACGACGCGATGCGCCTGGCGGAGTCAAACTGTTGGAATATGAACCATCATATATAGACCGTCGTGCTTCGTATTCTCCCCTCAGTCTGTTCCATTATAACTGAGGGTGAGCTCTTTGCATATCCGAGACATACCTAGACATTAATGGACGTTTATAGCTAACGCACTGTCTAGGTATATCATAATATATCAGTCTGTTCCATTACGACTGAGGCTAATGCACTGTCTAGTCTTTATACAAGAATTTTTGGGAACATTTTTGCATTTTTTTTCATGTTTTACCGTGTGTCACAATTTACCTTCGATGACTTCAATTTTGTGTGACGCTGTGACGAAGCTAAGTCTCTACAGTAGTAGCCATTAGTAAGCAGTGTAAGTCACATGATAATTCAAACTCCGAGAGCAATTCGTTAGTAAGCTAGGTTGTAGATGACATAAGCAGTCAGAGAAGGTTCTTGACGTTGCCCTGTGAGGGGTGCTTGCGTGTCCACTGTCGGGGGACGCGCGTCTGACCTTTATAAGCTCTGAAGTCGACCACTACCACCACCACCATCACCACCAAATACACGATGTCTTCCAATGAACAAGAAACCCAAATTCTGGGCCTCGGAACGCCCTGCTCATACCCTCACTGCTCTCTCCTCGATTTCCTTCCATTCAAATGTCCACACTGTCCAGGCACTCCTGCCTTCTGCTCGGAGCACTTCCATCCACACTGCACTACCGCCCACGCTCACCTGGACCGTGTAGCACCAAATTGCCCTCTGTGTAGCGTTCCCGTCGCAATTCCGCCCGGCGAGGACCCGAACGTGCGCATGGAGAGACACATCAGCCGTTTCTGCGAGGTGATGAATGCTAGCGGTAGACAGCAAGGAAAGGGTGGGAGCAAGGTATGTGCCAAGGGAAAGTGCGGTAAGGTATTATTTGCACCCATCGGGTGTGATGTGAGTTGAACATCTGTTAATTTGGTGTATGTAATGATACTAATGGAAATCATACAGAAATGCCACAAAGAGTTCTGCCCTCAGCACCGTTTCCCAAATGATCATAGCTGTCCGTCGCTCACTTCACAACGGCCGAACACCAGTTCCACCTCTAAGCCATCTATCAGACCGAGTCCTGTTTCAGCCACTCCCAGTTCATCCTCAGCCAAATCTGCGCCTATGGCTGTATCCAGACCCACTCCTTCTTCCAAACCGATATCAGCACCATCCTTTTCCAAGTTTTCCATCCCGGTCTCCGTCTCTGTCCCAAACGCATTCTCCAAGACTGATCGGTGAGTACATGTCCGCTTTCCTCATCTCAGTATCCACTCATAACGCACCAGCGTTTCTCCTGCTCCCGTTCTATCTACCTCCCCTTTTTCCGCAACTAAACCTCCCTCGCCAATCATATCTCCCAAACCTACGAACTGCACCAAATCGACCTCATCAAATTTCCTCGATCCAATGTCTTTCATTCCCCCATCGATCTTCGTATCTGCTTAATCTCACACATCGCACTATGTATCAATCCATCTAATATTTCGCTGTATCAACATCTATATATCCTTACCTATAGACGCGCAAAGCAGGAGCGCGCGAGCAGGCTCAAGGCCATGAAAGAGCGTGCCAACAGGGGTCTTCTCACAGAAGAAGAGAAGCTTATCCTCGCGCAAGAAGAGGCAGCACGCGCGCAGGAAGTCAGAAAGGGAGACAAAGAGTGTCGCGTCATGTAGCTTTGCCCCCTGAACTTGGCTTTGGACTTTCAGGACTTCACACAGTATCCATATACTACATCGCGCACAGATCCACCCCGCATTTGACTGACCTTGTATTTCCTCGAACCCCTGTTGGATTTCGATGGCACTGCGCTCAGCCTTTGTGGCAAAGTCTGTTGCTTGTTACAATATTGTAATGACGGTTACAGGAATGTGCTGAACACACGTGTGCACTCTTGAGTCATTCATTTTGACCTTTAGTAAGTTGAGGATCCACATAGAGCTCGGCGGAAACTATATGTAAACTTCCGTCCCAAACACGGATCTCGATGACCCCTATACAACTCATGAGGTACTTGAATGAAATTTTGAGCGCCGGCAGGGCCTAGGGCGAGTAGTGAAAGAGGACTCACTCACTGGAACTCCGAATCGGAAGAGGTGACTTACGCTCGACGTTCATTGAGACAGCGGCAGAAAAGGAAACAGCTAAGTGATAGTACTACGTCATCTGACTAGTGTGAGTCAGAACCTGGTCCTTCTGCATCAAACACCGCGCCCGGGGGACTGATACGCCCATAGAAGTGAAGCACGCACGCGCGCAGCACTGGAGGGAATGAGGGATTCGGAGGGGTATCTCACTACATAATGTGGCCTTCCGACTTTCGTGCTTCTTTGTATACTACAACTCGTATGTAATCTACTCAGATACGCACTCGACCAAGCTTGTGCTTCCCAAAAATCCTCTCAGTTGGATTGCCATGACACTAGTAAAAACACAACACCAATGAACAACACTAATAGCGGTGACTACTCTAGGAATGCGGTCGCGGATAAGTCGACAAATAACACAAGAAACGAGTGAAGACAGTAAGTGAAAGGAATGAATGCGGTCGATGAATGTTCGCAGAACCAGGATAGGACAAGAAAACTGCGATGGAAAGGAATATTCGTAGGAGGTTGGCATAGAGCGTGAAGTATGCAGCAAGAAAACGGAACGTCATAAGTGTAATGAGAAACGTGACGTGACGTTGCGCGTAAGAGTGAAGTCCTTGGTATGCAAAGTGCGCGTGACTTGTTTATGTGCAGTGCTATCGTCGGACAAAGAATACCACCAGAATGATGAAAGGGGTGTATGTAAACAGCGACACTACAGACATGACACGGCACCGGAACCGCCATGCTTTTGCGTCTACATCAACACATTCGTCATCTCAGCCCAAATACTCCATTATATAATCACTCACCATGCTCGATCTGCGGATCATCCAGTGAAACTCCCTTCTCATCACCAACAACACGCGTGCGCGGTGTGCGGAGAAAGAGCGCAGCGATCCACCAGACAGGGAACAAAATGAATCCCACAAAGAAGCACCACGCATGCACAGGCGACCCAGGCTCATCCTCCCCACGAAAATGCAGCGTCCAAGGCGTCTCTGCAAGTTTCTTCGGAGGGCGTCTAGGATCTCGCATGTGGAATTTCCCAGAAGGCACGATTGAAGGTGCATGCGGGGACACGAGCGCACTGATAGGGATAGACGCCTGAGACATGCTTTGGCGTCTCGCGTGATTCGGATTCTGGGTGATTGAGTTGGTGAGGGAGTTCTTGTTTGGGGTTTGTTGGGGGCGGGTCGAATGAGTGGACGACGCGGCACGAGATGGTACGCTAGGACTAGAGAGGATACGAGCGCTCGTTCGGCTCGACCAGGAACCGAACTTGCCCACTTCGGGCGTTGGCTCTAAATTCATACTCTGGCTCTGAGTGGATACAGGCCGCGAATGGATGGGGGTGCCAAAAGGAGAGGACGATATACGGGCGCGCTTGCGGTGGTACGATGATGGCGCGTAAGATGAAGCAGAGAGCTTTTGACCTGCGTAATTAAATTCAGCAATCAATACGCGTTCGGAACCGTCGAGAAGAGGCGACGTAATGGAAGGTACGTACTTCGGTGGCTCTCTGGGACGGCGAAAGTTGCGCGCTGCACGTCCTTTTTCTGCTCAGGCGGTGTGGTGTCTATGTCTTCGGCTTTGCGTTTGCCTTTGATCTTATCACTATGGTTACGGGAGGTAGGAGTAGGGGTACTTGGATCCATGGTGATTGTGCGGGAAGTACGTGCAGGTGTGGGAGCAATGGAGGGAGGGAGGAGAAACTGAGACGATGGACGACCTTGTATTTTGCTTGGACCCACAGGTACGTTTAGTCTCGAAGGAGTATAATTTGGCGAGGTGGCGCCATCCGGAGCGATGCGAGTACCATTTGGATTCGCAGACATGCGCGGGTCCACGTAACTTGTTGGGCGGTGGGTCGGAGGAGGAAGGTTAGCGGATGGAGAGGGAGATGGAGATGAAGATGGGGATGGAGACTGGGATGCACGTTCCCCGCCTACAACAAATGAGTGAGTGACTGAAACGAGGGACTGAAGTGAACGTATAAGAAAATACATGGATGAATACAAAGAGAGAGAAGATGCGGAATTCGGAATGTGTGGCAGAAAACAATATCTGAATGCCGTAAGCAGTGGACTTACCTTGGGGAGCTGGGGAGCGTGGTCGAAGTGGTGAAGGTGATGGAGAAAATGATCGTGATATGGGCGCTTGATTAGGAAATTGCGCCACGCTGCTACCGCGTGTTTCGGACCCCGGACCCGGGACACCACTTTGGACAGATGGCCAATTGGTGACGAGGTCAAGTCCTTCACCCAACGAAAGTCGCAGCATTTCGCGCGATACCTCTGCGGGCCATGCATTGTTTGAAGATGAGTTGACACCTTCTGTAGCTTGTTGTGCACTCCAAGAGGCACTGTTGCGTCGACGGAGTCGTGCTTTGTCAGATATTGTTCGCGTACGGTGGCGTTGTGGAGCAGGCTGCTCTTCCGAGGAAGGAAGGAAGACATCCTGCACCTTCGGGAGGCTTGCAGAACGTCGGACAGATCGGCCAAATTTCATTGATAGCGATACGAAGAAATCATCACCAATGCCAGACGGGATCCGTGATGAGCGTTTGGGAAATGAGTTGAATCGGTCCGATGCGAAACCTAATGCTGTGGGAGTAATATTATTAACGTTTTTGTCCTTGAGGTAGGATGACAAAGCCGGGTGGTTCAAGGGGGGCAGAGGGGGTGGGGGCGATGGACATGCAAACGTAAACGTGGACCGGCTCTCGGGTGTCGGATGGCCAAATGTTCCGGGAGAGTCGAATCCCAGTTCGCGAAGGATAGGTGTAGTGAAGTATGGAGTTGGGCGGGCTGTCGGAGACGTATTGGATCGTGGTCTATTGGGTGTTCGTGGATGCAGCCTAGAGGACACGATATCTGTTGGTGATGATTTGGAATGGATGGATGAGCTGCTTGTGTGATTATTGACAGTTGTCGTTCCCCTATTGCTTGTTTGTGCTAATGTATCGCGATGCGCTATGGAGGATCGTGACACGCTATGGGAGCTGATGATAGAGTGCAAACTTTCTGCCGAGCTGAGGCCTTCACCACTCTTATTGCTGTTACTTCTCTTCAGCGAAGGAGAATGTGACGTTCGTCTGGTAGTGTCTTTGGTGGGACTGACGTCTGCAAATCCTGGTACCATTGGGGAGCTGCGCACTCGTCGGCGACCAAACGTGGACCAGTCCCCAGGTGCAGCTAGGTGGTCAATTGATTTTGACTCGCTTAGAGTGGTTTCATGAGCTGGTGAGTCTGACCCAGGTTTATCCACTTCGCATACACTCTCAGAGATGGGTTTTGCCCGCAGTATATTGCGAAGCCCCCAACTACTAACATCTACAGTGTGTCTCCGAGTTCTGGGAGTCAAGCTGCGAGGCAGAGATTCTGAATCACCCATGTCCAAGTATGAACTCGGATTCTCGAGAATCCTCTTGTCTATGCCATGGCGCACTGCTGGGGATGTTTCGATGGTTGAACCCACACCATAACTGAGGGCAGGAGTGGGCGGGACGATGCAGCAGTTTTCTGGTTGCAAAGGCAGAGCGGCAGCGGAATGGTTACCAATACCTCGGCCTCGAATATGAGAGAGAAATGAATGCATCTCTCGCTAGAAACCTCTACTATGTGAGTCAGCGCGACGCGTATGCGAGAATCGTCGGACGTACAGTCACTCCGCCAATTATAACGTGCTGGATCGAATGCGCTGAACCTCCGTTCAAGTGAGGCACGGGGACCTGAGTAGTAGGAACAGGACGTCACGTCCCGAATCGTCCCTACCGCCAAGCAACTGGGTAACAAAGGCCGACCTAAACCAGCACGAAGGTAACGGTCGTGCGCCAATGCAGCCAATCCAACGCACGTTGACAAGTTGGACGGAGCCAAGAGAATCCCTGTTCCCTGTTCCAGATCAGTTCTCCGAGTAGAACAGCATAAACCCCTTCTGCAGGGGTCAACTCCATTTACGCGTCGAGATCACATGATCATCGACAATTGATTACATAATCCTCAGCTGAGGCGGTGGCAGCTGCACATTCAGACCGTAACCGCGCTTTCCATTGAGCTGCCAGCTGTGTCCTTGATTTTGCCCACCATGGATCGCTTCGACTCCCTGGCGAGTACCCTGTCAAACCTGACTGTTTACGACCTCAAGAACATGTACAACCAAGTACGTGGCAACGAAGAGCAGGGCAATTGCAATTACACATGCTGATAGTTCATGATATAGGCCAAAAATGTTGTGCTTAATGTCAGCGAGATGGAATCCAAAGTCAGGGAGGCGACTAATGACGAACCTTGGTAAGCATATCATGACCAAGCTCAATGTAGGGCGTAGTAGACTCACAGGACAACGCAGGGGCGCCAGTTCCACATTAATGCAAGAAATTGCCCAAGGGTTAGTGACTTTCTATATCATATTAAATGGCAATTGACATTTTGCATAGGACATTCAACTTGTAAGCCTATTACTCCAGCGTTCCGACTGCATGCCCCATTGACGTACCCTAGCCAAAACTTCAATGAGATCATGCCGTGTATATATGCCCGGTTTATGGAAAAAGAGGCACGGCAGTGGAGACAGATTTACAAGGTAGGCTGTTGTGTTTTATTCAGCCCTCCCGCTAACATACGCCCACAGGCCCTCCAACTGCTTGAATACTTAATCAAACACGGCAGTGAGAGAGTTGTCGACGACTCTCGTTCCCACATCTCCACACTCAAGATGCTCAGAAATTTCCACTACATAGACGACAAGGGCAAAGATGAGGGCCAGAATGGTATGCAGTTGACTGCGAATCAAACGACACCTCTGACGTACTGCGTATATAGTCCGCAACCGGGCCCGTGAACTGGTAGACCTATTGTCCGATGTAGATACCATCCGCACGGAACGACGGAAAGCGAAAACCAATCGCCACAAATACATTGGCACTGGCAACGATTCCATGAGCTTCAGCTCGGGTGGCAGCCGCTTCGGCGGATTTGGCAGTGATAGCTTCTCGAGTGGAAGTGGAGGCTATTATGGAGACAGAATGAGTGGCAGAGATGGTGAGAATCTTGTAGATTTCAAGATTCATCATTTGCTCACGTTGTGATAGATTACGGAGGCAATTCTGGTTTCAGAGATAGCAATGGTAGAAAGGACTTCGAGGAGTACACTGCTGGGGACGACGAGACTGTTGTCAGACGATCAGGTTCTGTCAGTAGGAGTCATACTGGGTCCCGTCAGGGCACACAATCAGTTAGTTCTCCTGTTCGTCCGGTGCAACCTGCGCCCCCAAAGCCGAAAGAACCTGAGGTCGATCTCCTGGGTGGCTTCAGTGACGAGCCAGTGGTCGCTACTAACATCAACCCCATGTCCAACACAAACAAAGCCCTTCCATCTGTAGGTAATGTCAATCTCGATGGTGAGGCGCCCATTAGAAGGTTCTTTCAGATCGCTGATGTCACTCATGCAGATGATGATTTCGCTGATTTCCAAGTTGCGCCGTCTTCACCCGCACCATCTTCACCCGCCCCGGCATCTGCTTCTCTCCCCACTAAGCCTACGTTGATGGAGATGCTACGGAGCACAAGCCCTCCTGCCAATCGGGCACCCACGATGAGCCCATCACTTGGATCACAGATTCCTAAACCCGCTGCATTTTCCAACACTTCTGTGAGGGCGCTTTCTCCCACAAACAGGCAATTTTTCCCTACTACTGCTGGCGGGTCATCCGGCAACTTGTGGTCTACGTCGACACCGCTGTCGCCTACGACATCCGTCCGAACATCAATGTCAGCTGCCCCAATCATCCCCGCAGCTCCACCCCCAAAAGCTTCACCTGCTGCACCCCCGAAATCGTCATCGAACTTCGAGGACTTGTGGTCGTTGTCTCTAGGTACATTATCGACGACCCCAACCGTCAAATCTGGGAACACTGGTAAATCTATTAAAGATCTCGAGAAAGAGAAAGCCCAGGCTGGTATTTGGGCATCGAGTCAGAAGCCAGGTGCAACCCAGATGGGAATGGGTAGCGGATTCGGGAATTTTGGTGGTATAGGCACCTCTGGCGGAACAGCCGCTTCTGCAAGTGGTGGAGATGACCTCTTGCTGTGAATCATGGTTACAGGCGGAATCATGCGATTCGGGGGGCTGGAAAATAGATGACAGGTGCAGTTGTTTGTTTAATAGTTGGTTCATAAGTTTATCTACTATCAAATTTTGCGGACTGATTCATGTTGTGACCGTGTGCAACAACTCTCTTAGACCCATCAGGCTGGGCAAGAGTTGGAGATATAAGAGCCGTCATCCCACTTCCTCACCTTCCTTAACACGCAGTTCTGAGCAAGATATCTGCAAAAATCAGTAGAGCCAATCATGAAACGATATTGCCACATTCCGTGGAGTCTCTTCCGTCTGAAATGGAAATTTTGACAGGCTGCATCCAATTCGATGTGAAGAAAGCTCCGATCAACTAATGAGTACTGAGTGACGTCATGGATGAATCAAAAACCTCTTGTCGGTGCTTCTTGATCTGTATCTTTTGCAGTGTAGATACCACAAGTACACCTTATATCAGCTTACTGATACACTGCGGTCGAAGGGTACTGTCAGCCTGCCAGAGTGGGGTACTAATAGTAGGTAGTACTTTGCGACCTGATCCGAAACAACGGTATCATGCTATGATAGGTCCATCGTGATGATAGTACTTGGCTATGTAACTACAACATCATTTTCCTTGCTGTGCGTTAGTCCTTTGGTTCGGACGTTTTATAACGAGTACCACTACCAAATATGAACGAGTGAACTTTAATCGTGCAGGCGTCAGTCTTCTTGGTTCTGTGTGAGCCCTCGATAAAACGTCCGAACCAAAGGACTAACGCACAGCAAGGAAAATGATGTTGTAGTTACATAGCCAAGTACTATCATCACGATGGACCTATCATAGCATGATACCGTTGTTTCGGATCAGGTCGCCTATGGATTGAAAGTACTACTAGTACCCACGGGGTATTCAAAAACTCTCAATCGCATATAAGCCAGCATGTCAAGATGCAGTATACGTAGTCCAGCTGCACTCTTCTCTTTGACCGCTCGACATGACTTTACCGGATGTACGTTTTCAAAATGTAGGAAGACTTAGGCTTGCATAACTGAACTACGCTAGGCTTCCAACATTTATGGGGCTCGGACTTCCGACGAAAGTACACTTGCTGAAGACCGAATGCTTCCCGGAGCTCTTCGTGACGCGTCCTTTGTAACGAGATTACTCTGTCTTTTTGCACTAGGACGTCCCGATCTTGAAACCCATTGGGAGTCGCTGCAATCCAAGGACGCGTTCCAGAATGCGAGGGAAAGGCAATGCTCTATCCTGACCAACACTATCACCGCAGTAAGTAATTCAACTCCTTGCCTGCGCTTACACAGTCTAAAACTTCAGAAGGCCGGTTTACTTCTCGCGACAAGTGGTGTTTTCGTGACTACTGTCTCTCCCGCGCCGTATTTTGACTACACCTCGCCTGCCCCTTATTTTCTACTCTTCATATCACTCATGATGGCCATGATTGCAATGTTGACATCGGGCTTGGGCATGATACGTTGGCTACATGCCGATCGCCAGTGGACTCAAGAGGTAAGGATTGTTTTTCTTTGACAACATCCACTAACTCATCATCAGCAAATCAAGCCAGGCGGTTATTTCCTCTTGCCTTACCTCTTATCAATGGTCATGCCTATGTTCTTTGCTGGCCTGTCCCTGAATTGCTTCATATTTGGTGGGTTGCTCGACTAATGCTGTGCTCTCCCTTGGTCCTCATGTGCTGCTTTGTCCGCAGCAATGTTGATAGCAGGTTTCTGCTCTCAGAACACTGTCTGCCACGTCCTTACCGCGGTCTGGCTCGTCGCATACGTCGTCGGCGTTGGGTCGATGTCGATTGAATTTATGTGGAAGTTAGCCCAGATGTCTTAGGTCACGCTAACCTAGACACCGCCACTAGTCTACTAGCTCTCACTTACACCGATTTTTACATTGCATAAATACAACAGCGCGACTCGAGCTTGGTATGCTATGATCAGCTTCGGAACTAATAAGGTGTCAGTGTCTGCCTCCCGATGCGCTGGAAGCCAGGCAGCACACTGTGAACGCAGTGTACCACCTCTTCAATAAGTTGAAAGTGGGCGTCGGGAGATAGGTAGAGTGTGCCATTGGTGTGCCAAGTACTGGCACAGTTAAAGTTCAAAGTGTGTTCGATTAATCCGCGATTATATAACCTCTACGCCCACCCACCAATAGACTTGGTGGTAGCGACTGCGCAACCTGCAACTATTTAGTGTTGCTTGTTAATTCCAAGCGCTGTGGAATCCATTGATTTCACGAAGCCTGTGCAGGCAGAAAGAGTAATTTAAGCGCAAACTATGTATAACACCGGTGTCATTCTTCATCAATGCATCAAGATCATGCCAGTGATTAAATGATGATTCTTGACGTATGTAGTATAATACGTAGATGCAAACAGAACCAAAACGAAACTACACGACTTTCTTCCGTGGCCTACCCCCCTTTTTTACGGTCGACGTGTCCGAGTCAGAATTGGAGAGGTACGCAAAGTTGCGTTTTATTGGCTCTACATAATTCATGCCGAGCTCGCGCAGGACAGCATCTTCGCTTTCACCTTCTACAAATGTCCAGTACCCTTCCTCTGCGTCTGCTGGGAGTGATGGGTCAGATGTCCACCTCCACAGGCCGAATTCATCGAGAAACAGGCCCAGTCGCGCAGCTTTGGTACGGATGTCGATGTTAAACTCCTTGTCCCCAGTCAATGCGAGTAGTGCTGCTCCCTTTGACTTCACGGGGGCGAGGCTGCATGCCATTAAATCAGTGCTCCAAAGATCTTTATCAAAACTTACTTCAAGTCCAATCGAATGTAAAGGCCCTGCTGTTCGCGAATATGCTCGATTCGTTGAGAACGTTCTTCCCAAGTTCCGTCTACAGTCCTTTCAGGTAGCCGTATCACACCTTGCCACTTCTTGGAACCAGGCGACAGCGTCTCAGCGATGAGGCCACGGCTTTCGAGTGGGAAGACCACATCACGCAAGAGAAGCGAGTCCTGAACTTCCCGTAGCTTTCTAGATGACATGTGAAAAGGTGTCCTGCTAATTCCTTGTGCAACTGAGCCATTCTTTGACGGGGGCGTAGGCACATGAACATGAGAAGGGTGAGTCAACATAATATCAACGCCCAAGAACGATTGAGCACCCCGCCGACTATTGAAGTTAACGTAGAAAGAGGACAGGGATGCAGATTGCTTACTAGCTACCCACGAGCTCAACATCAAATTTACAAGAGATGTTCTCCGAAATAAATTTCTAGACATTGATGAGCCGATGAAGCATTCTTCGAGTAATAAATCAATAACGCACAGCGAGTAGTTCAGCTTGACTTCTCTCGACAGGTCGTTCGAGATGTCCGTGGTATCGCGCGCCGATTTGCTGCGAGGGACTCAACATGTCAAAGAATTTCGGTTTCTTCAAATCCCCAATGGATGTACAACCCGCGTCAACGAGGACTTTCGCAGTCCTTGGGCTGTAGTTATGAAATTTGTCAGAACATCGTCAAATTCAACGCAGGGTGAACGTGTAGTACCCAATGGCGGAAACAGACTGCAATGACCGAGCTATCATGTTCTTCCGTTTCGCCTCAGGATCAGAACTCCCTCTTGCCTTGGATTTCGATACTCCTTCAGAAGGTTTGATGACAGCTTCCGGGTCCTGGAGACACGCATGAAACCCACGGACACTTGCAAGACGCGTAACACCTACGGACATAATCTTTACCCGACAAGAACGCGTCTATCCTGTTTCTGATTCCGACGCCTACCCCCTTCAGCTACACAGAATCCCTAGCAATGAATACCAAACTCGCGGGGTCAGTAACGAATAGTTCTAACCTTTTTCACCTGCGCTACGTCCCGCACGGGTTCCTCCAGTGTGCCAATAGCCTCGATAGCTCGTGCAAACGCGCGAACTTTGTAGCCGTTTCGGTTCGGACAGGTGTTTTCACGCTCTAAATCTACGTCGGGGCTTGAGGATTTTCTCTGCAGTTTAAACTCAAGGAACTCACTTTGTGATAGCATTTGGAGGAGGTCATGGTTCGGACCGGGATTTCTCGTCGAGAATACCCTCCTCGAGCATGAACCATGGGAGAAGAAAGTGGTTGCTCGGAATAGTGAGCGAGACAGCATGAAACGTACGCTCCTAATTCTCTGACCACAATACTTCAATCAAGCTGCCAACGACACTGGTAGCTTCTGTTCGAAGTACAATTTGATTACATAACTTCATTTTGTGTCAGGTGATTACTTGTTCACTTACACAAAAGGAAATTAGGACGAAGGAAGAATATTTTCACGAGTGCCACAGAATCGCAGATACAATCGTTCACTTCACAAAAAAATGGCGATGAAGCAGAACTTAAAATACGTAAGCACACATGCGAATCGAATAGGATGATAAGGTCATCACTCCAGCCTAGATACCCGCCATTTGCATCCTAGCTTGCCCAGCAGACTGTACTCCTCCCTGCTGCCCTGCGGCACCCTGCACCTGCTGCTGCCCAGGTATAGTTTGGCCGGGTTGTGCCAACACCAGACCCGGTCCCATCACGAATGCTGCAACTGTCTTCTCCTCGAGGTCTGCATAGCGAACGCTCATCTCTTTACGCTCTTTGCACCAGTCATCGGGATTCCACCATGTGTACGTTCCTGCTTCGCCCCCTGGGATTTTTGATGATGGAGCACTGCCACTTTCTTTTGTTATCCAAATCCGTAGGTCTTTGTGGTATCGCCAATTGCGATTCCACCTGTGAAGCCACGAGTCAGTCTAAATCCGTAAGTATGGCAGCCAAAACAACACTGTGGGAGTATCGAAAGTTTTCTGAGACATGAATCGAGACCTACAATTCCTGCGCTGCGATTTCTTGCAGTGCATCCCTCGGACTTGAATAGAACATGAAAAACAGCGTCTCATCACTGAAAGCTCCAGCCTTGGCTGGTCCTAATGGCGGCGGTTGAGCGCTATAACACGGAGGCAGATGAAAATCAGGTTCAACGCTATGGGCTGCAGATTGATCTGCCCACGGCGTAACAAATGTCGAATACAGGTTTCTTTCATGTAACATAAGCAAAAACAGCCAAGCGTCTAGTAATGCATGACATACCCCTCGTAACCCATGTCGAGTCCCATTGCACCTAAATCCGTACCAACGCTACTCAGACCTCCATCTGCATCAACACCGGCGTTCTTAATCATTGCGAGCAGGCCAAGCAAGCCCCACCGGTCCGCTGCGGACATGAGCACCTGCTGTGCGGGAGTCTGTGGATGATGGTGAGCCTGCACAAGTGGGTTATGTGTTGGTTGTGGATTATGCAGCTGTGGGTGTGCGTTATGCTGATGCGGATGTATATGATGCGTCCCATTTGACACATGCGGGCTTACTCCCGGAGGTGGTACACCGGGTGGCGCACTGAGATCAGCACCAGACGGTGGATTCTGCGATTGAGTCGAGTTCTGGCCGCTTAATGGCTGCTGACCTGCCTGACTTCCCAGCGCTGGAAAATCATCGGGGCCAAAATCTCTGCTCTGCGCCACTGCAGCTGCAGCACCTGACCCACTCTGCCCTGCCTGCGTTGCATAACTTGTGACGTTAGACCCTGGTGCAATGGCAGGCGTTCGGTGCGCATTTTGTTGCTGAAGGGTTGGTGTCGGATAACTCCGTTGTGGTAGAGGATATTGCGACGTTGGGTAGGGAGACCGAAATTGCGACGACAAACCAGCTGGAGGAGCAAGACTTGGTGGTCGCTGTAGAGGTTGACCTGGGCGGAACTAAGTGCAACAATGGCGCCAGAGCAAGCTGAGAACACACCTGGTCGGTTCATTATGAGTTAAGAATATCTGCTATAAACATCACTGTTATTACGATAGTAGATGCAGTGAACAAGAGAAAACTCACGGTAACTTGTTTGACGGTTTCTGATGCTTTTGCGTAGCTGGTCGACGAATATCTTATGTTGATGCTTGTTTGTTGACCTGTAGCGTTCTGTTCGCAGAGCGCTTAGCGCTTAAATGTCGACTTTGACGCCATCAGCTTGGCTATGCTCAGGCAAAAAAATCAGCTGCGTTTCCTAACAAAGAAAGCAGGCGCAAACTGTGATTGATTGCTATCTATCCGTCATGCATCATGCATGTAACTTTTCCCGTCGAGCTGCTGCACTTATATTACTACAATGTGCATGGTGCGTGGCTTATCGCTGACCTACAGCATGCAGCACACCTCTTTGACTGGGTGTTCAGCTCACTAGTTCTACTCTATCTTTGTGTGGACGCACATGGACGCAACGGCTGAGTCTATCCCCGATCTGGGTACCCCATGATAATGCCGTTCTACTTGCGATATCCTACCTCGGTCCTCCACATACTCCCCGCGGTGATTCTGCGGTGTTGTCCCAACCAGAAAAGATGTACATTTACAAACGACCAGCAACGCAGAGCTTCACATACCATTCACGTACCCAGGCGTACGGGCCCCTTCGACCTTCGTCGCACTAAACTGAACGAGCTCCCACCTCATAGCACACCGACTTTTGCAGACAACTGGTACTCGCCTCGACGCAAATCGCTCGGTCTCTTACAATGCATGATCTCATTAAGGATTCGCAACCATAACGCGCCGCGCGGTCAACCCACGTTCTCCAGCTTTCCGAGCACCGTCCCGTTCGGTGTTGCCAGTCACCAATCACCACTCATGCGACGTACTTCGAAAGAGCTGACCAGTGGTGCCTGGTTTTCCAGTTGGAATCGGGTGAACCGAGCTGGCTCCATAAAAATACAGCATGCCAATTTTATGAAATTGCTTTCTGCCTCGGCAATTTTTAGCCCCGTATTTCTAGCCTCTGTAAGTGCATGAAACAAATGTTATGATCGTGTTCCAGGATAGAGCTGGTTTCTGTGGTGTCACACGATTATTATTTTGTGGTGAGACCTCAGTGTTTTATCTGTAGTCTCGGCTTTTTGTCCAGTCTTGCGGGACCGAACATACGGTTCGGGCGCCTGATGGAAGGAACCCTGAGTTCGACTAGTCGCCTTCCCGTGGCCACGATCTTTCATGATCCATTCATCAGAGTTGCGTCAAAGGGGACTTGTAGTTGAGAGGGACCATCATTCTCTGGCATGTTACACGCCCAAGTAAAGTGTTTTTTCTCAAACTCTGGAATGCGGCTGTCATCGTACCACAATTGTGCTAAATATAACCGGGGGGAGAACGTCAGAATGAAATCTGCGCGTTGAATTGCCGTCAATGTGAAATTTATGCTCCGACACGCTAGAGCCTCATTTCGGTTGCGTTTCGGTATGTAAGTAAACCCTGCAAGCCTTGCCATCGATTGGATTGCCGTCGATATCTCTGATCAGACAAGATGCTCACAGTGACATTGGTACGTCCATCTAGTATCTGGGAGATCCTTCTAATGTTACTGATGGCATGCCATGATGCGCACAGATTAGACATGGAGAGTCCACGCACAACGTAGTAAGGCTTCGGAATTAGTGGTCTGGCGATACCCACTGATCACAGGATAATTGCAGCTAGCTCTCTGGTCGGGCTGCACGGAATGTCCTCTCACGGAAAGAGGTAAGTGATAGTTCGAACACACGTTTATCTAACGAGCATCGTGACTGATCTCGGCTATCAGGAACGCAGGTAAGCCTTTCTCCCACCTCCCCCTCAGCGCCAGCTAAACCCAAGAACAGCAAGCACGCGCCGTAGGCGCATACTTTGCAGACACACACTTCACCAATATCTATGCGTCTCCTCTACCCCGCGCACGGGACACAGCCCAAGCGGTACTAGACGCGCAGCCTACACCCAAGCCTACTCATGATTTCACTATCACTGACATCAGAGAGCAAAGCTTTGGAGCTGCAGAAGGGAATCAGACATGCGTACGGGAGCCAGGCAAGACACTCGAAGCTCACTTTGCGGAGGGAAAGTACCCGATATTATATGAAAGCGAGAAACACGTGGCGTTTCCTGGCGGGGAGTCAGTGGAGGATTTGACGAGGAGGGGTGAGAAGGCAGTGAGGGATGTTGTGCTTCCTCATGTAGTGAATGTTGCGAGGTCTGGGGGGAATGAGCATATCGCACTTGTGAGTCATGGGTTGTGTATTGCGCAACTGGTGGGCGCAATTGTGCGATTAGGTGGGGGAACATGGAAGCGAAAAGGACCCATGGTTAATACGGGGTGGGTGAGGGTAGAGGTGCGGATTCAGGTGAGTGTGACGGGTATTCAATACGAGGTGTTGCTCATGGGTGACTTAGGGTGAGGTGCCGCTGCAAGTTGCGGACGACGAGGTTCCTGCGATAGAAGTGACAGTGACGGACGAGGGCAGGGCAGATCACCTTGAAGGCCTTGTGCGTTGGTTTCGTTTGTGATGTCGACATGCTGACGAGAACATGACTGACAGCTGGACGAAAGCTCACTTCGTGGCATGAAAGCAATTATGGGTGGAGGAGTGGTTGATGCAAAGATCTAGAGCCCGAATTTAGAGGAAGCTATCGCACAGACGTCCGCGGATAAGTAGAGCTTGCACATACATCACGGAGACCAAGTACTGGTTGCAACGTTGTACTAACCGGAACCGTCATCACTTATGTAACCTCGGTTAAGGGGTTAAATGGATTTGCGATCAAGGGTGCCTCACACCCCTGAGACTATAGCATCTGAAGGTAATCCCAGCGCGGTGGTGGCTGCGCTGAAGCTTGAAGCTCTAGAAATTGAAAGAGACTAGTATGATATGTTTATTTCATTGCCTTCAGATGTAGTTTTCAGATACGGAGCTTTTTTTAAAAATCCTATTTATTGGCAACGCCCAATGCTAGACAGTATGCTTCTATGTGCTACTACTAGAATCGATGATGACATCGGTGTAATTACGAACTACCAATATGGCTTGGATACGATGCTTCGAACAGGGATACGTGGAGTAGCGGGCAGTACTGGAGGTCTCTCCTCGGACTTAGAATGTGTGTGTGCCGTATTGATAGAAGCTTTTGCACGAAATAAAATCGTTATTGCATCATACATTTGTCGCCTTTCCTGTGTCAAGCCCTTGAAGCCACTGTGACTAGTGAGATCCTCAAGATCACTGGGTCAGTGATCTCTCAAGATCTCACTAGTCACAGTACGGTAGCGTTTTGTCACGAGAGCTAGCGCTCTGCACAGCTAGAGCATTGGATGCTACAAAAAGTCTCCAACATGTCGAGACGTGGCATCAATTCACCTCTACTCTCCGCTCGCAATTACCCTACAGAATTTTCCGGTGGTGAGCTTTGAAAACAAAGATTTGCTGTCATAGAACTGAATTAGGATGCTAGGTTCTCACGTTCTACGGGACCCCTGATGAAAGAGCACTTACCGAAGAGCAAACAATCCCTGCATCTCTTCGTGACGCGTCTTCTTTCACGAGAGTACTTTCTTTTTTGGCACTCGGACGCGCTGATCTCGAAGACCACTGGGATTCCGACCTACAATCCAAAGAAGAATTTGAGGACGCGAGGAAAAAGTTATGCTCTATCCTGTCCAACACTGTCTCCGTAGTAAGTTACTCAACTCCCCGAATTCAAACAGCCGCTGACATAGTTAAAGGCGAGCCTGCTTCTTGCAACAAGTGGCGTTTTCGTGTCCACGGGTTCTCCTGTGCCTTACTTTAACTATTCCACACCTGCAACCTATTTCCTACTCTTCATGTCATTCATGCTGGCCATGATTGCAGTGTTGACATCTGGTTTGAGTATGATTCGCTGGCTACACACTGATCAGCAGTGGAGTCGAGAAGTAAGGGTATTCCTGCTTTACTACCCATGACATCGGCTGACATCTTATCAGCAACTTAGGACAGGCGGCTACTTCCTCTTTTCCTACCTGTTATCAATCATCATGCCCATATTATTTGTTGGCCTATCCCTGAATTGTTTTATATTCGGTGAGCTTCGTTAATTCAGTGCTCTCTCTAGGTCCTCATGTGCTATTTCGTGCGCAGCGATGTTGATAGCAGGCTTTAACTTCCAGAATACCGTCTGCCGCGTCATCACCGCGCTCTGGCTAGTCATATACGCCATCTGCATTGGGGCAATATTGATGGAATTCGCGTGGAGGTATGCGAAAAGCAATGATCTAGACACCGACGGGAGTTTCTACCATTACTTTCGCCTTTTTACCGTGGTGGAATCTTTGGCGCTTGTATGGATGCACAATAAATTACAGACCGATAGCCGGGTGGACGACACTCCGGCCGATACCGCGTGCTTGGGTAGAGAAGGTTGTTAGTGTCAAAAAAGCCTACAACTTCAAGTATACCAATACCAGACTAATTATCGGCGCGAGAGCAATTGATGTGTCAGAATATTAATTCTTTCTTGCTTCTGTCTCTCTGTGAGCGTTCTTCGAAACGCTCGTGAATCAAGGAGCTTGATAAAATCATGATCACAAGGAGACGGCTTAAAGGGGACTCTAGTCACGTGTTGATATAAAGCCTGAGGGCATCTGCTAAGCAGTGTTCAGTATTTACGGTTGACGACCTGGACGATGAGCGAACCTACCGATGCTGATCGTGTATGGTTACTTCGTTTATTTATGATGAAGATAATTGATCATTTGTGCAACAGATTCGAGCAAAGCGCCTTGCAAAGTTGCAGGCAGGATCTACGTCTAATTCACCAACCCCTTCACCCGCCTCTCCTGGGCCTTCAACCCCCGTAGCCCAGCTTCCCCAACCAAAACCAAAAACTCTTTCTATTCCACCTCAATCAACAACCCCGCCACCTCAACGTAATGTCCCTGTGAAGAGGAAGTTCATCGCACCTGCTCCCAAAGTTGATTACCAGACATGGGAGAACGACACAATATCTACAGTCCTCAAGGTTACACTTAGTGTATGCTCTTCACTTCTTTGTCGTAGCAGTTGTAACTCATCAATTAATAGAAATCAACCGCAGAGGCAAACGAGTATGATCTCGTGTGGCTCAAGCATCTTCAGGTTGAGCTCGAGTCTGAGGGTCACCGTACGTCTTTTCTATAAATCCACTCGTTTCACTAATGTAGTTTTATTAGCTCATATGACTCTTACGAACGATATCGTGGATCGACTCCTCATCTCTCGCCTCGAGCTTAATGCGCAGGCCATGTCGTAAGTTTCTTCCTTTGATCGCCCTTTATCATTCACATTCATATCTCATTGATCCTATTCAAACGTTTGCGCTCGATCACCGCCTGAGTCGTAAGTGATCACTAACAAAGTCATAAATACAGCGACGACCTCGAATATGTCTCGGTGCTGGCCTCTCTCCCTCCTCAGTCCGTTTTCGAGTACCTTGTAGGCTGCTGGAAGCGTATCAACACTGCCAAATCAATTTTACTCAAGAAGGTGCTTTGACTCTTCTACACCCTCATAAATCATCTCACAAGATTCTAGAACCCCGTCTCTGAAACCCAGCAAGCCACCGCACTCCTGAATCAGCTCAGAGACCTCATTATCAGTTACATAGGCCTTAACCTTCAGGATCCGGAGATGTTTCCACAACCCGCTGAGTGCGTTCTCTCCATCTAATTGATGTGTCGTTAAGCAATTACCCTTTCTCTTTTTCACCTGTCCCAACTTTGCCTTCTCTTGAATGTATAGTCGTCCACTATCAACCCTTGGGTCGCACGAGCTACTCTCACCCCTGCTCTCCCTCTCTGCCCTATCTACGCCTCTGTACGCATCTACAACCACCTCTCAAACCACGCTGGCTCCCACAGAGGTTCAGCCATTCTTGCAGGACCTTGTCGCTCGCTTCGCAGACCCAGTGCGTGTACTTTTATTTCACAACATTCTATCGTAGAACACATGCGTTCATTGTCTGCTCCTCAAGCTCCAGCTTAAACTTATATATTCCTCTAGGATGAACTTTTAATCACGCTAAGCACCCTCGTCCACACTCTCATCGCACACACCCTTACCATACCATCGGAGGGCATTGGCGGAAGTGGTGGGGACTCCGCATGGCGTGGTGTCATAGGAGGCATGGAAGCCCTCGTCGGAGTAAAGCCCATCGCGGAGATGATCACGAGAATGCCGCAATGGCTCGGCGAGGGTTTCGGGGTGGAAGTGACGGCTGCAAACTTTGAGAGGCTGTCTCTTATGGGCCCGCTGCTTAGGCTGGGGACGTTCAGTCGGGAGTGGGTGAGTATTGTACGGTGAGGCGTGTGAATGATGATGTATCTGACATACGTCGTACGCCAACAGCCAGGTATTGCGCAAATATACTTTAGCGACCCGACGAAACGCAGTCGTGCGGATGTGGACTCGTCGAATGCAAGTTTGAGAGGGACGTTGAAGAGTTTGCAGGTGAGTGATTTTGGTTTACGCTTCCTTGTATGGTTTCACTCATTTTCGCGTTCTTTCATTTGCACCCGTGATTCAGTCCTCCCTCTTTCAAATATTTAACACCCTCGTGCGCACATCTCCCGAAGCGCGTGAGCGGGTATTAGAATACTTTGCGACAGTAGTGCGTCTCAACGTAAAACGTGCAGGAATGCAGGTACGATTATTTTGCCTCCTGCGCAGTGGGATGCTAATCAACACATGCGCAGGTTGAGCCTGATACCGTCGCGTCGGACAGCTTCATGGTCAATCTGCAGAGCGTGCTGCTGAGATTCGCCGAGCCCTTTATGGACGCGAGATATACAAAGGTTTGTTCGTTTATTTTCTCAATGGATTTCAGTCTCCCTCATGACTTGCTGTTATCTTTCTACTACTGTAAACGTCATTGCGTGGTCGCGCGCATTTTGTGTATTGTTCTGTGACCACAGATGGACCGCATAGATCCATATTATTTTTCAGTATCTACCCGAATTGATCTAAAGGAGGAAACGAGGATCAAAGCGACAAGCGATGAAGCTGCGCAATGGGTCGAGGAGAGCAAGTCAAAGGGTGGGTGTTCTCTCACCTTACCACATGTTTCCCTACTGATGCCTATCCTCTATAAAACCACAAAAATTAACACGTAATGCAACTATGTGCTCGCACACACCTCACCCAAACACTATTACTTTGACCGCCTCAGCCGCAACGCCCAACTTCATCTCCGACATTTTCTATCTCTGCAATGCGCTGGGGCACTATGGATACATACGCACGATACAGATGTACGAGGACTTGGGGAAGACTCTTGATGATTACCAAAGGCACCATGATATGATTACTGGGGATGGGTCGTGGATGGGGGTGCGTATTTTTTCTTTGATGATCACTTCTACCGTTCATGTATAATGAACTCATGTTGTATCTGCAGACGCCTCAACAAGCGCACGTGCAAGCCACCATTGAGAACGTCAAGGTAAGTATTTTCTCATGCACTCTAACCCATGGCTTGAGTGTAACAATATCTCGCACGAAAAAAAAAGAATGAAATGTCAAAGATCCAATCCCAACAACTTGCGTACCGCGTCCAGCTGCTTGATCCTGAGCTCGTGTTCCGGTATGTAGGGTTCACGAGCTTTGCGTCGACTTGGTTGATCCGGAGCGTCGACCCGCGGGGGACGCATCCGAATCCTGTCGTTGAGTACGTTTCTCAGTCTTGAGTGAGAGGTTTTGTTTGGCGTGATGGCTGATGCGCGATGTTCTCTGACAGGCTGCCCCTTTCGAAGGATGTTCCGATGACGTTCCGAGTCCTTCCGGAGTTTATTATTGAGGATGTGGTCGAGTTCTTTTTGTTTGTCGTGCGGTATGTTTTTATCGCTCTTGACAAGTGCGCATGGGAGCTGATGGACTTGAAGGCACTCGCCAGAGAGTCTTGACTTGTCTGGGAAGGATGAGCTTGTGATCTTTGCGCTGACGTTCCTTACTTCGACATGGTACATCAAGAACCCGTTCTTGAAAGCTAAGATCAACGAGGTGCGTTTCCCCCCTTCGCTTGCTACCGTGAAAATTCGCTGACGTTGGGAATATGAGACAGGCGGTATTTTATGGCGTGTTGCCGTACGCAAACGACAGACACGGGATTTTGGGACACACGCTGAACACGCATCCCGTCGCGCTCAAGAACTTGATACCGGCGTTGACTCATTTCTATATCGGTACGTCTTGTCGTCAAAAGCTGGATGAACGTTGTTCATAATGTCTTCAGAGGTCGAGCAAACGGGTGCTAGTTCGCAGTTTTATGACAAATTCAGTAAGTGAGATTTTTCCATGAATGGATAGAATCTGAGGACATCGATATCTCAGACGCGAGGAGGAATATCGCTTACATTTTGAAAGCGGTTTGGGACAATCCTGTTCACAGAGATGCCTTGAATAAGGAAGCTCGGTATGTTTCCCCTCGTAATATTCACGCAAGACCAATGTTATCCTCCAGGAATGTCGACAAATTTATCCGGTTCATCAACCTCATGATCAACGATGTCACCTATCTCATGGATGAGTCTCTCAGCGAGCTCACGCAGATCCACAACATCCAGACAGAGATGCGCGATCAAACCGCTTGGAACGCTCGTCCTCAGCAGTACCGACGTGAACGCGAAGGTGCGCTCCGCGGCCTCGAGCGACATGCATCTGGATATACCACGCTGGGCAGGTCCACCGTCGGTCTTTTGAAGGATTTCACAGCAGAAACTAAGGGGCCATTCATGATGCCCGAAATTGTGGACAAACTCGCGGCTATGCTGGATTACAACCTCGATGCGCTCGTTGGGCCCAAGTGCGGCGAGCTGAGGGTGCAAGACCCAGAGAAATACAAGTTCAATCCCCGTCAGCTCTTGAGCGACATTCTGCAAGTGTACATCAACCTCAGTGATCAAGAGGAATTTGTGAGAGCTGTTGCAAATGACGGAAGGAGTTATAGGAAGGAGCTGTTTGAAGCGGCGATGGAGACTGCTAGACGGGTGCCGTTGAAAACTGAGACTGAGATTGGGGTTGTGAGGTCTTTTGTGTCCAAGGTGGAGGAGATGAAAACTACGATTGAGGCGGAGGAAGATTTGGGCGAGATACCGGATGAGTTTTTAGGTCGGTTTTTTTCTCTTGTACCTCGTCATGGAAAAAGGCTCACGGCGAATTAATCAGACCCTCTCATGGCCACGATCATGCGTGATCCAGTCACGCTTCCATCTTCTCGCGTCGTCATAGACCGCTCGACTATTAAGTCTCATCTGCTCTCTGACTCCAAAGATCCTTTCAACCGGGTGCCGTTGGTGGTAGAGGATGTTATCCCCAGTACGTTTCTTGTTGTAATGCGTATTTGCCATGTTTGACGTGATATTGTAGATGTGGAACTTAAAGCACAGATCGATGCGTTTATAGCCGAGAGAAAGAACAAGCGATCAACAATAGAAGAGGGGATTGTGAAGATGGATGTTTCCGTAGATTGATTATATCAATACTGTGTCGCTAATTTTGCATCAGGCTGATATGAATGTGATGTCTTTTTCAGGAGTTCCTTCGAGATTGGATACCGGGTCGAGGAGAGGAACGTACTTCTCCTACCACACGTCTGTTGCAGACACAAGTAGAAGATAACATCTACGTGTGTAGATTATGCATAACTTTGGCTAAAGTTTATGTCCGTCTTCTATATTCATGAACCTGCCCATTCCGGTCTGCCTGGTTGAAGTGGGCAACAGTGAACTTGCCTGTATCTCAGCCTCAGTACAATGCACCTGTGTTCGCAATGCTAAAGTCGGCGTTAGTATTGGCAACGACACTTACAATATTGAATACAACATTGCACCTCTGGTAAGGGTATGCCTGTCATCGTTAGAGCAGGCGGGTAGAGGCATGATAAGCAAATATGATAATGAACACGAAATGCTACTTCTTTCGTTTCTTGCTTCCCCGGGCATTGCTCGCTGACCCTGCCCTGGCTCGTCCCACCGCCCCTCCTCGAGCAAGCTGCTTGACACGCCCTCGTCCCACTTTTGATTGACCTGTATACATCAGCCGAGAATAAGGCAGGAGCAAAAAGAATTTACCAGGTGATGTTTCTTGCACGTCCGGGTTGTCCTCTTCATAGTCCGTGCCTGCGTCCGTGCCTGTGATGACGCTAGGGGTGATCCCAGCGCCCTCGTCTCCACTCTCCTGCGTGAGCGCACTGCTGTCGCTATCGCCTCCTACTAGGCCAGCCATGTCCGCCTTGCTTTTACTACGTTTCGTGGTCTTGGTCTTTTTCGGTTTACTGGGCTGGCGCGGGGATGGTGCAGGCGTTGATGATGGAAGGGAGGCCGTTGCACGTAGCCGACGCTCTGAGATGATATTATTGAAAGCATCATCATTAGGAAGAGAATATTCATCTCGAAAGAAAGGATGTCGTGAGAGATTCTGAGAAGGCGAAGGGGATCGTACGAGGTGTGGTGTTGAATTCTGGCTCGAGGTTGGCGTGTCGAAACCATCAATTTCCTGGCACATACTAAGACAAGTAAAAACAAAATTAAAAGCGCTGTGCAGCTCACCGCTGTCTCTAGTGCATCAAGATCATAACACACTTTCAACTTTGCCCAAATACTCTCGACGGGTAGTACCCGACCAGTTTCATTGTGTACTGCATTGCGAATGGCTAATACGTGAAAATGCTTGTGGAGGCCAACGGGCCGAGCCTTCATTACGGATCGGAAGAAAACAATCTCCCCTTCAACGCTGTTGAGGAAGTCATCTGGGCTGTCAGACATGTTATTGAGACGTGGTTTGTGAGGTAGCGGTTGTTTGGCAAAGGCTTTGGATCCAAACAAACGCGTCCACATTGAGAACAGTCACGTGGGGGAACTCTCATTCTCGCTCACTGGTTACTTACGGTCACTCGATTCCATGTCTGACACAGAGCAGGATATAACCGTGCTCGGAAAGCGTGGTAGAAACTCGGACGATGATACAGGTCGTCTGCAGGATGGTGAAGATGGTCCCATGCCAGCTGCCGACGCAGCCATAAACCAAGACGACAGCGATGATGATGTTGGTCCTATGCCTCTACCTGCGAACGCAAATGGTGGATCCAAAAGGAAGCGCAGAGGTGAGTCGTACGATTATCAGTCTGTGAATCATTGACCTACAATTCAATGCTAGTGGTCCCTCACGAGAAACTGTACCTTGACCACCTCCCAGATGCAGAACAGTACTACAAAAGCTACATGCATCGTGACTCACTGAGCTTCGTTGTTGTCACGAAGTAAGTCCAAGAGAATATCTATGGAGCGAGTATCTAAATCTCGAAACAGGACAGACTTTATCATCACTACGTCGGTTGACGGACATCTAAAATTCTGGAAGAAGCAGGACGAGGGCATCGAATTTGTGAAACACTTCCGTGCACACATGAGCCCCATAACTGGAGTATCATCAAGTGCAGATGGACAGCTTTTTGCCAGTATCTCGGAAGATGGGTCTGCAAAAGTGTTCGATGTGCTCAACTTCGGTGCGCAAGTGGCCTACATTTCTTTATCTTGGCGCTGACTAGTAAACAGACATGATCAACATGATAAAGCTCGGGTTTACCCCTCATGCGTGCTGTTGGGTACATAGACGAGGGCAAGCACAAGGCCTGCTGGCTGTGTGAGTATCTTGTGCAAATTCCTGGTTAACTTCTAACAAAGTATATAGCTCGGAGCAAGGGACGGGTACCATACGGCTTTATGATGGTCGCGGTAATGATTCCCCACTACTAACAATCGAAAAACTCCATCGTTTCCCTGTGCATTTGATGGCGGTGAGTCTACCCTATTTGAAGAAGCGCCTGATGTGACGGTCATTCCTTCAGTACAGCGACCGCTACGATACTGTGATCTCTGGTGATGAAAACGGTTTCGTTGAGTACTGGCAACCGTTTGAGCCTTTCGAGCCACCACGAAATATACCTGGCATGTGGTCATTGAAGTCTTCGACGGACCTCTACGAGTTCAAAAAGGCAAGTTAAAATTTCCATTTTGTAGCATTCGCTGACTTTTATCTAGACAAAATCAATCCCTGCTTGCATAACGCTTTCACCCGATTCCTCTTCCTTTGTTACATTTTCTCTTCCAGATCGTCAAATCCGCATATTTTCCTTCCTGAAAGGCAAACTGACTCGAAAGTACGATGAATCGTTGACAGCAATCCAGGAAATGCAACAGGCCAGTACCTCAATCCATCGCGTAGAGGACATGGAGTTTGGTAGGCGGCTGGCAGTGGAAAGGGAGCTTGAGATGCCAGGTCCAGACGGACGAATTCCTGCAATGTCGACCAATGTAGTGTGGGACGAAAGCGGGGCATTTGTCTTATATCCGACCTTACTCGGAATCAAAGGTTGGAAGTGACTTCTGTTTGGCAGACTCAAAACTGATATGTTACTGTTTCTCAGTGGTCAACACGGTGACGAACCGTGTTGTACGGTTACAGGGAAAGGATGAATCAGTTCGATGGATGAACCTTGCATTGTACCAGGGAGCGCCTGCAAAGAAAGGGCTAGCACCTGTATGTACCTATTCATGATTGAGGAACACTGACAAGCAACTTTTATAGGCGATGACAGCGTCTGCAAATCCCATGCTTGCCAACAAGGGTATTCGAGACCCGATCCTCTTTTGCACAGGATATAAACGCCAGCGTTTTTATCTTTTTACTCGATCCGAACCAGAGTAAGCACTTTATCATTTGACCTTGCTACGTCTTCATATCTGTATCACAGAGACAGCAAAATACACGACAGAGACGTCTTTAATGAACGGCCGACGCGTGAAGAACAGTCCATTGCCTCTGCGACTGCCCTTACCAAATCAGGACCATCACCTTTGGCTTCATCTGCAGTGATTCACACTTCCATGGGCGACATACATATGCGCCTATTTCCCCAACAATCTCCAAAGGCTGTGGAGAACTTTGTGGGCCACGCACGGAGCGGTTATTTCGAGGGTGTCATTTTCCACCGGGTCATTCCGAAGTTCATGATCCAGACTGGAGACCCATTGGGCGATGGCACAGGGGGGACGTCAATTTGGGACAGGGAATTTGAAGATGAGTTCTCCGCAGATTTGAAACATGACCGGTAATTATTTGGCGCTTGTCTCAGTCAAAATTCCATGGTTGATTGACTACATTACAGCCCGTATACCATCAGCATGGCAAACGCAGGTCCTAACACAAACGGCTCGCAGTTCTTCATTACCACTACAGCCACTCCATGGTTAGACAAGAAGCACACGATTTTTGGTCGCGCTATCTCTGGATTGGAGGTCATTCATAATATCGAAAACGTGAAGACGAATAAGATGGACAAGCCATTTGAAGACATCAAGATTGTCAATGTTGATGTCGATTAATTTGGATTACATATCTTTGCATCATCATCTTTGGAGAGATATTTAAAGCGCGACACGGTCCATAACCTCTACGTGATGATGAACCAAGAGCGATGACCCAATGGAAGAAAGGCTTTGTCGAAACTGTGATTGGAGGCGTTTTGTAACGCGTTCCGGAAATAACTCAGGGTTCGTCTCTGCAAGTAGACACGGGCAGGAGAACTTGAGTAGAGTATGCGACTGATTAGAGCTTGGTGAGGAAGATGTACATGACGTCGCTGGGACAACCATTGCTTCATAAACGTCCAAAGGTTGTCCGCTCAGGAATGATGTCTGATTAGCCGAGATAGGAACATATGCGACTGGATAACCGATCAAAGTTGCAGCCAGAGGAACAAGATTGTCCTGTGTCAAACCATCGACGAAGGAAAATGAGACATTGGCTTGAGATTCTAGCATGTCTGCATTCATGGCGCATATAATGTTCAGCACTGTCGTTGGCGTGCTATTCAGCTGCCAGGAAGCATTGAGAGGTTAAGGTGTTCTACGTTGTCTACATAGTACTCACCAGTGTAGGGAACGTATCAAGGAGAACGTATGTGACCGCCGCATTGTCCTCCAACAATGTTCGAGCGAAGGCTCGCAGTATGCGAGAGTTTACGATGAACGACTGAAGTGACGAAGGATCGTACCAATGGACAACGTCAGCAAAAGTTGCACTCTGGTTCATCCGCCTTCGATAAATCGTGCTGCAGTGAATGCCCGGTGATCAAAACGTACCTTCGACCGCAAGCCACCCAGCACATGGGAAAACAAGCTAACGGGGTCCTGCACTGCGAACGTGTCCACTAAGCAAGCAGAACTGCAGATCATGATCATGTCAACTCATATGTTTTTTGCGACTACCAAGTCTTACCGGATGCCATGAGCGATCAGACATAGATCGGTTGAAAACTGTTCTAGTTTTCCAGGCCGAACCTTTCGCAGCGTCCTCTGCGCGAATAATTCCTCATGGGCTAGTCGATTGTTCTCTAGAAACGACCTCGACATCGACTTAGACTTTAGCCTTCTGTGGACGTTGTGTTTGTGGGGAAGTGTTTGGGCCCTATGTAGTGCACCCAGACTGATCGGCTCAGCTTCAAATTGTCCTAATGATGTTACAACAGGAAACGAATCCCACAGCCCAGCTCCAGTCTCTCGCTGAAGAACTCCAGTCTCATATACTGAGTTTTCTTCCTTATCGAGATATTCTTCGATGTACATCCGTGAGCTATAATTTGCTAATCGATGTTGTCCTTGATACCATGACTGACAGGTGTCTTTCAGTTATGCAAGGCCCTTCGCCAGGCGTACACATCGTGCTCCGAGCTTCAATACATTGTTGAGCTCGGTGGTCAACATCTCCTCCCTGTCCCTCACACTTATGACAATCGCACTTCTATTTTCAAGCGCCTACAACTCCTGAGAGATAACGCCCACGCATGGTTCAACTTTGATATCCACTCTTTCAAAACAGTCTCCATACCAGTCCATAACAAAATGTGGGTTGTCAATGGCCACCTTTGCCTGTGGGAGCGACATCATGACTCGACCACAATTTTTCCAATACTACCGAAACCTTCCCAATACACAATCGAGCGTAATGGGTCTCCGATGTCGTTACGTTCAGATCCCAATGCATACGGCTTCGATGTGCTCATGGACCCAGCGCAGAATCTAATTGCTGTCGTGTATGCCACTGTCGATGATGATTTCCAGTGGGATGACGAGAGGATCTATATCGACCTCGGGGCCCTGGATGGGGGAGGTATCCACCCTCAAGCCATTGGACGTACATTATTTCGCTCAGAGCTGCCTGGAATCCCGAGTGGTAATCGCACTTCAACAGACTTGGGGAAATTAAAACTCAAGTGTTTCGGAAGACATATCGCTCTGTGGCACTCCCGACAGATCACTTATGAATACTTCGACGAGAGGCTATGGGGGTTGCAGATTTGGGACTGGCAGCACTCAGCAACGTCCAGTGTGAGCTTTGGTCCGAAATAGTTGAAAGACTTGTTGACACTTGATTTAGAGCATCCTCAGTGCCACAATAAACCCAGCGTGTGAGGAAGCAATTGATTTTTGCTTCCTTGGAAACGACAGGTTGCTTATTTTCAGCGATGAGATGAAGCTCTATTTAATCGAGGACACATCCAAGGCGCCGCAGTTACTGGCTTGCTTCTTGTTGCCTGTATCACTGACGAGAATACAGTGCATATACTCAATGGATGATATTGCACATACCTCGCAACCCCAGAAACTAGCCCAACAAACGATGTGGGCTTTGGACCCTGAGCATCAGCTATTATCAATTGTCACATTCTCTCCGAGTCTCATATTCATCATTTCCACCACGATTTTCTTCGATCTCGAGTTGTTTGAGGGAATACTAGAAGCAATACCGTGGAAAAACTGGGGCCCTTTGAATGCTCGTGTATTCCAGACACCGAGCCGTTACAATATTTCCGTTGGTGGAAATCGAGTCTTGTTGGCATTTCCTGCAGATGACACGACTGGCATCTGGCATTCCCCCCAAAAGTATAGACTGCGTGTGATGGACTTCAGCCCGTTAGCTTTCGAGCGTCGACAAGGTCTAGGACGAGTCGTGAAAGAGCCATCTACGATAGAAATCACAGAGTCGCGGACGGGGGAGAGCTTCAAGTTGGCGGAGAGCTTAACGACATCCCTGCCATACGTCGAGGTTATGTTGGACCAAGACAGAACATTCGGATATCGTGGTTTTGAAAGGATATGGATTGATGCGGACAGAATTTATTTTGTAGGTTCTTCCCATTCTTCAAGAAGTGCGATTTACCGATTTTTATCTACATAGTATCATGGATCGAATCAGCTCGAGGTCATTGAGGTAACGTCAAGGGCTGCAGTTGCAGTAAAGCATATTACATCGTCAAACTAGCCCCAAGTAATATTGTACCGACTACAGGTCATATAGTATCTGAACTTCATTCAGGATGTAATCCAAACAAGGTTTTTGTACTCACATGTATACTAGATAGTCCCACCTCATGTAATATAACCTCGGATGATCAACGACGTCTAGAAACATGGTGCACATGCACATCGAGGCTGGCGAAATTGATGGTCAGTTAGAAGACAAAGAAGCAACCAATGTCATCAAGCATACTTGCGTTATCTACGCCCCAGCAGATATATACTTCATTCTTTCGAGCTCAGATATGCTTTGTTGCTCCTGCACAATCCACTTATTTGATGCACGTACGATCCAGGTCAAAAAAGCGGCGGTACACCACCATGCTGTGGTCTGCCACATTTTCCCGCTCAGAACTGAAATTACAGGAGAAACTGCTGATAGCCCAAACGCGACGCTATAAGGAAGAGGAGTTATTCGCCGTTTAGCAAGAACCAAATTCCGGGAGCGAGCGAGCAGAGCAGCGTTTGCATGGAGGATGATCGCGAGGAGTGTCAAGATAGGACTTAAATAGAGTGGTGACTCCGGTCTACCGGCTGGTGGAAAGATAACGACTAATGGACTGTTGTAGTCAGAGGAGATGTAGATTATATGCCTGGTAAAATAATATACGTCGAACCTGTATCACTGCAATTGCAGTCATATTGTTGCTCACAGTAAAAAAGACAGCGCGAGCGTAATCTGTAACGCAATGCGGTTCTGATTATTCGATGCTGCATTCAGGCTCTTGATGTTGTCAATAAGTTCGCTTTGTTCTACAATCACGAATCAACATCTCTGACACCTCAACGAAAATGTTTGCCTACGTCACCTTGTTCATCCAGTATGTATGTGTCATGGGATCCAGAGGGTTCAGATGAGTATTTGAATGGGTTCCTTCGTCGGAGAGCATCCATGTCCAAAGTTTGATATGGGACTTGACTTTGGGACAAGTTGTAACGAATGAGGAGCCTGCGCAAGAGGTATCCGTTGAAGCTAGCACCAAATAAGTCCACAGATGGGTCACGTGCGTTTTATTAATACCTTATCAGCCCTGCTTAAATACAACGGCCCGCTGGGCATCCCAGGACCCTGCCTCGTGTCAGCGCGGGAATAATCATCCCTTCTGTTCGAACCGCTTTTTTTTTCCATTTTTCTGTCAACCAGGTTGTGCGCGTTCTGGCCTTTTGGAGGCGCGCTGTTCCCGCGCGGCATGCTACCAATGGCCTGTTCCTGGCCGGTGTGTCCTGTAACTGTGGCTTTGCAACTTTTTCTGGCATTTGCAATACAATTGTGTGCTCAAATTATGCTACCTCCCAATGCAACTAGTGTTCTCATTGATTCCCTCTTCTTCGCAGGCCCTTCCGAAATCATAGTCATATTTGTTGCCAGTTTCTCGTCATCAATCCTACCTCTTTGCCTTTATGCTGATACCAACATATAAGAAATTGTAACGTCCTTGTCACCTTCGACACATTCGTATCCCCCGAGGCACCACATCATGATTGGCATATCCTGGCAAGTTATTGTTGTGTCCCCCAGCGTTTTCATTGGACCGAAGTCCCACCTGAGAACGTCGTCGTCCACAGTACTCCGCATTGCGTGTGGACAATAACCGCCCTTGCTCCTGCTTCCATCCTCTCTCTCGCACATATGCTCTCCCAAATGGAATGGATCCGCGCTCACTCTGAACCCTCGCCTTCTGTATTTCATCAGTACGTGCAGTGTACGCAGGTGGGTTAGGTTCTCCAGATACATTCGAGGGTTGACCAGGCTTTTGTTTGCGGTCGTCCAGCGTGGGTACAGGCACACAATTGAGCGCGCTGTGATATAGTTCATGACCGCCGTGGAGTGAAATTGCACGACAGGCGCCAGAGCACATTTCCAGTCAGTGACGATGATGTCCACTTCCATATCTTCGTTCTGCAATTTGTGCATCTTCAAGATTGCAGAGCTGTCGTATTCCGTCTTTTTCTTCACCTCTTCCATGCACTTATATCCTTCCCTCTCTTTGAAGTGATCTAGTACCTCCGTTTCGAACTTCTCAGTGGTGTAGACATCCATGTCGCGCCCCACAATTGCTTCCCGCTCGGCTTGCAGGAGAGTGAGCGCGCAGGAGCCGGATACGACTGCACCCGTGCGGTCCAACAGATTAATGAAGGCATCGGCGTCGACGACGAAGCGCCAGAATAATTTGATCCGTCGCATCGCGATGTAATGCGCTATGCCATCTTTGTTCTCCCTCCGTGTGCTCGCGAAATCTATGAGGTCGGGGAGGGCCATTTGTTCCATGATGTTAGTTTGGACTTCTGCGCTCAGCATGCCGATGCAACCATTGTTCTGTTGCATGGCGTTCATGACAAGTTGTGTATAGAGGGGTTAGTCGTTCAGACGCAGCCCCTTTCTTGTCCTTTCGCTTTTTTCCAATCTGCACGTCCCGTTCTCCTCGGACTTGTAATTGTCATTTGCAGTCACTGTGTCTCGCGTTTGCAAGTGGCTGGGCTGTATCTCCTCATATTAACGTCGCTAGTAGCAATAACCAGGCGAGCTCTGCCATCGTCCCCTTCAGCTTTGTCCTGCATATATTATGCAGAGTATTTAACCGATCTTTCTCTACATCCAATACCATCTATTTCAATCTTAATCACCATTACTCAACACTCTTCCGGAGACCTTCAACGCGCTCAAGAAGGTAATGTCATTGCTGCCCTCGACATTAGCAGTCGCTACCTTTTGATCGGCGCTCTAGGCAGCCGCCATCTCTTCTTTGTCCTTGGCCGCAGATCCTTCTCCTTCCCCGACTTCAGGTGGGACCTTGGCTATGATACTTCGTTTGATGATTTATTAGTGTAGGCCACTTGTTGTGATTGGGCCCTGCTTACAATTCGACGGCTCTCATGACTTCCATATAGTCCCCTCTGCTAACATTGATGATTGCGCTCCTGTTGATTGACTTGAACGCAAGGTAAGGGCATGCCCCTTTTCCATGGAGCCCTTGGTCGTATAATACTATCATGTCAAACGGCTCCCCTTCGCTCTCGCCACCATTCGAATAAGCTATTCTGGCTCCTTTTAGTTGCGCTTCTGGTCTGAAAAATTTTCTTCCAGCCGAGAATAGATTCTGTTGTGTGAGTTGCCCTTCATTTAGTTGCACGTCTACAAAGCCGTTTTGCTGCGCAAATGATACCAGGCATGCAGTGACAGTGTGTTCGTTCGACATGTTGTGTGAGTTGCTATTCCCCTCATAGTTCCTAGGCTTTAAATATTGTTCGAGATATCGTCTCCGCCCCTGAATCATCTGACGTCAATTATCCATCCGTTGGTCCTCTCGGATGTCTCGTCTGTCTCTTTCGGTGGTCTCGTCTTTGATTTTATAAGCATATGTCAACTCCAGTTTCCCACATTTCTCCCTCACCAGTACCACATTCTCCCTTTTTCTTGTCAGTATGGTAGCCATTCCTTCTACGCCCATTGATCACATCTACTCTACGGAGAATCACATGTTCTCCCATGAGCCCGTACGTCCTTGTCTCCTTTTTGATGTCGTCTCTTGATGTGATATATCCAGGTTGGCCGCACCTATCATCGCGCTTTTTTCTATGCCACAGGCTGTTCTGAGGCTGTTCTGACTTATGTCCCGCAAGACGCCGATGGCTTCGTTCGTGCACATATGTGGATCGGGGCTGGCCAATACTCCTCTGATCATTCTATGTGTTCATCCATCCTTCCAGTCCACGGTTTCCCCGGTGCTACCCATAGTCTCTTTGTGGATGCTTACAGTGTGCTCTATTATTTGCGACATTCTTCCCTTCCCCGAAATCAAGCTATCGCCGTTGACCATACACATCATTGTGATTTACAGTGGTCCGGCGATGTCTTAGTTATCAAGCATATCGGCCACAATTTCCATACTTATCAGTCCATGACTTATGACGAAAAGGCCCTTGTAGATGCCATCTTGACGTGGTAGGTTTGTCGTCATTGCGTCGAGCTCCCCATGTGATATCTTGGCCATTCCAGTGTGCTGCATTCTTTGTGACATAGCCAGTCGAAGCCTCGTCCATGATGTATTCTCTAGTACACTACAATTGTTCAATATAATGCATCAGACGCCTCTCGCTAGCCTCCTGTAATGGATCTCTCCCGCTCCTGATATACCACCATAACGTTTTCCCCAATTCATCGCAGTCCAAGTCAAAGGCAGGAGAATCTGGCACAAATCCTTCACCGTTCTTCACAATCACTACCTCGCCTTTTGGGCACTTTCTCCCAAAAATTTCCCTCAACACTGGATGCAAAGATCTTTTGTCGTCGTCTCTTGTCGTGAAGTAGATGTGATAATACCAGTGCGTGATCTTTTGTTCTTTTGGAAATAATACCAGCGGCGCCTGCGGTTCTCCATCAGGCAATAACCTCTCTATGATTTGTAGTCCTTGCAAATTCGATGTCGGCCGTGCCTGCCTTACGGGCAATAAGTTAGCCAATAGGAGTACGAGTCCCTGGGTAACGCTCGTTGATACTGTCATGTCATCGGGAATCCTGACAGCGATACATGCTCTGGCTGCTGCCTCCGACCTCACCTGCGCACGCATCCGCTTCATCCGCTGTCCGTGAATCAGTATGTATTGATTATTATTCTCGGTCATCCTTACCTTGATACTCAGCACACAGTCTGGATATTGCTCACTGATGAAGCTGCATATCTGTCGATGTGTGTAGTCTCCACGACACTCTATATCTGCTATAGCTAGCAGCAGTTCAGATCTCGTTGGATGTGGTTCCATGGTGAATTTCAAGCCAAATTTTATTTTCCGTTTGTCATAGTCCTCTGAATTCACCAAAATGATGTCATTGCATTATATACGTCATACAGCTCCCTAACTTGTTTGTCTCGTCTTAAATAGCTAAACCGTCGATCTGGCTGGTCCCTTGATTGTCTTCTTCCGGCATGTCGCTGATGTCCAAGAGAGAAATTGCAATCATCTCGTATTGCGCGCGAGAGTGCCACTTATCTTCCAATTTTTTGGAGTATTTTGTCATCTTCATCTCCAACAGTATGAGATCTCCAGTTTTGAGATCCCCAAGGTTCCAAAGAGGCCTCTCGCTATATGTTTTCAGAGATCCTTCCGCTCTGACATCATATACTGCATCGAAGAGCATTGCCTGCAGTTTGATTAGCTCCGCATACCGCTGATCCACAATCTACGCACCGTTGTCTCTCCATCATTCTTCTTGCCATTCTGCCATTTGATGGCACGAATCACTTGCGCCGACTGCTGATTGATATCTAGGGACGTGTGAGCTTTGTGCGGTCATGTTGTCTATCACTTACTCAGTGTCGGGCTTGACATCTTCGCCAGCAAAATCGCACTTTGCTGGCCTAACGACTTGGAGAGAGGCATGACAGTCAACGACGCCTGATTCTCTGGTGCACCAAATTTGGTGAACCACATTCTTGCAATCCGCCCGACAACCCATAAAGTCAGCGGCTCTCCAGTGGCAGGATTGCACAAGATCTTGCTCCGATCATTGACAGGATTATATTGTCCCCAAGTTGCTGTGGGCAACAACTTGCCGAGAGCATATATGTTTGCCTTTGCGTTAGTATATCCTGATAGCTTGCGTAGCCGTCTGGTAACGGCAATGAAGATTCGACGCCTCATGATATTGCATGCACTCACCCTACTAATATTTCATCGTACCCCTCAATTTCTGAGTCGTCTATGAGACATTTCGTCGGATTTGGCAGCACAGATCGAACAGTGAGTGTCGGCTGAAGTGCGCCAGGTGTCCGTTTGACGCCTGCTGATCCACCTTTTTGTGCGCCATCGCTCTGGCTCATCGTTGCAGTTGTCCTGCCCAATGTCAGTCTCTCATCAGCACAAGGACTTTGTGACTTACTCCTCAGTCTCTTCATGATGCTGAGTGACATCAGTCTCTTTGCCTGTATCAACGTCGTTTGACTCGCCCCCTATCAAATCGATTAATGGAGACGCCAAAGCTTTTCGTGAGTCATGCATATGACTTACCAGTGTCTGCTGTTCTCGCTTTCTTGTACGGGCGTGCATCAGAGATGGCCTCTCCGTCATAGACAGTGTCGTGTTTCGCTTTCGTCATGGTCAAGAGAGAAGAAACAATATTTCAAAAGACCCTATCCGCAGGGTTAAGTAAGATTATTTGATGCCCTCCTAACAATACCAATAAACAACTGCAAATATGTCCGTACTGAAGGTTCACATAGCATTCCTCTATTCTTCATCGAAGCTCAGAGCTGTGTGACTCTTCTTTGCGGGTCTTTCTTGTGGAGGCGGTGTAGACGTGCGCTTTCGGTCAGACATGCTGTTGTCCTGGCACAAATCATTAGTGCAATGTTGTCGTCTACTCATCTGAAACTCACAAGCTTCATTTTTTCGACATAGCCTGCAGGAATCATGCGTACGATGTGAGTGCATGTCAGAAAACATTTCAGTGTTGTCCCTTTATTCCGTTGGCGACTCAACACGAAATCCAATTCCGCACCGACATCCACGAAATCTCCTTCAGTTAATAAGACAGCATCCATGGGCAGTATTTTGCCAGCACTCGTCAAATCAGCTATCGTCAAGGGACGTACAGCACTCCAATGCTCTTGTATGCGCAAGTATTTCCCTTCTGGATCTTGTGTCGCTGAAAGGGCAGGTGTTTTGGATCCGCGAGGCTTATCTCTCTGTTTCTGATGAGTCAGCTCAACATCGTCATTGTTTTCTAGAATGCACCGACTTTGATGAATGCGCGCCTTTGCAAATACAATTCCTTTTTCTGCGGTATGCCTTGCATCGGCAAATGCAAGCGTCTGCTGACATATTCGCAAGCGAGATTAAGAGAGTCGATAGTTGCCTCCCAAGCCTTTGCATGCCCGCCCGACGAGATAGTAACATGTTGGACTGCACGCGTTACATCAGCCTCTTGGCTATAAGATTTCAGTCTCATCTGTTCGAAGCCAGCCCAACTGTTTACTTACCCAGTCCAGTTACCGAACCTTTCCACACGGAATTCGCGCAGAAGTCCTTGAAGTCTGAGAGCCACAGGATACACCGTTCCTGGCTCGCCATCTGGAATATGCTTGTAAATCAAAATACGGTCCCTGGATTTATCCTTTCGCTCGGGATCTTGATAAACATCTGCCCAATCCGCCATATCTCGCAACGATGAAGGGAATAATTCCCATGATGCGTAATCGTAGTCTCCTTGCAGTCTTTGGATTTCTTTTTTCATTGGTGCAGGCCACAACTCAAAGGCCATTGTATTTTCAGATGCTGTGCCAATGTTTAGTTTCATGCAAATTAACCACCTAAGACTGTGTCACTCACCTGCTAGAAACGACATGATGATGATAAGTAGACAAGGAGACGCACCCCATCCTTTGTTAGCATGGGAGCCAACGGCTGTCTCAGATGTTCGAGGTGATTGACGTCATTTTTGCTTTTGTAATCGCATCACGTGAGAGTTGGAAGGAGTCCCACGTCATTGAGAGAAGTGATGATCTTTATGCGACGCATTCGAATGATTTTGCTCATCAAGATCCTGTATTGCAATCAATTTCGTTTTGCAATTGTTCCTACAATGCGGTCCTTTGTTGTTCTGTGTGGTTATGACAACTCTCCGGCGTAGTATGCGGTCATTCAAATCTAGAAGCGCCCATGGATGTTTAGGAGGGCGAAAACTGACTAAGCTCATCTTCAGCGGCAATGACGCTCCTAAAAAAACACGGTGTCTTACCACCATTTTATCATTATGCAGGCCACTGTCTTCGAGCTCCTCAAAACTTCAGACGACCAATGTGCCTTCATTTTCAGTTCGTCTGCTGTGTATTTCGTTTCAAACAGTCGTTGACTGTTATTAGAACGTCAGTTGTCTGGCGGTAATCGAGTCTTCATCGTATCCAGCGAGGAAATGAATGTTGCTCTAGAATCAGGCGACGACAGCACAGTATACACTGAATCTCCGTCTGTCATCGCCACAGTTGCTGTGTATGAGGATTGCGTAGAATTTAACCGTATGTGTGACAGTTAGGGAGGTCAATGTTGGTGCTCACATCAATCCAGGCATCGCTAATCTCATCCAGAATGATCCTGCGACATCAGTGGTCTATGCTGAGTCGCTTGAATTGGCACAAGATTTGGTACACTTTGCATTCACTGGTGAAAGAAGGGATTGACTGTATGCGCACTGGATGAGATTACGTCTTTTCCTTTGACATAAGATACAGTACAGAATGTTCCTGTTTCCCTAGCAAACACATTGGCTGTTCCAGCATGGCATATTCATGCGGATCCGAGACGGCACAATTCACGAGTCACTGCAAGGCAACAGTTAGAGTTAAGGCATGCGCAGAGGAATCCCTCCCTCTATGTCTCGCATCATGCGCCTTCTATGGGAGCACCGGTCCACAATTGTTGAACAAGACCTAAACTGAGAGTTTAGTACGCAAAAAACGAGATCTGAAGTATCTCAGACTTTATGTTCCCTGCATATCTATCTGTAGCTCGTTGGCATACTCCAGACCACTAACGTTTATCCCACCTTTCACGTTTCGGAGCTGAAGCCACATGTCCCAAACAACGCGGAGCTCTATCCTTCGCGGGAGCTCCAACGCCCAGGACCCATCGTGACAAAAACAGGGACCGTCGAATGGGAAATAGAGAGGATACTGGACAGACGAACACGTGGGCGAGGACACCAATATCTGATCCGTTGGCGCGGTTACGGTTCAGAAGCTGACGTTTGGGTACCCGGAAAAGAGCTTGAAGACTCAGACGCACTGGAAGATTACAACGCCAGACACAAGTTGACAGATGAAGACGCAGTGACCGATGAAGACACGCAAGAAGACACAACCGTTAGAAGAACACACGCCGATGAAAACCACACAATAGCTCGAGGAACGCAAACCGGAGAAAAGTCTTCGGAGAATGAGAGGTGTAAGCTGGACGCTTACCAACACGCTTATCTTATCGCACGTCATGTGACCTTTCCCCTTATATTCTGCTGCTCTTGTACCGTTTAGACCAGACTCGAGTCTCTTACCTACCATCACATACTCATTAGCACAACGCTCAAAGAACTCACAGTTTCGTCCTGTTACTTTCGCCTGATTAGTTCAGTGTTCCTTGTCGTTCTCCCGGACAAGGTTCCCTTTTTTATTTCTTGCTGTCGCTGATGCTCCTGCCAGGTGTCAAGCTACTAGCAGGATTGTCCCACCTCTGCAGTGTCTGCACTGACAGAAGGTGTCACGGTTCGTTTTCACCACTCATAGACATCATTTACGCCTTAAGACTTACGCAAACGGGACACAGGAACAAAACCAATCAGCTATCAATGTCTTTCATGTGTTGCGGCATGACATCTCTCTGGGTTCAACCTGTCAGACGCCCATCTCTTCTCTGGAAGATCGCATGGTATTTCGTACAGGATGATGGGTCGCATAATATTGTCGGCAGCTGTAGCACTTGGTATGTGATTCTGGTATTTATAACTTTGAGATTTCAAGTCACCATATCACGCCAGGTGACATTCCTGCTGAATCTTATCCAGCACCTTTGCCCATTTCCCTCCATTCCAAGAGCTAATTCTCGCCCACTCATCCTCCTTCAAGACGCGCTTGTACCAGAACAGTCGACTTGCCACGATGATGTCCGCATACGAGAACGTGTCTCCCATGACACACTCCTCGCCGCTCTTCTCGCGTAACGCTTCTCCCTTATTGAAACTCTGCTCAAGATATGCCCAATCTCCATCGCGTTTCGGGCCTTCGGGTGAAAAATCCTCCCACGGAAGGTGAAACCTCTCCGAGCGCGTTCGACAGAAATACTCCACGCTTGCGGGGTTCAGAATCTCTGCAACACGCACACATATCAGCTTTATGATGGGGTGCGCGTCGTTAAGATGTGCAGAGTCGAATACGCGAATGAGCATCTGAGAGCCGTGCGGGAAGATAGGCTATCTGTTCTTTGAGCTTGCCATTCACGTACTGTCGCAGTGCACATCATTCTTCACGTCCAGGCCGAATTGTCATTTGCAGTCACTGTGTCTCGCGTTTGCAAGTGGCTGGGCTGTATCTCCTCATATTAACGTCGCTAGTAGCAATAACTAGGCGAGCTCTGCCATCGTCCCCTTCAGCTTTGTCCTGCATATATTATGCAGAGTATTTAACCGATCTTTCTCTACATCCAATACCATCTATTTCAATCTTAATCACCATTACTCAACACTCTTCCGGAGACCTTCAACGCGCTCAAGAAGGTAATGTCATTGCTGCCCTCGACATTAGCAGTCGCTACCTTTTGATCGGCGCTCTAGGCAGCCGCCATCTCTTCTTTGTCCTTGGCCGCAGATCCTTCTCCTTCCCCGACTTCAGGTGGGACCTTGGCTATGATACTTCGTTTGATGATTTATTAGTGTAGGCCACTTGTTGTGATTGGGCCCTGCTTACAATTCGACGGCTCTCATGACTTCCATATAGTCCCCTCTGCTAACATTGATGATTGCGCTCCTGTTGATTGACTTGAACGCAAGGTAAGGGCATGCCCCTTTTCCATGGAGCCCTTGGTCGTATAATACTATCATGTCAAACGGCTCCCCTTCGCTCTCGCCACCATTCGATTAAGCTATTCTGGCTCCTTTTAGTTGCGCTTCTGGTCTGAAAAACTTTCTTCCAGCCGAGAATAGATTCTGTTGTGTGAGTTGCCCTTCATTTAGTTGCACGTCTACAAAGCCGTTTGAGCATATCGGCCACAATTTCCATACTTATCAGTCCATGACTTATGACGAAAAGGCCCTTGTAGATGCCATCTTGACGTGGTAGGTTTGTCGTCATTGCGTCGAGCTCCCCATGTGATATCTTGGCCATTCCAGTGTGCTGCATTCTTTGTGACATAGCCAGTCGAAGCCCGTCCATGATGTATTCTCTAGTACACTACAATATATCAGGATGGAAGCAGGAGCAAGGGCGGTTATTGTCCACACGCAATGCGGAGTACTGTGGACGACGACGTTCTCAGGTGGGACTTCGGTCCAATGAAAACGCTGGGGGACACAACAATAACTTGCCTTTGCGACTGGAGCAAGGCTCAGCAGTCGGACCGAAAACGAAAGCCCCCCCTTCTAGGCTGGGACTCGCCAGAAATGGAAAGAGTTTCGCGCAGGTGTTCCGCAGTGTGTTGGCTGACAACTGTTGCAGCGCTGCGTGCACCGCTGCTACCTACTGCAAGGAGAGTAGGATGCGGACAACATTAATGCGAACGATCATGCATAAACGATTTCCAATATCTGTACTTGGCTTCGTGTTGATACCTTTGGTCTCTGGACGGATAGACAACTCGTCGTGGCCAACAAGCGGAATGTCCCACTACGAGATATCCGTACGTACTACCAGTCATTCATAACGTCGTGTCTTGAGGTGCTCAGATATCACTTCTTTCTTAGTCGCTCGCGTCTTCTCCCTCAATAAGTATGTTTTTTGCATCTATTTGGATCGCTCGTTGACCACTTCGTGCTCTCTAACCTAGACAAGTGTCCACCTTGTTTTGCAAGCACAGCCAACTAACAAAGGTATATCACTCTTTCGTATCGTCTCCTACACCATGTCCGCGGTTACCACAAGAATGTCATTTCCCATTACGAGAGCCCATATGTCTGGCACTGGATTTGCAATATGCAAACAAATTGTATGCTTACTTGCTCTTCAATGCGACCGCGCATCGTGAACCTCGAAATTGTGTATACCTTAGGCAACCTCCGTGATAGTCAGCGTGTCTTTTCATGTGTGGTTGTCTTGAGCGACCACCCTCATTTGGCATGTCTGATTTCGCTGTGCAAAATATTTTTGCCGGGTGTCTCTCGCAACAATACTCAATCGCTTCAGCTCCTCTCGTGCGTCACCTTGTAAGTTGGAATTGAGTGTCTTAGACGAAAACCATCTGAGAATTGCTATGTTGCGCAATTTAGGTGCTCGTGACAACATCACATAAATGCTCTGAAGAGAACGCGCGGATGTCAAATCCACAATAACCCGTTCCAAAGAACTTCCTTGTGCCTTGAAATCTGTGAAAGCCCATCCAGGCACAATGGGAAGTTGCGTACGTCGAATGCTGATTGTTTTTTCCCCTGTGGCAAATCTAAAACTCGTCGTGACAGGCATGATAGGTACCACACCATGGTCTAAATCTGGCACATGCAAAGCACTTTCTGGGATATCTACTAATGCACATGCCGCATACCGCTGCCCGTTGTCAACTTCATACGTAATAGACTTCAATGTCCCCTTGCTGCCATTTACAATCTTACAGCTGGTCGCAGCATTCTCTGTTATCATCACGGGCATCCCTGGAATCAACGGCAATTCGCCAAGCGCATCATTGGTGTATGAGCTCTGTATTTTCCACATCCGTCTTTGTTGCTGAGGTGTGACGCTTACTCCAGATATCTTATCTCTCGCACAATATACCTCATATTGTTGATCTGAATGCTGGGCGAATGAGCGAGCTTTGGCCTCGTTGATTGCGTCTCTTAAGACCTTTTTCGTCACGACGACAGGTGCGTCGTTGAATGCATCAAATTCTTCGGGAGCAGATCTCTTCAATTCGCTAAGCAACCGTGTCTTCAGTATATCATAATCACTAGCTTGCGCTGTGTTCGACGCCAGCTTGCATGCCTTGCCGATACGTATCCTGTTCAGCATGTCTACAAATGGTGCGTCATCCTTAGCTCTCCAATTTTGTTTCAATTCGACGACCGTGTCTACTTGTCGCCACAAAAATGCACCATGCAATGCACCTTGTCCTTTAATCGACTGCATTGTGGCTGGCGCAAGAGACTTAACCAATTTATAACTATACAGTGCATTAGATTTTGGGGGTCGCAATTGCCCAAAGTCGCCAGCGAAGATGACATTGACACCACCAAATGGTTTCTCTCGTGCGGATTCATCCCATGACTTAGCCTCACATATGCGTTGGGATACTTGGCTTAACAATTCGGCCGCCATCAAAGAAGCTTCATCAAGAATAAGATATTCCACTGTTCGCCAAATAGCTTCTAGATCATGTTGCTTGATTGGTGCTTGACGCTTGGGCAAGAAGGTTAATGCATGTATTGTGTAACCATCAATGAGCACTGCCGCACTGCCCGTCGGTGCGCTCAATGTCAACCTCTCTGGTGCACCACATCTACGGAACATCTCTACAATCGCACGTATTACATGACTTTTACCTGATCCCCCAATGCCAGTAATAAACATGAGAAGTTGGTCTACCTCATCCCGAATGAAATGCTCGCTGACTATTCTTAGACTTCTTTCTTGTTCCTCGTTGTCCGTCAAGCCAAATTCCTCAATGATCTCCTGTAATATATTTTCCTTTTGTTTCACTGAGAGTTCTGGCTTATGGTATACTGATGTAATCTCAGCTTCATCCTCCATTTGTGCAAATCTCATGGCAGGCTCTGATTCCTGATGCGCCAAGCGAGCGCGTTTGACTTCAGCATCGGAACTACCAACGTCGACTGGTCTTTTGCGCTTTCTTGCTTCTTTCATGAGCGTGGCGAACTCAGGCAACCTTCCTTGTTTGTTGTTACTCACAAGGTAAGTGTCTGCATCTTTAGAGGTCGCTTTTGCTGATTGAGACTCTCCGGCTGTCGCAAATAATCCACCATCCATCGCTGCTCTCAAACAGTGTTGGACATCGCGCACATTTGGATCTGTCACACTCGGTATCATTTCATCTTCATGGACACTGGTCTCTTCTTCATCTAACGTTGTGTCGGCAAACAATGCCTCATCAAATGCATCCATGTCCACTTGCGTCACATCATCCTGATGAGTGCCATACTCGTGTGGTCTGCCATGTTGGCCTCGTGCTACCGCAGCGTGGGCGTCTCGAGCATCCTTGCATTCATTCTCAACGTTCATATTCTGGATGATCACGGACAGATTTGGCGGAAAAGTTTCTTTCTCAAATGCGGTTGCCCAATTATCATTGTCTCCCTTCAGGCCCTTCAGATTTCGCCATGGTTTGAACAACATCATCATTGCTCGACCATGCAATTCGTATTCTTCATCGGATTGATCTGGGCGCGGTATTGAATCTCCCAACAACACAGGAACAACAAGCTTGCTACGAAGACGGAGGATATGTGTACTGACTTGCGTGTGACCAGGTTCAAACTTGGCTCTAGGGAGCATCTTCCGCCCCTTCTTTTTCGAACCGACATCACCAACGTCGCCAACCGAATCATCATCAATTACATTGTCATTAGGAACACCCATTTCTCCTTTCTCCTTCACAGTGCTCTCTATAAACTCCCACAAACACAAGGGGTCAAAATGGATGTCTGACGGTCTCAAAGAATAATCTTGCAAATCACTCGAGATTTCGAGTTTGCCTGCAGATATACTCACCGTGACTTGGTCGTCAAACTCTGTCTGGCCTGATTCGTCTTCTGCGGAAGATTCGCCTCCTTCCTCAATTAGTAAGGTTTGATCTTCCAATTTTTGCATCGCATTGACAAATTCAAACCACTTGAAGACATGGAACGTATGACTGGCATAGTAATCACCACCACCCACTAAATAACTCATGACTTGCTGGTGCGACATTTCTTGCTTGCCCATAATTGCATTGACGGTTTTGGTAATTAGATTTCGCTCGCCTTTATCGACTGCCATGCTGGGTTGTGCTTCTGCATTTGCTTCGTACATCTTCGTAGCGTAATCCAATGCCTGCAAGCCAATATGCAATGGCAAGTCACTCTTTGTAACGTACTCAGTGGTATAGAACACAGTAGCTTTCGCAGCCTCCCCAGATCCAATGAATTGAGTGTCTGTGTTGCATTGCATCAAAAACAATATCAAATCAGTAAAATTATTGACACGTCCTCTCCAACGCCTCAATTCAATGGAGCCGGTCTCCGGATCGATTGTCGTCACATCTTGTGTTGATCCATCCAGACGCATTCGGCAGGTCGTATCATCTCTTTGCTCTCCATTTTTCAAATGCTTGAAACACGTATTATTATGGATGTGCCAATTGCATTCGACAGCTAAGCGACTCAAAAACTCCGTGAATTCATGCTTAAAGGAAACTTCATCCATCTCTGCTGCTTGCGGTGGTGTTTCGAGTCGCGGATCCATCTCCTGCGCATCACGCAGAGGCTTCTGAGCTTGTTCTGCGGACATTTCTGGCACCGGACCCGTGTCATAAGGTAACTCACAACTTATAATACTCTCCAACCACTCAAACATTTTGCCTGAAAACCCATTCTCAGTTGCCATGCGATCACGCAAACCCTGGGGACTGGGATTTCCTTTCACCCAGATGAGAAAATGACAATGGAGAGTACCCCTTCCTTGTGCTTCAACCATGCCATAATATGCCTTACAATGTCCAAAAACACCAGGTCCATGCTTATACCGCAGTATGATATCGACAAAAGCTTGAATTTGCAAATCAAATGCTATCGCCGCTACGTCCGGGCGACTCGCCACTAATTTGGCCCTCAAAAAAGATGTCATCGAAGACCATTCCTCAAGGTCCATTCCTACAATGATGGGGATCAAGCTACTGGTGAGATCATGTGGATTAACCGTCACAAACAAAGCTGGTGTACTAAATTTTTTCATCAGCGAGCGTATTTCATTTCGACGGCACAACTTGTATCCTGCGCTACCCTTCAATGACCTTGCTGACGAATGCAAGCGCCGCAAAAGTTTCGCAGCTTTCTTTTCCTGAGTCGTAGAAGGTTTTGCATTTGTGGAACGTGTCCACTTCTCGGCCAAACTTGTAAGAGAGGGTCCTACGTCTTTCAGGTCTTGTGCCAAATTGTGTTGCAACGACGCGCTGATTCGGAATGTGGTGTTTGTGCTAACCTCTCTTTTTTGAATCATGTTCCAGCAAACAAACGCAAAGTTGGGATCTCTGATGAAAGGTGAATTGTCCTGACGCAACAAATTTTTGACTTGGGCTTCCATTGTGATATGTTGCTGAGGTGTTCGACCGCAATGATTAAACCCACCGATATCCCAAGGATCCAAATGTGGAAATAAGAATGACATCAAGCCTGGATCGCTGTCGGAGACAAAGCTCGAGCCTGCCTTCGACAATATAAATTTGTTGCGATCCAGCACATGTGCCAAAGCATGCAATTTCATTTTTTCGCGACTTGTTGCCGAATGATCCCCTTTGGTAAAACCAACCGCCTCCATAGTAATATCGCTCGAATCTACATCGTCGGTGATGCCAACATCCCGAGATTCTAAAGGACTGAATTGATCGAGCTCTTCATCTCTGGACAAATGGCATATTTGCAATGCCTGTGGAATACTTGTATCTACGTCACCCTCATCTTCTTGAAAAAGGCTATCCATATTTGCCTGGCTATACGAAACGCCAGACTGCTGATACCAGGGATTATTGGAAATCAGAAACTCAATTAATGTTTTCACTATGGATTTCGTGATCAGAATCGGTCGCATCTGTTTCACTGTTTGACGTGAAGGTTTCTCTTGATGCCCAGCAAAAATAACACACATGGCATCACGCAATTCATCCTGAGTAGGCGGCAGCAAATTGCGGAGTTCAGCAGAGTCCTGCGGCCTGATCGCAACATTACCTTGGTTATACCGCTGAGAACTCTCTTCAGGACCCCAATGCCCAGATGGCTTATAGGCATAAAAATGGATGATTTGCGATGCACGCGCACGGGAAACAAGCATCACATCATACGCAGACGCCTTCGCGAACGCATCTCCAACACTAGAAGGCAATCTCTCATGTCCATAATAGTGGAAATTAGCAAGCGAGTTCACCGGTTGACGTGGGCGTTTACCCATCAAAACGGCGTGACATTGACGACAAATCCACAGATCTGCGAGCGACCAGCAATTGGACAAGCCTTTCGGATACAAAATAGCTCTGCCGTACAGCTCAAAATCATAACTTTGCGGCAATGTATGCTCAGGCAAGCAATCATTACGCAACAGATGAAATGGCACCTTAAACGAGCTGACCATTTTCAGCTGCTTAACACAAACGTTGTGAGCACAGACAGCGCAAGCTCCACGTCGCTGGGCTTCCTGACTCATCTCGCGTTGCCATTCCTTGATGATGTCTGTTTTTTCGCTAAATCCGCACACAGTGGGAAACTCAGGATCATCGTCAGGGCATTCATCAGTCGATTCATCAGCGGTGTGCGCGTCACCAATGGCTTGCTCGACTGAGGGATGCTTGTGCTGATGGCGCGTCGCACGTTGGACTGCAGTGCGCCGTGCAAAGTGATCGTATGCGAAAGGAACAGGCAGAACAAGATGAGAGGTATCGCGCCTCGCAACACGCAAATGCTGGAATACAATTAAATAAGGTGCACACCGATCAGTACAATCATGCACGCGTAATAGATCACGGATGTAATCCTTACGATCGACTGAGATAACCCGGATCGAGTGTGCGTGAGCAATTTCAGCATACTGCGCACGAGTGAAGACAGAGAAATGCTCGATAATATGACATAAACTAGGGGCAGAGACTGGCAACAAATCTCCAGCCGGGAATTGACGGCCTACAGGCAAACGATCCCGAGAAATCCCGTAATACCCGAAATACTTGCGTAAGACGCACGACGACACAACTGTATGTCCCTCACCGGACAGCTCTTGATCAGATGCAACCAACGCAACAGGACGAGCAAATGAATCAGGACAGGGAAACGACGATGAAGAAGCGGTAGCCATGATATCGTAAGGTGCAGAGAGCGAAAGAAAAACAGGAGGCAAAGAAACGGCGAAACAACCAAACATCAATAAACATGTTAAAAGGTCCGGGATGATCGGTTCTTCACATCTCTCGGACGCAGACCAGAACCCTTTACAGGGTCCTGGAACTTTATTGAAGTAGTGAATTATCGATTGCTTCAAACCACGGCATGTCTGCTTCGAACCAGTCCGCCATCGTGGAGGGGCAGTTTGACGATGCTCCTTCTGAGACCGCCGTCCTAGCCGTGGACGACCAGCGAGATCCACGCATAGGCGGATACTTCATTGACGACGAACACCATCTCCTATGGTCTGACGAAAGTTCGGAAGATAATGACGGAGATGAGCCAAACGAAGATGACTTTGAAGATGTCAGAGCAGATGATGAAGATTGGGAGGTCGCAGAGCGGGGTGAGTTGTATTCACCCATACGACCACCAATGTTTGATCATCCTAGATTTTACCAAACAATATAACCGGCTTCGGCAGCATGTCGCTGTACGCACTGGCAACGCACAGGGAATCGCATCTTCCATTAATCACGCAGCTGTCGTTGCACCTCTTCCTGCGGTAAATAAGCCACGCAGTGCGGTTCCTACACATGCAAAAGACAAAATTGTCGATCAACTGGCTGTTCTCTCCAAGTACTCGTCTCGCATTGCTAAAATTGATCAACCGTACGTCATGGGGGCTAGTGTGAATAGAAAAGGTCCTAGTTCATATGCGAACGCGAAGGACAAGTCAGATCGTGCCACATCTGAGCAAGTACTTGACCCCCGCACTCGGATAATCCTTTTCAAGATGATCGGACGAGAACTCATCCAGGAGGTAAATGGATGTGTCAGTACAGGAAAGGAGGTGAGCTCATCTGGGCTCATCTTTACATGTTTGCCTACAAGCTTGAGAATGTTTAGGCGAATGTATATCATGCTCTCACCCCCACCTCCACGCATATTGCCCTCAAAATATACAAGACATCAATCCTTGTGTTCAAGGATCGCGATCGTTATGTGACAGGCGAGTACCGCTTCAGACGTGGCTATAGTAGACGCAATCCACGCAAGATGGTGCGTCTGTGGGCAGAGAAGGAAATGCGCAATCTCAAAAGACTTGTATCTGCCGGGATACCGTGCCCCGAACCCATCGAGGTTCGGGAAAATATCCTGGTAATGGGTTTTCTTGGTGATGAGGAGGGCTGGTAATATTTTCACGCTGAAGTCTCTTTCATCGCTCATCCGTCGTTTGGACGCCAGGGCATCCCCTCGCTTAAAGGACGCCGATATCCCCTCCGAATTATACCCAGCATTGTATGAAGAACTCATTCTCAATGTTCGGAAGATGTATCACATTTGCAAACTTGTTCACGCCGATCTTTCCGAATACAACATTCTCTTTCACGGTGGACATCTTTGCATTATCGACGTCTCGCAATCCGTAGAACACGATCACCCTAGCGCGTTCGACTTCCTGAGGAGTGATATCAAGAACATCGAGGACTTTTTCGAGAGGTTTGGAGTAAAGTGCCTGGGTTTGAGGCGATGCTTTGATTTCATCACGAGAGTGCACGTAGTCGAGGAGGGGCAGGACGAGGGATCTGCTTTGAAACACTGGCTGACAGAAGTCGATGAAGAACAACAAAGCCCTTCATCTATGGATGGAAGCAATAACAATATCACTTCCTCATCGAACACATCAGCTACTCATGAAGACAATATTTTCCGTCAATCATACATCCCCCGTACGCTGAACGAGGTATACGACGCTGAACGGGACGTGGAGCTTTTGACGAAGGGTGACGGGAAAACTCTGATCTACGCAGAAACTATAGGTTTGACGCATCCTACCTCTGGTGTGAGTCCGGAAGGTGAAATCAGGCCACATGTACGCTTCAAGGGCGAGGAGGATGTGGACCTCGTTGACGAAGATTACACGAGCGACAGCGATGAAGAAGGGAGTGAAGAGCCTGAGGTAGCTGAAGGGGGTGAGAAGAATGGTTTCGACCCTCGTAAACCTAGGGGCCACAGGCACGAAGATCGGGAGGCCAAGAAGGCAAGCATTTCGCTCTATCAGAAATTAAACATTGCTGATTTTCACTCAGGAACGCAAGAAAGCCGTCAAAACCGAAGCACGTGAGAAACGGAAAACTAAAATGCCCAAGGCAGAGAAGAAGCGCAAAACAAAAAGCTCACGATGACACTAAAGGCCCCTTGGATATATCCTTTCATCTTCGATAGATTTATTTTATTTTCATTGAATGCTAGGTATAGAATATAACTGTTCTTAACCATCCGTGATGCACCCGTGGCTAGCGTCTTCGACCATTTTAACATACTTGTGGAGTGTTCCTTGGGTAACCTTGATTGGTGGGGCAACCCAGGCTTTCCGGCGGCGTTCCATCTCCTCAGAGGAAATATGCAATTCCATGGTGTTTGCCACAGCGTCGACAGAAATGGTGTCACCATCCTCCACAAGCGCAATAGGTCCACCGACCTGTGCCTCAGGGACGACGTGACCTATGCAAAATCCATGAGATCTAATAGATATCCCATCAGTATACAAATCATCGTGAATGGAAATAGTACAAACCCTCCGCTAAATCGCCCGTCTGTGAGGCACGCGACGTCCTGACCTAGACCAGCACCCATAATCAAGCTGGTGGGTTTCAGCATCTCACGCATACCTGCATAGTCCGAGTATCAATATTACCGCTCGGGTCAATCATACTATTCACTCACCAGGGCCACCCTTAGGGCCGAGGTAGCGCATGACGACGACTGTTTTCTCGCCCTTTTTGATTGAGCCAGACTCAACGGCGGAGACAAAGGCCTCTTCTGAGTCGAAGGTGCGAGCTTTTCCGGTAAACCCAAGACCTTCCTTACCGGTAATCTTGGCAACAGCACCTCCAGGGGCCAAATTACCACGCAAAATTCTAGGGTCATTTGAGAAAAGGAGCTATTGAGAGACGGTAATGACGAACCTGATGTGTCCAGTAGCTTTAATGGGCTTATCGAGGGGGCGGATTACGTCCTGACTAGCAGAGAGTTCCCCGTGTTTATGTACCCAACGCTCTAGGTTCTCGCCTAGAGTAGCGCCAGTGACCGTCATGTTGTTGCCGTCAATGAAATTATTTTTCATCAAGAAATAAAGTATCTCTGTAGTTGAAAAAAAAATTGTGAACGAGAAAATCATCATGGTAGTTGAATCACTGACTGGGTATGCCCCCGATTTTGTAGATGTCCTCCATGACATACTTGCCGCTTGGTTTGATGTCGGCGAGGAAGGGTGTTGACTCAGACACTCGTGCGAAATCATCAATGGTAAGCTTGATGCCTACGGCGTGTGCCATAGCAATAAGGTGCAGGACGGCATTCGTCGAACCTCCTAGGATCATGATGAGAACCTGAAACTCAGTATGAGTGGCTGTAGAAATTGAAAAAAAGCATGGCAGACCATAGCATTCTCGAATGCCGAGCGCGTCATGATGTCGCGGGGAAGAATGTTTTTCTCGATGAGATTTCGCATGGCGGGACCAATAGTCTTGCATTCATCGTGTTTTTCTTGAGATTCGGCTGGATACGACGAAGAACCAGGAAGAGTCATTCCAAGGGCCTCAGCTGCACTGGCCATAGTGTTCGCCGTGTACATCTGCCAATATGTGAATAAACTATCGCTGGATTGGGTACAGTAGTACTAACGCCTCCACAAGCACCTGGGCCGGGGCATGAATGTCGCACTGTCTCATACCTGACGGCTTCTGCTTCTGACGTTTTGCCATTTTGTAGGTATTTTCCGTACGCCTCGAATGCAGAAACAAGATCTAGCTGAGGTTGACCCGCACATGAACCCGCGCGAATTGTGCCTCCATATACCATGAGACCCGGACGGTTGATTCGTCCGACTATACGAGTATGGTAACATGTCAGTGCGCGTGGTGGATCTAAACAAGTACCTCACTCACGAGCCATCAGCACACCCGGCATATTCTTGTCACATCCCGGTACCACAACCATTCCATCCAACCAGTGTCCGCCAGCGGCTGTCTCTACTTGATCTGCAATAAGGTCGCGCGACTGCAGAGAGTATGACATTCCCGCAGTGCCCATGCTAATCCCATCGCTAACACCAACTGTGCCGAACTGGTAGCCAATTAGGCCAGACTCGACCAAGGAACCCTTGATTTCCTGCCCCAAGCCGAGCAAGTGTCGGTTGCATCTGAAAGCACCTCAGGCAAAGATACAGTTATTGCATACGTTCTTCCTTACGGGTTGCCCTCATACCTTGACCAATCATAGTCAATGGAATGGCCGCGGAAGAATTTGATTGGCTCAACACTCACCATACACTAGCGACACCAACCATGGCCTTTTGAAAGTCCTCCTGATCTTTGATACCTTCAGTAGCGTACAGCATGGCCTACGGATATAAGTTTCTCCAACATTCCTCGCTCGGCTCAAATGACTCACTTGGCTTGCACCTTGGTCTTTAGGTTGCGTGACAGTCCTGCTATAGCGGTTCATGATGGGCTTGTCCTCGCATCTTGCAGGAGACGACCACAGTGATCTTGTTTGCCTCGCAAGGCCCCTGCTAACCGAGAGTCTCGAATGCATCGTTCCGATCTGCTCGACAACTCGACTCGGACAAAGTCGAAACAAAAAAATATATCGACCCCCCGATTTGGCAGCTTACGGAGATGGACTGTGCCGTAACTATGTTAACATGCCGCACTTTTCAGCAGCAAGAGCGATGATTCCAATCGAGACGTGCATGCAGTACTGCTATGTCTCGGATGTTTTTTTTTACTAGGTCCTGAGCCATAAGTTCCATGGAGAAACCAAGCATGCGCTTGTCATAATTTTTTTTTCGACCGTCTCCACGGAGTATTTGAATTCTGAGTTGGTGAGTCCGAGTCAGCGCAATTCGCGTGAACTGATCATGATTATACGGTTCACGACCGTGTAATTTTGTGTGAGTGCAAGTAGTGCATAGGACCACCTGGAAGACATAGTACTAATCGTGATATTAGACTTTGTGGCCTACCGGTAAGCAGGTCCGTTTTGTACAAATATGGAAAGGCTCATCCTCCTCGCCGATCATGTTTCACTTTTGTCATCCCCTCGATACTGAAAAATCATAGAGTTAGGGTCAATTGTAAGCTCCCGACAATAATGGTCAGTCAAACTTGTATGTTTGACTCCGGAGTTGGACGCGGCGTACGGGCCCATTGATTGATTGAAGATTCCTTGGCGGTGTGTTGGCGATCTGACACCTTCTGACACCAAAGTATATCACGAGTATCCAAAGGGGGGGAGAACAAAATTTTCCATGAATTTAGACTCTGGTACGGGGTTTTTTGGAGTATCTCCATTATCTGGATGTGGATCCAGTTGTTCCGCCATTCCGCCTCAAAAAATCTGAGCCATGCCATAGCGGATGTAAACTTATTCCAACGGATTTTTTTTTCGTTTCTGTGCTCGTCTTCCCTTCGCGTGCTCGACGCTTTCGCCATCAGAGCATATCTCGCTAATGGCTCTCAGTAACATCCTCATTTCTCAACAATCCGAGCGCTGCTGAAAGAAGCAACCCCTGCAATACCATTGCACCAACGCTTCCCTCGCAAGTTCACATTCTGCTTAGATTGCGAGGAGAGAGGTATGGATGACAGAGATGACGATAAGTTATCAAGTTCGCTCCCACAAACATTACACGCACACATAATACGTCCCAACGATCCATATGTGCTTGCCGATGAGGCGTCCTGGAGTGCCCAAGACAGACAACCTGTCCAGCGACAGGCTTCCCGCTTCATTTCCCAGTCTATATCATCGCTGACTCCTGCGACCTTTCCAAACAGCCATGGTTCACGAGGGGAGTCATCACACGATAGCTTAGTACCACCAGATGTAGAAGAGAATGGATATGCTTCCCAACGCGTTCAAAACACCTTGGCTGGCCGGAGGGGAGCTTTGGCCACTGGCTTCGCGCACCCTTATAGGGCATTTTCAGCTCAGAGTAATCGAATTCCAGGCAGCGAGACACCCTTCTACCTTCATCCTCCCTATGCGTACCCCCCTCTCCCTCCAAGTCAAAATCATGCGTCATCGAGCACATTTCAAAGCAGGGCAGGTCTCTCGTTGTCGTCCCACACGGTTGGAAGGCCCGGAGGTAGCAGTCGCACGCCAGAAGAGAATCTAAAAGGAGACGACAGCGACGACAGTGAGCAGACACGCGAGGTCACGTCCCTCGATCATGTACAAGAGATCTATTTGGGCAGGTATTTGACTTCACAGCCAAGACCAGTGCCCATTCCGTCCTTCTTTCCAAGGGACGTGACTAGCAGTCGTGAAAACAGCCCCTACCTGTACAGTGGACCTCACTGTGAGTCCTTGATGATGTTTGAAAAAAATACTGTAAATTCTGATTTTTCCTTGAAGCATATGATGATTCTAGTCACCTACAACCGCCTTCGCATCACCTTGAGTCAACTATCATCCGACATCAATCACTTCCTTCTCAACGATGGGAGGAACGCAGTCGCTCTGGGTCCTCTAGCAATCGATATGCACCAGGAACGTCGTTGGATGATCGCCCGATTCAGAGGGCGTCCTCGTATTCTCTCCCTCCAATTAGAACTTTCATGCGGCCACTCAGGGAAGAGTACTCTGACAGAGGACCACAATCATTCTCACACGGTCTGCTTGATCAAACACGGGAAATTTTGCCTCCAGAAGCATCAGTGGAGGACACAGAGTCCGGTAACGAGAGGCCGACGTATAGGCGAGGCAAGAGAAAGCGATCAGACAGTCAGGATGAAAGGAAGACCAAAGTTGTGCGCAAAATCTACGTTGCGTGTGATTTTTGCCGAGGTGAGTGAATACCTTTGCGGGGATTGCTCAAGAACTTCACCTCCGATTGGCCCCCTAACTTTACAGGGCGGAAACTTCGATGTGATGGGACCAAACCTTCCTGCGCTAATTGTTCCACCCGAACCTTGAAATGTGTATATAAGGACCATCCCAGACGTCGTGGCCCTGGAAAGGCACCGAAAGGCTCGCGGACCAAGAAATCAGAAGGGAAAGGTCGAAAGGGGAGGAAAAGTTTTCAAGCGGCCACAAGTGAAGTTGATAAGAAAGGATCAGAACAGCCTTCAGCTGCAGCACTCCCAGATCGGCATGTATTTGAGCCACCGATGATGTTACCGAATCACGGTCACCCTCAGTTGCCTGGGCTAGAGGCCGTTTATGCGCCACTGCCCTACACTGATCGTCCAAGTGCTTCGAACATGCATGGCGAAGAATCGGAACTAATCCCACACTATCACTTTACGAGCGGTGTGATCGATCAAGGACCAGTGGAGAGCCTGCGGCCACTCTGGGGACGAGAGGAAGAAGACAGACGGTCAGCGGAGTCAGGATATCCATTACCTCCTGGGTCGCGGAAGGGTGGTGATACAGACGATGAGGAGACGAATTAAAAGCCAGGCGAGCGACCGACGCAGGCGGAGAGTCTAGAGGATCGGCACCCACAACTGTCCACGGCGTTATGTCCCGGCGGCGCACTGCTTATTACGTATTCTAGAGATCGGATACCTACTTTACATATCGTTGCTACGCTCTTTTCTTGGTGAGCGTCTTTTTTGAATGGGCTCTCTCACGTTCTGTTGACGAGAAATGAAGTCTAGATGCGAATGTTGTTTCGGAATCACCCTCTTTTCCGTGGCTGAGCCATATCCGCCGTACCCTATTTCCTTGTTTCAATCCTGATGCTGAGATAATCTAGTTTAATTTTCTCAGCTGCAGATTATGTTATGTTGATTTATTTCTATGATATACTCGTTTGCTTGTTCAGATCCTTGAACCTGAAATAATAATTGAATATTTCAACAAAAACGGAAATAAATGATTCAAATTTACAAGGATTCAATTCAAGTCGGAGGAATAAACTTGGCTGTAATGAACCCGATTGGTTCGGTGCATGTAGATTTCAGGCTCGGCTCCGTTAGCTTCCCTCTTTTCTGGAATTTCGGTGTTTATCATCCCCGCGCTTGCCTCACCTCGCGGGCAAACCCTCGCTCTGTCTCCCCCGAACGGACATTCGATTCGTCCGTCATACTCACGATGCCGCTCGTCGTCGACAATGGCGAACAACGCATCACGAACGACGACGACGACCGTATCCCAATCCCTCCTTCCGTTCAGTCCGTCCCAGGGGCCACTCATTCGTATTCTTCTAATGGTCTTGTCCCCGGAACAGTTGGCAACGGCCATGATCCTCACTCCAATGGCTTAAACGACTTCAGTGGCTATACAGTTATGGTCGCTGGTCAGCGTACCGGCAAGACTTCATTTCTACGTCTTCTCTTGGACACCAGTGAAATATCCTCAGCTGCCACCAAGGACCAGCTCGCCTCCGTCGCAAAGTTTGTACAGGGTTCCAGCGGTCATACATCCCACATACGCACCGCATCCATCAATATCGACCATGATATTGACCAAAATAGTACACCTCAGGTCCTTACTCTCACGCTCGTGGATACACCTTCTTTGACCTTCGAGGACGAAGCTTCCACCGAGCGGGCTATTCATGAGATACTCAGGCATGTCGAATCCAGATTCGCTGATGGCATCGAGGATGTACGTTTTACCCAGATTCCTTTCCTACATTATATTGAACCCCATTTTTCGGTGCAGGAGTGGAGATCCCCAGCGGGTGACAACAACATCCATTTGTGCGTTGCTGACATGGGCGCTTAGTCACCGCGTCACTGTGAACTGACCCACGGACCAGGTGTATATACTTCTTGGATCCCGACGTGATTGTTCCGCCTTCTGTGCCAGGACCTCCTGCTCCCCTGGTCACTCGTACTCGGGGCAGTAGCTTCTCTGTCACAGAGCCGGAGCCCGTCATCCTCGAGCCCCCTGTCACCAACAATCCGCTCCTATGCCGCCCTTCCCTTCCTCTTAGCGAAATTAACACCATCAGGCGGCTTTCTGCTAGAGTCAATGTGCTCCCTGTAATTGCTCGTGCAGACACGCTTACCAACGACCGCCTTGCGGCCGTCAAAATGGCTGTCCGCCGAGATCTCGCGGAAGCCGGCATTGGCTTCGGAATCTTCGATATGGACTCTCATGCGCAGTACCAGCACCGTAAAGATGCGGCTGAATCTGCGCACCCTGTAAAGGGTGAAATGGTGAATGGTTACAGTGGGCATGCAAATAAGTCTTCGCCGCATGGACACCCTTCGCCTCCGAATTCTCCAGCAGTGGCGTCTCTCAAACTCCCATATGCTCTTATCTCACCCGATATCTACTCGCATAGTGATGGCGTAGCGAGAGTGCCCCTATCACGTCACGAGCTTGTACAGCAATATGCTCCTTTGGTTCTTCGTCACACCGCTTCTAAACTGACGCGTGGCAAATTTATCAGAAGCTATCGGTGGGGATCTATGGACGTTCTAGATCCTGTTCATAGTGACTTCATGCCGCTGCGCACTGCTATATTTCATCACATGGAGGTAGGCATTTCAGGTGCCCGACTTTTGATGTCCCATTAAAATTAACCTCGGCCTAGACGTTGCAGAAATACACTCGAGAATATCTTTTTGAAAAGTTTAGAAACGAATACTTGCTTCAGCACCATTCTGCTAACCACCAGCTTCACCCCCATGCCATACAACAAGCAGTCCCGCGTACTTCTGTACCTCTTACGCATGCTCCTCGGCCTGTTTTGACTATTGAGACTCAGCCTGGCCATGGCTCTGTTCGACATCCCCCTCTTCCCATGACCCGCGACATTCCTCCTGGGGCGGATTTGCGTGGGCCACCACTTTCCCGTCCGATGACAGAAGGTACTTCTTCACAGCTTCAAGGCAAGACAGCGTCTGGGAGTAAGTCTATGCATGGGCTCCTGACTCAGATAATTTGTGCTTATTCTGAACAATAGGATCTTCCAAGCAGAGGACTAAGAAGATTACAGTGGCATGCAATTTTTGTCGATGTATGTAGACTCCGCCCTCCCTTGCGGATTCAATACTCAGGACGCTCTCTAGCCCGAAAACTCAAATGTGACGGGGGACGCCCTGCTTGTAGCCAATGTGTCAAGCGGTCCAACCTTTGCGATTATATGCCACAAAATAGCAAACGGCGCCCTCTCAACCGTCCACCTAAGGAGGATAGTGAGTCTGAGATGAGTGGCGAAGACCGATCCGAAGACAACGATCCTTCGGTATCTCCCGAGATCGTTTCCCAGCCACTATCTCGCAGGAGCTCCAACGTCGTTGATAAGCGGCCAATACTAGATGGCTTCTCGGCCATCGCTGGCCCATCAGAGCCCCGCGAAGGTCTTCATAGCATGCCCCCCAGGCCTAAGTCTGGCATAACTACAGGAAGTTCGGGAGTCTCCGACGGACGGACATTGTTCAAAGACAATGAGTTACCCCATATTGCAACTCTGTCGCTACCCGAGAACTCCCCTGCAGCTGCGATGAGTGCTCCCCCGCTCCCGCCTATTAGACCAGCATCAGAGCAACAGGCTGCTCAGCGAAAACGTGCATCCACTGTTCCTGGGAGGAGCAATCGTCCCGCCGCTAGCACTGGTCCGAAAGTGGTAGCATGCAACTTCTGTAGAGGTTGGTTCGTTGAGCATCGTGTTATTATGGACTGATTCAAGCATCCTATGTAGCGAGGAAGACGAAGTGCGACGGAGCGCATCCAGCCTGTTCCAGCTGTGCGCGAAGGTCCCTCCCATGTAACTACAATCACGATTCCAGCACCAACGGCGTGAATAAAAAGGGGACTCGACGTGCCTCTACCTCCAAGGCAAATCCCCCTCAAGCACACCTTTCTTCCGTGCAGTCACCTCCCTCCCACTCCCCTCCTTCTTCAACGGTTGTCGGCGACTCTCGTTATTCTGCCGGGAAGTCCTCTGAGGACAACCAAGGAGAGCCCATGGATGTCGATCTGAAGAGAAAGATGGACGACATGGAGCCTTCGCATATTCAAAAGAGAATGAGGGTGGATGAAACCAGCGGGGACGTTATACCCTGAGCATCATTCATTGATCACCCCTCATCATCACTCCCCTTGACCAAACTGGGTGTAAACTGTAGAATTAACTCGCATATGCACTGTCCCTTGGGAAGCTTGGAAACTGTCGTTGAACGTTATGTTTTTTGGGTTATCTCCAAGTGTTCTTGTCTTGTTTTGTGCATGGACCGCGATTGCACTGTATTTTTTCTCCTTTGCTATTCTCGTTTCGGGCGCCAATGTTTTCTCTTCGATATAGCTATCGTCGACCATTGTATGTATGTCAATTTAAGTTGGGGAATTAAACTCAAGCTCAAGTTTGGATAAACGTTTGGAACTCGTTGTGCTATTGCCATTGGTGGGAATTCTAAGGGCCTGATAGCCTATCAACCAGCGCGGGGTTGCCATGGGCTTGTGATTCTGTCGAAATATGTATTTGACTTATCCTTAACACCAAAATTGCCGTTGAAACGGGAGCCCAGTTGCCTCCCGTGGCCTGTAGACCTTTCTCTTTGGCTGTAAACTGGCATTGCTATATCCTACACGTTCTTTATTCTACCAGTGTTCATACCCGTCCCACACTGTCTCACTCTCACTATTCTTCCATTTCCTGTATCTCATCATGTTTTCTTTTCGCCGAAGGCCCAGAACTTCAAACTCCACGGGGTCACCACTGAAAAGCTCTCCCTCTTTGCCTGAGCTGCATTCTCAAGGCATTCCATGGCCGGAAAACTTAGTAGATGTCACGGTAATACATGAAGGTCCCCTTCCAGAGCCCGAACGTTATCCCCAGCAAGGTGCGGTCAAAAGCTCTGTATCCTGCTCCGATCGTGCCCCCATTCCATTCCATAAACCATTTCGGTTAATTGCAGGACAACCGGCGGAAAATGGCAGCAAGATTTCGTCTATGTATATGTCTCACCCCCCGTCTGCGTTCGGTAATTGGAGATCTTCCACCGTTCCTGTCTTGTCGCCACGGCGATCTCACCGTAAAAACCGTGCATCACCTGCGTTCAACCTCATGGTATGTTACCACATTGATCTCCCAAAATTGATTGAACTACGACGCGTCGACCAGGTCGTAGGAGCAAGAGGCACAGGAAAGACTTCGTTCTTGCGTTTACTTCTCGAAACTGCAGATATATCGCCAAATGCGACAGAAGACCAGCGTGTGGGCTTGGATCGGTTTTTGAATGGTTCTCTGAAGCATACACAGCAAATTAACACGGCTTGTGTTGAGATTTGCGAGTCGCGGTATGACCGAGTGCTTCTGACCGTCATTGATACCCCCGGGCTGGATTTCAGCGACGGACACGAGTTGCGGGTTGAACGCCAGGTCAGTGGGATGATCAAGTATCTTGACGCGCAATTTGCAGATACGATGAATGAGGTATATCACGCAATCTTGTTCTTTCGAAGCTGTTACTTAATAAATATATAGGAGTCTAAAGTTGTCCGTCAAAGCAAAGGAGATCAACATGTTCACTTGTAAGAATTTTGTCATGTCAACAATTATTGATTCAAATGTTCTGGATCTAGGTGTATCTTTATGGTTGATCCCTCGTCTATTTTGTCACCGTCACCTCGCATCCAATCCCCTATGTCGGGCAGAGCCCGGTCAGATACCACGGTTTCTCGTACTACCGTCGGAGATATCCAAGAAGCCATTTATAATCAAGAATATTCCAGAGACTTCGCAATGTCCCCCGCTGAGCTTCGCGTGATCCGTCGTCTTTCGGCACGGGTGAACGTGCTTCCTGTTATTGCACATGCGGACTCACTTACAGATGACACGTTGTCGCTCGTCAAAGCTGCTATTCACAGGGATCTAGAATCAGCTGGCCTAGACTTTGGGGTGTTCTCCACACCCAAGCCGAAAACGGACTCCCCCGTACCGGTGTCACTCTCGGACGATAAAGCTGCCACAACGTTGCCGCAAGAAGTAAACGGTCACCGTGAGAACGGCGACGTCCACCAAAATGGCAGCTCTTACGTTGCAAATGATAGTGAAAACCAGGGACGCCCCTCACGTCCAGTGATTACACTGAAAGGGACGCGGCTTTCCCGTTCTCGTTCTCGCTCTCGTCGTGACCTATGTGCCGTAGCTCAAGACGAAAGAGAACCCTACTATCCCGATGGCGCCGAAGAAGATAGCGTAGCAAATATTCGTTTCTCAGCTCATGTTGTCTCCCAAACAAATCTCTCAACGTTACTTCCCTTCGCGCTTATCACTCCAGAACAGGCAACTACCCCGCGTATCAGATGGCCGCAGCCAGCTTCCCCTGAATCTAACTTTTGTGCGCGGGAAGACGTGACAGGACCCTCTACCCCTGTGGCAGAAACACCAATCTCTCTCGATAGTCCTACCGTCCGCAAATCCGTGTTTTTTCAATGTCCCCCGCAGGATCTCAGGGGCGTGTTCACTCGGAAGTTCAGATGGGGGACTATTGACGTTCTCAACCCTGGCCACTGCGACTTCGCCGCCCTCCGAACAGCGATTCTATTGACCCATCTCAAGGTAAATAGTTTGATGATATATTGTATACACTGGTGATCCTAAAAAACACTCCCCAGGTTCTCAAGGTACATACTCGGGAAGTTCTGTACGAAAAGTACCGAACGGAGAAACTCTTGGCTAGGCGCGCAACCAGGAACATAGGCCCCGAGGAAGCGAAGCGTCTGTTGGAAGGTACGCCACCTGTTTGCGAATTACGGTCTTTGTGACTCATTCTGTCCCTAGATCTTGGCTTGTAATTCCGTCAATTTATTCCTATTTACGAGTTCTATCAAGATCTCTCTTGTACTCCCTAGTTTTTGATTACTTCCTCTGGATCAGTTATATATTGTATGTCATCGTTCATACTATGGATCTATTTTTTTGCACTCCCTCTCACAATTGGGAATATCACATTGGGCTTCCCCCGCACTTTTGGATTCATCTACGCTCTTTTTAAATACCCTGCTTTTGAACCCCTCTTTGAAATTGATTGTAATCTGGTACAGGGCCCCTCAAAGGTTTTTGAGACTCGAACTCAGTGGGAGATAGAAGCACGGACGAAACGAGCTCCGGGGAGAGCCCTGTGATATCAATATGGAGCCGATACATAACACAACGGGACAACAATGCAACAATATAAGTCAAATTTGGCCAATCACGATTGAAGGGGATGGGAAGGGCGTAACGCAGTACGTCAACGGACAGTAGCAATTACGAGTATGGTCAATACAGCGACCGTAGAAGAGCAAATTGGACTTCAATTCTATGATGATGATCAAACTCAGTGGGTTCTTGCGGCGAGAATCTTGCGGACGTAGCAATCCCGGATAACTGTAAGTTTCCGAGCACCAAATAGCCAGTCGCCAATGCGCTGGCGCAGCGGCAGTATCCGTACATAATTAATTTAGCAGGCCACCAGCCCTCTCCAACCCTTTCTGCGATCCCACCCCAGAAATGACACAAACTTGCCACAGGACCAAGGCCTAAACTGTATGTGATGATATACAGGCAGAACTTGAACACGCTCGCCCAAAACGGAGAGGCACAGGCACTCCATGTAAACTTTTTAAGTGACATAGCTAAAATAATTATATTAATAATTATAAGCCATTTGGGGTACTACCACCAGCGATGAGAGCTGACATAAGCTTCCTCTGGATAACTCAGATCGTCAACGATCACGCAGCTTTGACGCAGCTCCCACTGTTTCACTGATTCAAAGGAGCTGTACTATGTCTTTATGGTTCCTTTTCTATCCATAATATTATTGGTGAAACAACTGGTAGCAGATATACAATCGCTCTAGATCACAAGGATCGCACGTTCTTCTCCAGTGACGCCGGTCTGGGTGCCTTTGTCCTCATTTCTCGTCGAGGGTCGATAGCCATTGCATTCTTGATCATTCCAAAATTGCAATAGATATGGATCCAGAACATCCATGCCAGCTCAGGACTGTTGAACTTGGTAACTTCCCGTCCACACGTTCGATGGCCTTATGGATTTTCTCAGCGGATTTGAAGGATGGGACTACATCCGTGGCAGAGCCCGCTATCCCTCCCGAATTGCTATTCTTGACATCTGTGAGTACCACCCGCCGCAGACGGAACGTGGGACGGGTGCTACAGGTGGTGGGTAATTGGTTCCACCCACACGGATACGCGTCGGAGGGCTTGCTGAATTTGCGTATCTCCAGGTATCCACGGGTAGTTGGTACCCCAAATAGCAAATTATTTTTGGCCGAGCCGAACTTGGCACTATTTATTGAACGAATCCCTACCCGACGTCGAAATCCGTCGAAATCACGCTCGCGGAGGTATGAATAGGTACGAACATCTCATGCCCCGCAGCGCTGTAATATGATGCTCACTTCATAAACTTTCAGGTGAATATTTATTAAAGTTTACAGCGAGCCGCGGCCACTATCATACTAAGTTCTCGATGTTTCCAATTCGTTGTGCACGGTCCGATTCTGATGTGTAAAATCTATGTTCGCATCTATCTTTCATACATGTACCTCGACTATCATTCATTGGATTTGTCTCAATGGTGAGGAAGCGTTTTATTTCATCATCGGGCATGTCTTCTGAATCGGCACCCGGCTGCGGGTTACCAGCTATGCATCCACCCCGTCGTAAACTAACAGCGTTTCCGATCTTTGTTCCACAATCTTCCAAAAAGAAGCGACGAGCCAAAGCGGAAAGGTGACGAGAGCATAATATTAATGGTATTTCACTGTGTGTCTTCCTTGAAGTTGTCATTTTAAATTCTAGTGGCATCGAAAGCATGCTGTTCCGCAGTTTACGCTCGCGTCCTGACCTGATTGAAATAGAGCCTGATTGACTCGGATAGTGGTCGCAGATATTGTGTGGCACTACTCATATCCTCGCAAGTCCGAGTCCTATCTGCAATTTCGCACAATGTATTTGTCACCCGTAGATTCACCCACACCCGCCTCGACACTGACCAATATGGATACAGGTAGGCCTTCAGAGTCTACCCACGAATTAGGCCCTGGGTACGGATGCCACTCCATTGCACCCATGTCACCCCCTAAGATTCTGATGGCATCAAGAATCAAGTACTTGAGCCCGAAATATTCGGACAGTCTAACAAAGCGATGTCGCGTTAGTGGTTGTCTTCGTGCGCCTGTTGCGAAGGCCATGCCACGTAGTAAGGACCATGTAATATCCGTCAGCACTGCTCACACTTAGCACTACCTGCTGCTGCGGCATCCACCAATGAACAGGTTTCTCTTCTCGAAATAACCTCAGATCTCCACCTCGTCATTTCCAGTTAAGATCCACAAAAAACCCACGACCAGATGTCCAATCCCAAAGGTGGTGGAATACCACAAGATAAATACGCATGTCGGCAGGAAGCGACAACAACCCTAGATATACATAACCGATAGAAAAACAAAAACAAAGAATATTGTGATTATGTATGGTAGTACCTCAAGGTAGGCAGGCGGGTCATTCGGCGTAAGTAAGTTGGGTTCATAAAGCCAACCATGCGATTCGTTACTATGCAGTGAGAGCATCGATCTCTTCCTGTGACAACCCATCCAATCTGTGCAATAGATAATCGACCTGGTAAAATACATTAAGTCGAGGATCCACCTGGATACAAAGAAACGCGTACCTCGACCTCTTTTGTTAGAGGGATGATATAGCTTTCGTACAACTCCACCACACCATCAACATCAATTTTTGCACTACCATTCAAATGAGAGTTGATTATAGCGTCACCATCGGCGCTGAATTCTTGTGCGTATATGGCAGCTTTCTTGCGTAAACGCTGAAGCAGCTTGCGCTCTACCTCCGGTTTCGTAATCAACGCCTCGAGTGCGGCTCGGTTAGGCGTTAGGATGTGGGGGATGAAGGCAGCGGGGTTTGCAATGAATTTTGATTCAGAAACGAATTTTCCTGCAGTCAGAAAGATTAGAAGGATATCGGGCTCGATAGAAGTGACTGACCATAGTGCACGCGTTTACTAATTGCCTGCAGAACTTCAACGTCTATTGTAGCTGCGCTGCCGTAATTACCATCGTCCTCGTATTCTTCATCTCCAATAATCCCATTTGAGCGCTTAATCGCTGCTAGGGCCAGAGTTGCCCGCCTTGTTATCCGCGGAACAATGGAACGAGTGTAGAAGGACAGAATTGATGGATTTGCATTGATAGTGTTTGAATATAGTATTTTGGGGAAAGCCAGGGGTAACAGTACTGGGGCAGGGAGATTGGACGTGAAAGGGTATTCATCTGGGCTATTATGACGTTAAACCGCAAACTAGATCTGATTGTAAGAAGATATACCTTGTATATCTACGAGCTCTAGCTGTGTAGTGATGGGACTTAGCACATTGCCTATGTTTAGCATTGGTCAAAATACGAACCATGGAAAGTTTCAATCTCTTTCAAGAACCACTCGAGCCAACTTCCATCAAATTCCATATCCCTCAGTTCCTCAAAGGAGCCACGTATGTAGATTCGGGGGTTGTGAGCGAACTGCGCCCGCTCTATCAAATCAAATATGATGGTATCTTCAAGGCGGACCAAAATTTGACGGATCCGCTCAAGAGACAAAGGATCTTTCTCTAGCATGAAATTTTGGGACAACATGGTGAGAGATGGGTGTTCGGGTAAGAGGAGGGTTGTGGGTGCGGTGGATGCGGAAGGCTGCCGAGACGTGGTACGGTTTTAAGTATGACTCGGATGAAACGGGTTACTTCCACGCTAAGAACACAGATTTCCGTTGTCAGACTAAACTAACCGCACTGGGGGGTTTCTAGACATGCTACGTGCTCTCTAGTCTACTTATATTAAAAAGTGATCAAAGCGCTGAATATTGGATCAACAACCCTCTCAGATGATGTTTCGACCGTGGATTTATTAGTACGGCATCGTCTCTGCACGGAGACGCCATCATTCTCTTTCGGTTCTGAAACGGCCGAAAAGGGTCCCGCCATCTTAGCGTTCCTCTTGCCCTAGCTAACAGACTCTTATCCTAGGAGACGGGTGACTGCAGCAGGTGCTAAGAATGTGGTCTGCTTCGCGACGCTCTGCTAGATGCTAAGCGTGGCGCTTATCTAAGCCCAACTACTTATAATATTTGTTACAAATTGTCTTCAAAAGTAATCACGCCACGTCCAAATTACTTTACTACACATACAAACCCACATAACTAAGTAACGTTACTACTCTGGAAACCCTCGAGCCCCAAGGTGTCACTAACCGAGGCCGAGTAACGAGATGTAGTGGTATTACCGCGGCGACCGGACGGGCTGCCAATGAACAAGCTTGCTTGTAAGGTCATATGTACATAGTACGTTGACCCAGAACACGAGACCATATATACTAGATCACTTATACCTAAACCATGTAGGCAGGTGACTCGCGAAAACAATAAAGGAAGTTTCACATTACTTAGCTGGGATAAGCTCAGAACTATGCGGCTAGGTACGTGGGTGCTCCCCGCATTCTTGATATTACCTAATACTATTACCCCGTCGTCCCTAGTTGTTGTAAATCCGGCAGCCGATCTACTACCCCAATCCTTTACTCCAACCAATGAAACCGGTTAGGATGTTCGGAACTGTAATCGGTCGTTTCCATGATTATGTACGGCACATGATATCCTGAATGGCGCTTGCAAACTAAAGGCGTGTTTTGCCACCTCAAGTTGCACGTCTTCGGTGCCAAGCCCTTGAACGTGCTGCCACGTATGCAGCACGTGCCTGCGCCTTGGGGATATGTTGTACCGATCAGTTTGCGAAGATCAAAAACAAAGTAGGAGCTGAGAGGCGATTCAACGGATCAGTGGCTGTTGGAGTTGCACGATTTAGTGATAGAGTCCGACGGAGATGGAGTCACCGGGAAGCAACTTGTTTTACTCTGTTGAATGGTGCTAGGCCTCAATAAACCGTGCATCGGTTTCAGACAGACCCACGCGGCACTTTCGCCCTTTGGTATTTTGCACACTGCACTGCGCAATCACAGTGCCTGATTCCCACTCCTCCGAGCCGTCACTTGATTCTTGATGTGAGTTGTCAACTTCGTCATAGCATGTGTCATTGTGCCGACCCTGAACTGCGTCCCGCAGGGTGTATGGGCATTGGGTGAGCACTTGTCACAGGGAATAAACCATGTGAAACCTACAACGGGAAGGTTCATGATTATAACGGGAATGAGCGAAGGGCTGCCCAGCGCCAGAGACACTGCAGAACATAGCGGTGATAGCTGAATGGTTAACATCCAGAAATACATCAGACGCCAAGAACATATACGGACGCAGATAGTAGTGGAGTGTAGTATTATCATTCATTGCCGAGCAAGATGAATGCCCGTGGTAGAAACTGAGTAGAAACGCAAACTGCGCTTTGATGTTCTGATATCGGCGCTCCGCTCCCATCAAAGAGGCCCAGTCTGGACTCTGCAATGACCGAAGCGGGAAGCAATGTGCTTCTTCTATTAGTGCACCAATATTCATGTCGCGACGCACCGCCCGGATCTTAAACATCACTGTCTTGATTAATAGAACACGGTATAACTTAGACCAGGATATCCACATGGATTTACAAGGACGGCTCAGATGTGGAGACGGACTGGACTACGGAGTCATGCATCATGTATGGACCCAAACACCTGGGCTGTTACTGCTCCTGTCATGATCTCAGCAACGTATATATATGATAGTCGGGGCGGGCCTACCTTTGGTGCTATGATGACAATTGAAATTGGTGTCTTCGATCCTGTCTAGCTAAGAACTTGTATAACGGAACATATACTTTTGAGAGTCGCCTTTAATGTACATGTTCGGAATTGGTTTGGACGAGAGCCTGTTACCATAAACGATGAAGAATTTTCATTGGCCAATGAACTCCTCGTGGATTACGTAAACGCGTCTGAACTACACTCTCCTTTTCTCCAACTCATCTTTCCGGCAGAAATACGAGAATGGGATTCATGCTGCCGTCCCCAATAAACCCAAGAGAGCACGCTCGCGCTCTCATGTCTCAGAAAGAGAACATCGAGGCCGAACTCGACGCGCAGTTTTCTATCCTTAAAGTCAATAATGTTGATATGACCACACCCCTGGTTGATCGGGAAGGTTTTCCTCGGGCAGATGTCGACGTATACGCAATCCGGCATGCCCGCAGACGCATCAATGAGCTGCGAAACGATTACAAAGCTGTCATGAATGAGATTGAGACAGCTCTCCAGGCGGTATACGATCCATCTACAGTTGGATCATTACCCGCCGCATCTGAGGAGGTCGCGCAGCATACGAGTTTGACGGATAGCCCGGAATCGCTACTTGCTTTTGCAAGAGTGGATGGTGTAGCTCCAAGTAGCCCCGCAGCAGAAGCAGTACGTCGGTATGAAGCTTGCTTCAAGGACGATATCGACAGGGTTTTACTTACAGGGACTTCGACGAGAAGATCTGATATTGAAATTTGGATCTCTCGTGCGATCATCATTTACAGCAAATTCTTTGCAACCGCTGGCTGATCTAGTATCTGTTAATGAAAATGTTGGTTCAGGTTACTTTTCCCGCACCGCCTATCTTTAACATTCTTTAGCGCGAGATTCAGGTCATCATATCAAGGTCTGAGGAAACTATGTCGTTGAAACTCACTCCGCGTAAGGGCTGGGGTGGGCGTGGCATGCTAGGGTACGATATATTTGGTCGTCTGCTCGACATGAAGTAATGCTCATCAACTTGAACAGGTGCCATATTGTCCCTCACGAATCCTAGCCATCATCAACACTCTTTTGACTCGGAGACCACACAGATTTCTTCCATTCATCATAGCTTTGTATATGTAATTATGCGCACACTGTCAAAGATCATTCGGTCATCACTCGAGCCCTTGGCAATGCAAACGATACGTTACGGAATACCGACTGTTCCGGGATCGACACCTCGGTGCGGGATTCCAATGTTGAACGCGCTGGGCCCATATGAGGTGTTCGAGCAATTTCAAAGATATTACTTTCAAATCTTTCATATCGGACCATTTGTCATCGATCCCAGTGATGCAAACATGTCAATCGATTACGCAAAGAGAGCAACCCTAGTAGAGGAAGTACGGATAGGAAGAGATGTTCAGCCAAAGTGAAGCTCTCTTCCCATACCCACTTTCTTTATTGATGTGTCCCGATTCCCATGCATTCGCGCCCGGTCATGGCTTTTCACAGCTGGCAAAGCCCTGAAAATGGCCTGATCCAGATTGTTGGGCTGTAACTTTTATACATAATCAAAGCCACAGCGAACAGAACAAGGCTAAGCACTGTGGTGAGCGTTCAGCGACTGAATGCCGATTTGGTATCCCAATGAATGAATCTCGAGTTTGCAGTTTCGGTTTTTTGAAACATCTGCGGTGCGATATGTAACCACGATGTTCGCATGGACGAATTTGGTATGAATTTTAGAGAAAACACCATACTTGAATCCGTGTCGATGGACATAATGTACCCTTGCTTTGGGAGAGACCAGATCACTGGTGTATGTGCTTCGAATTCTCTCGTACACGCCACATCAACTCCTACATGGCCCATCTATGAAACCAGCAATGTCAATCCAAGCAACGTTGAAGACCATGCGCGAGCAGTCATCGCTGGCTCTATTAGGTGGACACTGGATGGTCGTTTGCATCGGTACTACTGCCAGTTCTGGCACCTATGCCGAGGACGCAGAAATTAAGGATAGTTCAGTATTGGTGCAGCGTAAAGAATTACAACATTTTGGTATCAAAATAAACAAACGAAGAAAAGAAATCGAAGCAAGAAACACAACTCATTCTACACCGAATCCTTCTGTTTCCCTGTAAAAAAAATCAGCGAACGTCTCCAGGATTGGACACAAAGCAAACGCACTCGATGGCATACGTCAATTTTTTTTCGAGGCTCTCGTAATCTTCGTAAGGAGGCAACTCGATCCTATTGAAACACGTATGGCTCCTCGGGAGTTGTGATGGATCGCCAGACTTATCGATGGTGAATCTCCGCGGCCCATCCGAACCCTGTAAATCTTTGAAGCCATTGACAGGCACCCTGGAAGTACCCGTCGCAAACTGGAGTAAGCGCGACTTGCGTTCCGGGGGCCAGCTACGGATGCATTGCCAGAACCACTCGATGACTTTGTCCGTCTTTTCGTATCCGCGGTAATCAGTGTATTGGATCCAGTCATCGCTGTAACGCATTATTAGCGTGATAAAACATGAGCATGATAAGATACGTACGTGTCAATCTCGGACATCCCCCCTATGAGAAGCTCGAGTTCTCGCTCGTCAAAGAGTTCAATCAGATCTCGAGGTATGATCTCCTGGAAGCCGAGCATGAAGGCTTGGGATTGTTCCCGGACTCTTGTCTTAGTACGGTATTCCACAACCGCTTCAACATACTCCTTCTTGTTATCTTCGGTGACGGGTATATCAGCTCCTCCAGGCTTCAGCTCGACTTCCACAATTTCGCCAAAGCGGTCTTCTGTAGAAGTGAACGTTTCGTCCAAGATATCGGTGATATCATTTTCCCTAAGTCAATTGTTGAGCGACTCGACTTAGCAGCGATGAGAACAAAAACATACAACATCCAGACTAGACTACGGTGAAGGTCAGCATCGACGCCTTCGAGATCAGCCAATGTTGACTTTTTCCCAAGGATGATCTTGTAGAAACTGGGTACGAAGTAGGCATCAAGAAACCGCCTATGGAATATGGCAAGCCCAAGACATCGCCCGATGAATTTGAAGTATGTGAGATGCTCAGGATTGATGCCCGACATCCAGTTCATCTGAAGGGTGTAATTGTCGTGTGCGGAATATTGGAACAAGCCATAGGATGGGTCGAAGATCTCATGAGACACCAGGAAGAACCACTCCCTATCGCAGTATTAGAACAAGGTCGCCTCAACCAGTGAAAGTGAAATTCATACCTCGAGACACCTCCATAATCCAAGCCATCTTCTCCTTCGAACTTGATCACGAGCCTCCTCTTCAACTCATTTCCGCTCATTCTCATGACAGCGGCGAAGCTGTCATCCAAGACTCGGCTTCGCCGCAGCTTCAATTCGCATTTGCCCTCCTTCAGGTTCATCGCGGGTTGACTGCGGAAGTAGATCACCTTCCTTCTGTAATCACGCTTGTACTGAGGGGCATTAGAATCCAGATTCGAGGGTAATCTTGGATCATCCCAGGTCGTGGTGCGGGTGTTGTGATCAACAAAGTACACTCTGCCAGTGGAGGTGAGGCGCATCTCCCAGCCTGATGGAAGAGGACCAATATTCGCATTCGCGTTCGTGGACGCAGAGATAGCGGAAGGAGCGACCTGTACCGTACGAGGGTCTATCCATGTCGTAAGGCGTGTATGATGGTCAACAAAGTAGGGGCGTCCTTCTGGCGTCCGACGCTCTTCCCATCCTGCCGGTAGGGGGACATCTACATAACCACCGCTGCTGCGGGTGGGATTCTGAACGTGCGGCTGCGTCACGGAGATTGATGGAGCACGAGCAGAAGATGATGTAGAAGGTGCGGCTGTGGGCCGTACCCATGTGGTCAACCTTCTATTGTGGTCAACGTAATAGACTCGACCGCTTTGTTCGTCAAGACGACGCTCCCATCCTCGAGGGAGGGGTGCTTCGTCTTCATCGTCTACACTGGTACTAGTGGTAGATTGTCCCGTGCTAGAAGGCTCACGTTCAATACCCATAGGAGGTCTGGTTAGTGTTACTGCACTATCTGACGAGGTTCGGGACTCCGAGTTGGAAGTTGAACCTTGGCGATTATGAAGGAGACCGAGAGATGGGACACGGGGAAGAGCGGGTACCCTTGTTGAGGACTCGGGGCGAAGCATGGGTGTGCTCTGACGGGAACGCAAAGACCGGTTTGCTGATACACTAGGTGATAGATTGCTTTGCGCAGCATCTGACGGAGTGTTCGGCGGAAGCGAGAACGAAAACATCAACTTCCCGTAAACAGATGTTCCAGTAGATGAGGGGCAAAGGTCGTGAGTTATAAGCCCTGGAGCAGGTCGTGTTAGCTGGAAGTATCGAAGTTAAAGATTATGAGTACTGTAACTGTTGGCCGTGTGCTCTATCGCCTCTTGGCCGGTAAGCTTTGCAAGCCCAAGGAAACCTTGATCTCGCTTTCTGAATCTCTTTTGGTCGAATATCTGGATTATGATAGTGGAAGATGGTCGAACGGTGCTACGAAACACGTTTAATACTGATAGCAGCGAGAAAACTCAAAGAAACCCACATATCAAAGTGCTGGTTCCAAGTCGGGCTCAAACTCCTCTTCACCGGGCTGGTGGTGTATGTCTGATCGGTATCGACAGAGACGACAGCGAATGGGTCTGGGAGACTGAAGACCTCTCGCTTCACAAGGGAGTTGGCGGCAAGGACTGGGCGTGCGCAGACTCGGATGAGCAGTTGTGGCGGTACAAATAATCATGCATTACCCACCAGTGATTCGGATGGTCTGTGTTTGCTGTTCGTTCGACATCTAGAGCAGCCACCAGGGGTGCTCGTCAGTAGTTGTGGCTGGAGGTGTAGGAAATGCCAGGATGGTGAGTGAAAGGAGAAAGAGTCTCTCGCAAGTTGAGGTTGAGCGGATTATTCTTGAGCGCTATGCTGTGGAGATGGCAATGACCATGAATAAGGCGACGACGACTCGAAATTAGATTAATTTACACGGATATAGCAGTCCTGACCAATATTTGAAGAAGGTATAACAGATATAATTTTATGGACGAGGATGGTGAGCGACTGGAGCAACACAAGACCAGCTGCGGCAAAGTCAGGCAGAAAACAAATTATAAGTACCAAGGGTAACACGAAATCATTGCAAGGGCGTAACATGCTGTAACTTGCTCGTAAACTTCTTGTTTCATTACGTCCAACCTTACGGAGCCTCATCACACTGATTCACACAAACTACTTTAAATCATACACATAGTATGATATCTACAGGCTCATCGCGACGCACGTTGCCAACATCCCACAGATTTTCTTTAGACAAAATCATGATGTTAAGCTATCGCACGGCCCCACGAACTTTAAATTCCACAATACCTCATGGATCAAAGCATAGCTTCCTTTCGAATCCAAACCCAAAACGCTTTGCGAATGCGAAGATAGCGCGGGAAGATGGCACGTATCTGGCTGGTAGGGGGAAAATACTAGGTGCACCGACTTGGAAGATCCCTTGAAATGGTAGGTTGGGCATCATGAGTCATTCCCTCCCCAATTATATTCACGTAACACTGCTACTAGTAGCCAAACGAAGATGTTACTTACGTGCAGGTTGATACCGTGGCATTGTCAAGATATTCTCAAAGACAACAGGTGTAAGCACCACTGGATTCTTCGGTAATTCGGTAATTACGATCCTTCTGAAACGCTTTTAGTCGGAATAAGATGCAGTCCGGATTGAAGTGTTGCCGTTCTGCGACTTCTGGGAACTTCACCCTTGGTGATGACCGGTGAGATGTAGACTTTACGTCGAGCCCTTTTGATTGACTTCATTAAGTTTGACATGGGAAATACACCAACAAGGTCGAAGATACTCCGAGCCTACTCGTCATCGCGACACCGGAAGGGCAGACAGATTATCTTTTCGTTAGGAAGGAAGGTTGTCACTGACATATATTGCTCGTCATCCCGTGTGAATGGCCGCCGAATGGTGGGTGGAAAATCATAGCTTCCTAAACTATTTTGCAGGCACAAGGCCTGTCTCAAGACCGATCGGCACTTCCAAGCGAAGTGTGAAATTCAATGCGGTTAACAGCGATTGTTAACCAGCAGTAATTACTAGGCAGGCCTAGCGGAGCAACAGAAAGGAAAATGAGGCGAGGGATGAAATTTAAGGAAGCGGAGGCGAAAAAATGTGGGCGCGAATGTAGACTTTGGCCGGTGCGTGTCTATAATATTAATCCTGTTGGCAGGCAGAAGCAGGCGGGTTGGCAGTATGCCCAAGTGCCGGTACTTGCACATCGGGGAGAACGTATCAAATGGCCATGATAGGAGCCAAGCCTAAGTCTAGGGCTAGTCTTCGGGCGGAGTTTGAATACTGCTCGTGATCTCATCGGTTTAAAATTGCGTTCATGTCATGCTGTGTTAACTGCTGCGTGTTCTCCTCTACTGTTTTTTTTGCTCACTACTATGGCAACTTCTGCTCCATTTCACGGTCTTCAAAATGGAAGCACAGCAAGAATTTTTGGCAATACGATGGTTGATTGTAAATTTCAAATTCTCATTAGCGGAAGAGATCAGGAAAGTCTCATAGAATGAAACATGGTGCACTCGAACAACTAGAGTTTGGGCCTTAATATTTAATGGTAAGAACTTCGGGGCTCCATTGATTTCGCCATTCCTGCTTTGACTAACTGCTGTAAGTCCTAGTATTATCTATTAAAAGCCTGAAAAACAAATAGTTGATAAACTAACCATAGCCTGAAGCGCAGCTCAGTTCCAAGTTGCCGTGTACTGCAAATTCTCAGCAACACTGTTACAACAACACAATGAATTGATCCAAGAGAGTTGACAGACACTCAGTCTCATACCTGTGATCCCTGGAGGCGCTTTGTCCCAGTCACCACAACAGGACTCTTCGAGGCAATACCTTTGGCCAATTGCACAGTCACGACACCATCCTTCCCGCCTTGAACAACCTTAGAAACAAGACCGAGTTTCTCTGCTTCGTCGCTCGAGAATGCCCGTGCAGTATATGCGAGTATGTGAGCTAATGATCGATTCCCCGTAATCTTCTGTAAATAAGCTAGCGTTCCGTCGTCAGCTGCCAGCCCCATATCGACTTCCTATACGCAGTAGCCTTCATCAGACAAACAACTGAATAGCCATGTGATTAACGAGCTTTGATCGAGAACTTCGCATCTGATGCTGCATGTCGGACGTAACACGCGGAGATGATGTCTATTCCCAAACCAATCACGATCCCATGCACTGCTGCTATGGGCATAGCTCGGGAGCTGCTACAGCGTGTTGGATGTTCAGGATGTCGTCACAGATAAGAAATGCGCGACGTGCAGGATCCATGACATCGCCGCAATACCTGCTTAACTCTGAAAATTGGGTCAGTGACGAAGCTGAGCCTGCCATAGAATTTTTTTTATTTGGCCATCTACGCTCACATAAACTTACCTCGATGGTTCGACTATGAAGGAAAGAAACAAGGAGTGTGAGGCAAGCTCGCAAACTATCTGGCAATAGGTACGCATAATGATAGTCTACTATAGTAGTATTGGAGCAATATGCGATTTGATTTCCAATTCCGTGAGCACCTAGCAGCAGCAACTCAAAGCTCAGTCTGTTCTTGATATTCGTTTATTCGAAAGTCTTCTTTCGATGGCAATATCATCTGAGTATATTAGCAGATAGATACGTCATCCACAAGTCCTGGCAGTCGTTTACCTTTGGCCACTGTTCGACGGTCTACTGGTGGCAAGGATGAGATTGCGAACAATGCGAAGGGGCATGAAGGGTGGGCCCAAAAGGATGTGGAGGACAAGCACGCACCTTTAGACGCAAGTGTCTTGCCTCATCGCGCTCAGCGCTGAAGCTCTGATCACTTTTCTATCCAACAGCTTTCACGGAAAGATCTCGGGAAGGAAGCGATTCTTCTGCTCACATTATTCCCTGTGTGGAGGTAAGTAGCTCCGCAATGACTTCGAACCTTGAATATTTCAGGGTCACCGCTGCGCTCGGCAAAAGGGATGTTTTGAACGCCTTCTGTGCATTGGCAACACAAATTTAAGTAACTCTGTCGAATATACTATTCCAGTGTACTACAAAGCCTATTTCATGCCTGGAGGTTTATACAATACGAAAAAATGAGCACTAATATGAATAGCATATAAAACGAGAGATTCACCAACAGCTGGCTCCGACGTTGCGAAGTTGATCATGTACAAATCATCCGATGCTATTGACAAGTTAACGTTGTGGAGAGTGAATCGTTGGTCCCGGAACTGGCACGCAAGGAAGATCTTCTGGCAGACTCGGACATTCCATGAGATACTCATGCTGTTGATATAGGTATCAATAAATTCTTACATTGGCGGATACGAAGAAATAAATACATTGAATTTGAATTGCTCCACGAGTTCTAATTTAACACACGAAAGGAACCGTTCGATGGTTCCATTAGTTATCAGGACACTTCAAGATGTGAGCACCAGAGGACACCAGGCACAGGAGAGCAATATCATGTAACTTGAACAGGAACGAGAAGTTACTGGGAGGTGTTGGAAAGCAGGAGGGTATAGCAACACGCGCCAAACCACGGCCACTATGGAGATTAGCCAGAAAGAGACCCAAGAGCTGAGTTTGGGTTAGAACCTTTCGTCGAAGAGCTATACGGTACAGCACGGATCAGTCAACAGCACGCCGCGCCAGTCCAGACTTACCTTTACCTTTCTATCCGCGCTCCATTCACTCGTGCAACGACCGCTTCGGCGGACCGAGTATTTGTATATCTATTATCACTCGCCAGGCCTAGAGACGTATCAGAAACGGCCCCGTGGAGTAGTAGACTCGTGCATAAGCGGGATGGTGATGAGCACCGTGACATGGATATTAAAACTCCGCTCGAACGCAGCCGGCGGCCCCGGACTACTACTTGGTCAGACTTTCAAATTGGCCCCAGAGTCTCAGATCTCAGACGTTGGCCAAATCTCTGCTTTCACACATCGGGCGGGATTTGAGCCCCACTAGGCGCGCGTCGCCAAGCCTGCGGTCGAGACACCCGCAAAATTTATAACTTTCTGGCCTCAATTGACTCGGAAGCCTGCTGCGCCAAACCTGCTCATGATACCACCGGAGTCCGAGGTATGAGATATCTCACAGTTACTTATAGGTAGGATAAGGAACTTCTTGAGGTCACGCGATGATTAGGGCTTGATAGGGCATTTGACTTCGTTTGTTATTGCCTCAGGTGAGAGAGTATTAAAGGAAGATTCAGAGTCTTGAGAAAATTCATTTTTGACATGAGTGAGATCCAGCAGAGAGTCGCCATCATTGGCGCTGGGTAAGTATCACTTTTGATTTGATTCTGTACCAACTGAACATTGGACTACGCGCAGTATTGCCGGGTTAACCCAAGCTATTGCCCTCAAAACCAAACTTAAATTCCACAATTTCACAGTGGGTCCATCCATGCAATGAGTGGTATGCTCGCTGAGTAGTTCAATAGATATATGAGAAAGAGTCTGAAGTTGGTGGAGTGTGGAGGGTACGTGGTTGTCATGCATCAAAGCGTTTTCCTGACATTTTTTGTTTGCACAGGCCAACACATATCCTGTACGTATTATCAATGATCGAAACTGCGACACCGTATCGCTCACCTCGAAGCTTGTTTTAGGGATGCTCATCAGATATCGAAATTCATTGGTACAGTTTATCATCAGACCTTACCCATACTGGAACGCATCACACGGCCTTCAACCGGAAATTCAAGCCTACTGGATTGAACTCTCGAAGAAATACAATCTATATCCACACATCGCATTCAACACAAAAGTATTGTCTGCCGAGTGGGATGATGCCAGACAACAGTACAACATCATCGTGGAAGATGTATCTTCAGGCAAGAGAATGTCGAGCGTAGCTAACGTCGTGATATCTGCCGTTGGTATCTTGCAGGTCCCAAATATTCCATATGAGATCCCTGGAGTTCGCAAGTTTAAGGGGGCATCGTTTCATTCCGCACAGTGACCAGGCTCAATAAATCTGCAAAACAAGCGCGTTGCAGTGATTGGAAATGCCTCCTCCGGGTGAGTCACGACGACTTCTGCGCAGGTAATTGGTAGTGACATACAACAAGAGCACAGTTCGTGCCATCTATATCTGAAGACTTGTCCGTCGAAGTAGTCAACTTCATCCGCACTCCGACCTGGTTTAACACTCGAGTGAGTTTCTTTGTATCATGGTCGATGATTCAGCAACAAAACAAAACATCTAAGCCACGCATTCCATACTCGAACACTGTGAAATGGATATTTGCTAACATCCCCCTGGTAATGCAACTGCACCGAACTTGGATTATGCTCCAGGTCAGGCCTCCTGCACTACAGAATGTTAGCTTGCTGACATTTGTTACAGTATATTGCTCCCCCTCACTTACCCATGGGTGATAGGGCTCTCCAGAAAAAACGTGACGTGAGCAGGGGCCCCGAGACCGGGTATTCGGTCTAACGTTTCTACTTAGGCGATGACGAAATACATCCTCGATAACACACCAGATAGATACCATTCTCATATGATACCTGATCATCGTACGTGTCTGATCAAGGAGATTTATTTATGCTCACATGTTTCGCAGCCCCAGGTTGCAAGCGGACTGGTTCGTCGGCAGTAGTGAAACTGACTCGTTATTCTCTTTCTCTTTTCATTACATGCAGTCGCGAACAGTGGTTTCCTGAAAAGTATCTGTCGTTCTAACGTGACACTGAACTTCGACGGAATCGCCGAGATAGTGGAGAATGGCATCATCACAAACACTGGTGTGTGAGCTGTCAATGGCGTCATCACTTTCCTCATATAATTTAGGTGAAATGTTACTATTTGATATCATTGTATACGCGACCGGATTCACCTGCGTAAGTTGCAATACATAATGGAACATTCCATTCGATGCCAAATGCAGAAACAGGAGTCGTATCCGATGCACGTTCGAGGCTTGAATGGAGCCACTGTCCAAGGCTATTATGAGGCGCATGGTGGCCCTACTGCATACCTCGGGACTGCAATTCCAGACTCACCAAACTTTTACTTGATAATTGGTGGGTTCAGATGCCAGCGTGTCGCCATCAACTGTAGCCTGAGGTAATAATTACAGGACCAAATACTGGAGGACAAACAGCATCGACGTGGACCGCAGAAGTGCAAGTAAGTATACCTTGATTTTTGTATCTTTCTACTCAAGTTTGTCTCAAGATTGCATACGTCCTTCAACTCATAGAGCCGGTCCTTACTGGTTCTGCCTCATCTTTCACCGTCAAAGCCACACCCACAGATACATACAACGCCAAGTTACAAGAACGGCTCTCTCGCTCGGTGCATGTACACTGCTTCTCTTGGAGGCGTACGAACGGTACATGCAAAGTGTTCCATTCGTTTCCTTGGCCTGGGACAGTTTTCTGGTGGTTACTTCGTCGACCAAATTGGGATCATTATACGGCTGTCGACGCCGAGAAATGGGCAAGGGCAAGGCGAAGAAAGGATGTTAAGAGTATTCTGAAATGCGCTGTAGTCTTGACGCTACTGTGGTTATACATCAGCGGCTCTGCTCAGCGGATTTTATATGACATGTGGTGAGTCCATCATTGTTCTCGATGCCTGTCAATTGAACGATCTATATCTTCATGCAAGCGGCTACCATGACTTATAGCTACTTGAGTAAATTTGCCCTCCGTCTTTGAGGCGCCCATAGTCTACGAGACATATCATACTCATGTGATGTAGACGCCTTGTCTTCTGTTTCCTCACGACGAAGATAGGCAATCAGGGACAATATGACGACAACCCGTTAGACCATGTTTGCCGATCATTATGAACAGCTTACTCGGCAGAAGTCAAATTTAACTTTGACAAAGCAGTTAGGTTGGCCTCGTCCACCATCTACGTTTCTGATGGAATCATCTGAAGCAGCCAAGCAATCTTCCAAATGTTCAAACTTTTCCATGGGAACACATCTATGCGGAGTCAATCTTCAACTTAAAATGCCATGTTCAACGGTAAGGCCAAGCAATAGAAATGAAATTTGGAATGATAAATTATGTTTTCTCGCCTTATTCAGCTGCCAATGAATTTGAAGGACCCTGCATTCGCACTAAACAAGAAAACCATCAGGCCCCTAAATAAATCCCTGACGCAGAACTGTCAACATGCGGTCACTAAACGCATTTCCAGCTGCTTCAAGCTATAATACTCTCCAAGCGTTTACTAGACTCATGTGCGACTAGGAACGACTGTATCAACGGAATGCTAGTAATCCAATCAATACAGGGTTTATATCACATTAACAAGCGTGCTTACTGGCGCCAGAAGCACGCGGAGATCGGACGTTCACGGTCGGGCTACCCACTACAGTGCCAGGACCGAAATACATGACACGCTCATGTATTATGGGATGAGTTATTCGAGTGGAATAGGCTACTGAAGATGGTGGTCGCTGTGGCCAGAACCTGTTCTCGGGAGTGCTGTATGCTAGAGGACTGATCAGCATATGACAGTAACGAGGCTAGAAATGTGTCGCCCACTTGCTCCAGTCGCATCTTCTGAGTCGATATTAAATGTAGGTGACCCAACATACGAGTTGGAATCGAAAAAAACGCAGCTTATGTTCGTGTCTTCGCCCGGTCGTGCATGTAGACTATCTTGAGCCGGGGGTTGTGCTGTGTGGCGTCAGTGTTAAACTAGGGGTAAGAATGCCGTGTACATACCTGTGGAAGCATTTGAGGTAGCTTGCTCGGTCACAGAGAGACTGACGGGGGCCGCGGGACCATCTGTACCAGTTGCAGCCTCGGGCAAGCTACTGGTCGTGGTGGAATTGGACTGAAGTAACATGGGACCGCCAGAAAATGGGTTTTCAGTACTACTGGATGATTCGGAGCCGGGTTCAACGTCCGGGTCGGTTTCGGTAGCAGTGGCTGGTGTCCAGAGCTTAGTCTTCAATGACAGCGACAATGAATAGCGCTTACCCAGACTTTCAACCTCCAGGTCGGTTTTGGTAGTGGCTGGTGTCCAGAGCTTAGTCTTCAATGACGGTGACAATGAATAACGCTTACCCAGAGTTTTAACCTCCGGGTCGGTTTTGGTAGTAGCTGGTGTCCAGAGCTTAGTCTTCAATGACGGCGACAATGAATAGCGCTTACCCAAAGTTTCTGGTGACACAGGGCGACCCTTTTTTGAAGCTGGCGAAGCGACAAAGTATTTCCGGAAGGATGACACGAAGCGGCGGTATAATCTCATGGTCTGGTGATCTAGTGAATTATTGGAAGTGTGTTGATGGGGACTACATATTTCTGAATAGTCCCATATTTATAGTTCTGCCAGACTGGCAAGAAAATGCTGATAGCGTCTGGCCTCGAGTTTCGTTCCGAGCCGTGATATTGAAGAACAATAACACCAACTTGAACTTACAAAAAACGATATCTACCAGGACCGCCTAAGGCGCAGACGGTCACCTCTGATGCACAAAGCACCACCCAAGCTGGCCAAGTGAAACCGGCTATATTACAATCACATACCGGTTATAAAAAATGGACATGGCCAAAACGGTTGAGATCGAGTAGAATATGATAAATTTAGAAGCACAATTACCTCGCGGAGCAAGGTCATGCATATGTCGGTAAGGTTTGTCGAGTCAAGAACATGCTGTGCAAGAGAGCGTACTAAGTGGCCAAATAGAAATTCATTCATGCCGCAATCACGCGAGACACAATCAACGCAAATTGCAGAAATTATCTGATAGAAAACCATCAATATCAAAACATAGGGTTACAGATAACTTTACAGCGACCTTGTTCCCTCGAATTAACTTGGTTGTTATGGATTGATGGGCCAAGCGACATAACCTACTTGTAAGGTAGAAGAAACGCAAAACCGACAAACATCACGTGATAATTGTGAATCTATTATGTAATTGTCTCAGTCGACTCCCAACCCACCAACTGGACAAGCCACACCGTCCTCGAAGAATGCAATACTAATCTCATTGAAGACTAGCGATTTTATATCTATTTAGCTCTAAATTATGGTAGTTCATCTGCCTAATCAAAAATTTCTCTATTCTACCCTAAGTTTGCACGGGAGGTTTTTCCTGATGCTTGTTTAAACTTGTGCAATGCCCACGGAGCCGTGGAATACCTAGTTCCATACATCAATGGCACTGCCTCCTGTGCCGTCAGAGTGGCATCGCCCGTAATTCGAAAAGGGTTGACAAATCTGTCGAGACGCTTCATCCACACATTAAATTTGGTTGCCTACTTACGAAAAACAAACAGCAAAGGTGATATCACGATAACTAGGTATACAACCATTACAACTTGGCCTTCACCTTGACTAGCTTGGCCATCCCGCCGATAATCTCTTCTGCCTCCCTCTCCATGCGCGACAAGAGCTCTTCGCACGTCGGGATATCTTTGATCAAGCCAAGTACAAGACCTGCAGTCCAAATCCCATAGTCGGGATCACCGTTCTCGAATACAATTTTGCCTCGTGCGCCCGAGACAAGGTCGCGGACATCTTCAAACTTGGCCCCGCCTGGCCGCCGCTCGATAGCAACGACTTGCTTGGAGACTTCATTCTTGAAAACGCGTGAGGTGTTGTTCAAGGTACGGAATATGTGGGTGGTGTCATATTCGGTGGAGGCGACAATTTTCTCTTTGATTTTTTGGTGGATAGGGCTGGATAACACGAGTGAGAAGAATATTGAGTGACAATGCCACTGCCGTACCTCTCAACTGTGCACATGAATCGTGTGCCCATGTTCACTCCCTGCACGTACAGGTGATCAATAAGATTATGATATGGGAGGTACAATACTCACAGCGGCACCAAGTGCGAGACAAGCAGCCAAGCCACGGCCATCTGCGATTCCACCCGATGCGATGTATGGTATTTTGAGTTCTTGCGCGGCTCTTGCAAGCTGTAAATTGTCACTATGTAATGATAATCATAACTTCCAGTGATAAAGCGCACCAGAACAAGGCCACCAATGTCCTCCTCTCCAGGGTGACCAGCACCTGACGATATTGTTGCAATCAAATTTCAAACAAGTAGATGAGGGACTCACATTCGAAGCCGTCGATACTCAGAACGTCAACGCCCAGTCGTTCTGCGGACTACATGATCCGCTTTAGCATATGAAAAATACATCTTAGTCTGATTAAACGGGGAGCGAACCTTTGCGTGTCGAATTGTGGTGCACTTATGTATCACAATGCATCCACGTGACTTAAAGAACTCGATGAGCTTTCCCGCTGAGTTGTGTCAGAATCATTGTAACTGATGAGAACGAGACTACGCACGACTGTTCCCTGCTGTTTCAAATATCTTGACGCCTTCTTCTACAGCTACACGCGCGAAACCTTCATAATCTGGTGGGTTAATCGAGGGCAGAATCGTGATATTGACGCCAAAGGGCTTGTCAGTTGCTGCGCGGGTTTCACGGATCACAGTGCGTAAAGCTTCGGGATTCGGCTGCGTAAGTGCAGTGATGACCCCTACACCAAATTTAGCGGATATAGCTAGGAAGCGAGTAATATTACACACCAAGACCTCCCGCGTTCGACACGGCTGCAGGAAGTGGAGGTTTTCCGACCCTGCGCATAACAATCAGATCATTCTTGAGAGAACTTCGACGGTGCAGACGAAGTTTACCATTGCATACCCCCTTGCACTACTGGCCTGTCGACAGCGGAACAAGACGTAAATGTATGTCTTCCAAACAGCAGACGTGCATTAACTTACACACGGATGCCCAGAAGTTCAGTCAATGCAGTTCTAATCATTCTATCTGGATTATGTTCTTGAATGCTCCTGGTGCACTAGGTCTGCGTTGACTCCGTTGAGATGTACTATGTAACAGTGAGCCTGGTATCAGAATATGAAGCGGGTGTAAACGTGAAGAACAAAGGTCTGCGAGCTGGGCAAGTAAACTAAATGTGATAAGCGGTGAGGATGATGGTAAAAGAATCGAACTACATATACTACGCGGCACTCGGTCATTGCTCGGTCACAGGTCACCGGCATGTGATTGAGTCCGGGAAATGGAAATTGTCTAGTCTACGTAGACTCTTGTCTGCCATGGCCCTGTCTGGGGGCGTGCCAACTGCCCGGCTAGATTCGAGCGGAGCTTTATTTCCAATCGGGACGTAGTATGATTCAGCTTGGGAGCTCATCATTGTCACTACCAGCATGGACAAACTGTGTCAGGAGGGTGGCAGTGGGAACACAGCAGTGCAGGCAGGTGGTCGGCGGCAGGCGGCGGGCATTGTCAACCAAGATGAGAGCGGGGTCAGCTACAAACTCCGCTCGCACCTGGCGGGCGGCCGCGGCACATCCCCAGACAGGACCTCATCAGGTCTGTGGGCTATTGTCTGGGTTCTGAGCTTTACTTTCACATGTGATTGTAATACAACCGGTTACGCTTTGTGGTGCTTTGTCACGTTCAGTTGCATTCAATTCCATCATCATCACCATCATCACCATCATCAAATCCAACTTATAATAAGTAGAGCGCGCACTGATAAGCCCATGTAACCAGAAAACTAACCTTCATAGGATTTAGTGCGTTATACACGTGGAATGATGGCCCCAGATGTGGTTTTTGCCAGCTACTATAGATCATCCTAAAGTTGTTACCGGTACGCCGTACTTAGAATGAAAATGTAATGTCTGATATCACCACGTTCGAAAGATGTCTGCTTGAAAGCTCGAGCTCAAGGTCTATGATACCATAATCTCCCTTTCGCAAAATACAACAATGCGAGAATTTTTGTGGCTTTGACTGTGGATACAAATTGTTGCACTGTCCTTCCATGTGGACACACCTCCTCGTGCCAAGGCCGACATGCACAACTTGTGGATCAAAACTCAAGCCCACAACTTCCACAACTAAACAATGGGTGTCCAAAGCTTGGCCATAAAACCTGGTGTTATCTTAAAACATCAGCTCTCGCTCATTATTCGCGTTGATACCTGTATCGTCTCAATGGCAAGCACAATACCTACAAGTCTCTCGAAGTCTCGCACTATCAGGCTGAAAGCAGCTCCTCGGCTCGAACCAGAACCAGAAGTCATCGCACATGGCCCTAGAGAATCTCTTACGCAGAAGTCGGACATCAGTACTAGCAGTGACAACAGCGCTGTTTCATCGACCTGTATATTGTCCCTCAATGTCCCACAGTTCGACATCCAAAGGACGTTCCCAGCGATCCTCGATCCCGTCAGACTTTTCCGCGAAGCCGCAGACGCACAGGACATCGAATCGATCCGTTCTTTGACCCCAACCTTTTTGCACGGTTTGACTACGATTTTGCGCTCCATGTCTCAACTCCCCGAAGACGTTCGGCATGCTTCAGGCTACAGGAACGCTGAATCCGGAATCCGGCACTACAAGCTCCTCTTGATGAGCCATATCCAGCCGCTCCTCGACAACAAGAGCTTTGAACTGGTTTGTAGGAGGCAATTTATTTGGGAGACTCTTGGATATTTGGACGCTATAATGTCCAGCCTGAAAAGGCTCATGCAAGTTGCCGAGCTCGAGATGCGTCAACTGAAACCCCTTCCTGATACTCCCGAAGAATGTGAAGAGGAGATAGAAGCGGAAGAAAATAGCGACCACATCAATGGACCTCGCCGAAATTCTTTGCTGTCAGGGGATACCCACCAGTCTAGTGAAGGATCATCGACGGACAGGACATGCGTTGAAGAGGCGGACGAACTGGGCTCTCTTGCGAAGGCCCTGGCGATCAAACACACGAAACGGGGACTGGCTGCCATTCTTGGGCCACTTTCAGTCAACTTGCGCCGCAAAATCTCCCAGTCATCTGCAAAGGCGGACAAAGCGGCATCTGTCGAGAAACTCACAACTTGCGCAGGACATGCTCGCGCGACTGCGAATATCAGGAACTCGATTGCCCTCTTCCCCGAGCTATTGAATGACAAGCTGGAGAAATCCTTCCCTCACCCGGATGACAGCACGGAACTCTTCCTAGACAAGAATGGGGTTCTTCAGCTTGCTTCATTGAAGGGCCTTGTCAGGTATCTGACATCGGCAGTCTCTGATGACGACCTGGAGCTGTCAGATGTCTTTTTTCTCTGCTTCCGCTACTTTTCGACTCCAGCACTCGTTCTCGAGGCTTTCATAGAGCGATACAAGGAGAAGTTACCTGGTTGCTTGTCTCCCGACCAAACTCACATTCAGTCCATGCACGTCAAGATGCGTGTAGCTCGCCTGCTTAACCAGTGGGTCGATCTTCATTGGCGTCACTCAGAAGACCAGGAGGTCTTCACACCTCTCCTGCAATTCGCATTCTCTGATCTCTCTCGAGATCTCCCCCGCAGTGTTTCCTCAAAACTTATCGACACCTTGCACAATGCTGCGTGCGCTAAAGAACACAACGGACGTCGCCTCGAGAAGACGGTTCAACTCATTCAAGGCTCTTCACCAGCTGAAGAGCTCTGTAGTTTATGGGAGCCTCGCGGCAAGAAGGCGATGGTTAAGGGGGAGTTTTCGAAGATCAAGTTGTCCAAATTCGCTTCTCCGCAAGGAATGGAGCTCCTGGCTCATCAACTCACCGCCCTCTTGTGGGAGAAGTACCGGGACTTCCAGCCTGAGGATGCTGCACGCTTTTGGGTGGAAGAAGCAACTGGAAAGTCCACTTATGGCGTTTCCAATGACGCTAGCACGAAGGTGACCACCTACGCTTCCTTTGAGAAGGCTCTTCACCTTTGGGCACTGGACATCATCGTGTCTGCGCAGTCGATGGAGGATCGTATCCAGAAGGTTCAGTTTATCTTGGAGTGGGCACAAGTCAGTCTTTTGTCATACAATTATAGCCGTAGCTGACGCATCCTTTTACTCGCAGGAATGCCACATCATCGGAAACTACGCTGGTTCTTGGGCATTGTTTTCCGCGTGTGACAGACAGAGTTTGGTTGGCTCTTTATCGGTATGCACCTAAGACTATGACGTTGTTTCTCACTCACCTTACTTCACAGACCGTCGGTGCCAAGCACGAAGAGATTCTACTCGCTCTACGTCTCTTTTTCAGCCACACAAATCGCATGAAGGCCTACAAGGACGCGATCCAAAGTAGTCGTGGACCCACTCTGCCCACTCTTGGTACGTTTAAAGACACTGATGACTTGACTTGGCCTCTAACGATACCTTCATGCAGTTCTTTTCATAGGTGACGTGAAGCGCCAGTGTGGTAACGAAGAATGTGTAGACCACCCAAATGCGCCAGGACATAAGCTCATCAACCTAAGGCGTTACCGCCCTCTCACGCGAGCTATCAGAGGTATGATTGTTACTCGTGCCTCTTAGTCAGTACTGACATTGCGACAGACATGGAGAGATGTCATACCCCCTATTGCATCCAGCGTGTGGATTACGTCTGCCAGTGGATGGAGGAGGTCATTTGCTCTTACCTCAGTCGCCCAGAAGTAGAATGGGAGGACATCTTTTATGACAAAAGGTAAATTTGCATTCTGCCTTAGACGTCCATGAGCTCACGACCCTCTCAAGCCAGCGTTTAGGGAAGAAGATAAACCGGAAATGCAGTATCTATTCGTAACAACATCATTCATTTTCTTGTCGACTGTCCACTTCTCGTCTTGATCTTTTATTGACTAGTTTATGATCCAGTCTGTACACATTAGTCTGCTTTGTACATTTTTCTTGTCGATGCTTTGCTGCTTTTCGTTCGTTCTGTTGACTGACTCATAATTCAGTCCACTCACATTCCTTCGGTTGCTTTCGTTGATCACGTACACGTATAAACACGTCCACTCATTACCTTTCCTGTTACCGCACTGTAGTTGTTCAGGTGCTTACAAACGCTCGTTCTCTTGCTAAATATAACGGTTTTGAATGCGATTCGAATGAGATTGTGTGGTGTCATAACATATGCATAGGTGCATACAAAACATGGCCTTTGTGCTGTCGCATATCGTCGCATCACCAGCCGTGTCGAATATGTGAGAATTACATTAAGCGCGTGCAGCTTCGATTCTCCTTCTGGCAACCTGTCTCCGGTTCAACGACGACAAGGATGATACGCCGACAGCGTCCTTGTCCTTGCTCCGCTCGACCTCCTCAGCCGAAACCCCCAGAATGATCTCGACGTGGCATGGGTGACCTTGATAAGGGTTAATACGACCGTGTGCACGGTACGTGCGGCGGCGAGTTTTCTACGAGGTGTGAACAAGATTACGATATCGACTGAAATTTAGAGCGAGATGCACGTACGGGTGCTTGCTGAACGCCAATGTTCTTGATGTAGAGGTCCTCGAGCTCTAGGCTCTTTGCGTCTGCATTCGACTCTGCATTTTTGAGGAGGCGAGTGATGAACTTGACGGATTTCTCGGGCCAACGACCTATAGTATATCGTCAATGTCAAATCTCCGTAGTTCGCTCGTCTAATATCACGAGACGCACCCTGGGTTGCCTTGAATTGCTTGGCTTGGCTGGCCCGTCCGACACCACCAGCAAACCGACGGAAAGGGATGACTTGCTTATGGTCCGAGACATCAGATAGATAGGTGTATGCCTTGGTCAGCTTCAAGCCTGAATCGATCATGAGGGTTATAGGTATCACCATCACCATGATCTGGACACTGACCTGTGAGGGCTGCAGCAACTTCCCTCATGTTCTTGAAGTGCGTGCGGAGGTACTCCCCCCGAGCACGGGCGGCTGAACAAGGACCAAACAGTTATGAGTGTTGGGTCTGATATCAAGGTGCAAGACAGACTTTTTTCGGGATTGGTGGCGAGAGCGGCGGCGGCGTAACGAACTGTTTCAAGACGGTGAGCATCCTAGTGAATATAGACGATCAAGGCGCACCCATTTTTGAGCCTTGAGGATGTTGTCGAGCGCGGGCTTGTAAGTTTAGGATCGAGAACTGGGCCAATGTGGCTTAAACCTTAATTCTACAGTACTTCGGAATTTGCCGATAATGCGAATTAGTGACCAAAGTAAAAATGGTGGACGCTCTTCCTCAGAGGCTGTTACTCATTCTTGCAACTTACAAACGATCAGATAGCCTCTCAGTCAAGGATCTTATGGACTCTCGCATCCATGGTGGTCTCACATATAATAACTTCATTATGCTCCCTGGAAAGATCGATCTTCCTGCTTCCGATGTCATTACGGAGACCAAAATAGCCCGGAATGTTATTCTCAGGACTCCTTTCATGAGTAGTCCTATGGACACTATCACCGAGACAGATATTGCCATTAGTCTCGCCCTGCTAGATGGTATCCGTGTAGTTCATCCATCACCTCCATCCCTTGAACCCGATGCCTTATACCCTCCAGAAACAGGATCTTTGGGAGCTAAACACCTGTTGGTATAGTCACCTCGCGCGACGTGCAATTTGAGTCTCCTGAAAAATATCTTCACAAGGTCACGACCACGTTCCTTGTTACTGCACTTCAAGGCGTTACACTAACAGAAGCCAACCAAATCCTCCGTGCCTCCAAAAAGGGGAAACTCTTCATCGTCGACGAACAGGGTTGTCTCATTTTTCTCCTCGAAAACCAAAATTACCCTCTAGCTAGTAAGGACCACAGCGAGCAAAAAACCGTATGCCGCCACGGCTGTCGGCACGCCACCTAGCGACAAAGCCCGCCTCAGACTCCTTGTCCAGGCTGGCCTTGATATGATCATCCTTGATTCAACTCCAGTTTTTAGATCGACATGATTGAGTGGATCGAGCAAACGTTCCCGAAACTTGAAGAGGCTACTGCTGTGTTTGGTTTACGTCCAAGTCTGGTCTTCCTGTGATAGCAAACGTGGTATCGGTAATGTGGGGCACATTGTCAAGACACCCGGCCTTGGTGCGAGCGCTGTCGTGATGGGAGAGCTTCCACAGAGGCACCGGGAGAGTACTTCTACTACGATGGGAAGCGAGCGAAGTCCTACCGAGGCATGGGTAGTTTTGAGGCTATTGAAGAGGATAGATCGAGTGTGTCAAGTCAGGTCAATGACTTTACAAAACACGCATCCCGGTCTTCGAGCAAGCCGCACGAGAACGCCGCTACGACGCGCTATTTCTCCGAGTCAAGGTTGCATAGGGCGTATCGGGTGACGTGCAAGATAAGGGCTGTGTCATGGTATTCATATCATACCTATACGTCGGTGTCCGCATAGTCTTCAGGACATCGGCGTACGCAGCGTTGCGGAGCTGCCTCAAGGCGTGTTAGAGTGTCTTGTTAGGCTTGAGATGATACCGGCGAGTAATTGTATGCTTGATACGACGGTCTACCAACCAGCTAGATGGTCGACTTCACGAGACATGACTGTCGTTGTGAAACTTCATCTTTGCCGTGTCTGGTACCGCTGCCACTGATTTGGAATTGCCGTCCTACTTTCTCTCGTGGCAGCGGCTGGATGCTCTCTTCAAAGTCGGACTCGACTGTCTGGTGTACTCTTAGAGACTTCCTTTTTACGGTGATTAGAACGCCTATTTTCTTCATGTCGTTCTGATAAGTGTTTGTGGATGGCAAGTACTACTAGCTGGTACTTGGCTTTGAATCCAAACAACCGATTTCGTGGAGTCCTTGCGATTATGTAATTGCCTTGCGAAACGTCTGGGAAAGTCACCATGTGAGTTCTCAAGATCTCACTGCCAGCGTCAACGTTTATGTCATGTATCTTTTCATCTGGACTTCAAGTTGGTTGCTAGGAACGTGCGAGTAGCTAACTTACTAAGTGTTGTCATTCAAGACAACGATGTATAAGGTCAAAACTTAAAAGCAAGTAACATGAGCCGAGTAAACAAGTCATATAGTAGGATATGAGGACGGTTGACCATGCCGCGAAATTTTAGAGAACGAAGGTGAGGCAAAGGCACTTGAGACGTTGTCCGCATGACCAAGTTTTGCAGCCAGAGTGTAAAGAATGATAGGGTCATGTGCACGAGCGCCACCGAGCCTTCATGCCTCATTCCAGACATGCGTTCCTGCAGTTTGTAGTTCAATGTATAAGCTCATGGTCAACATATGCGAAATTTTCATTAGCAGCGATGGTGAGAATGATGACGAGATATGGGCAAGGCAATGAGGTTGTTTCTTTAGCAACTCCTTGGTGTCCTCTCCACTGAGTTGCTGTGTAACCGAGGATTTTGTTAGCAACGATCATCACAAAGCAGGAGACAAGATACCATTCAACAAGATCTAGCGTCTGACATTGGTCTGACATCACTTTATTTCCTGAGGAGGTCAGCATATTGGGGATATCCCTCGCGGCCTCAAGCCGACGGAGCTCCAGAGATGCTTGGTGCGCATGGCTTCGCCGATCAACTGAGCTCTCTTTGCCTCAGCTTGGGCTCGCACTATTTGAACAGACTGCAGAAGACAAATCAGAACCAAGAAAAACAAATAAACTCTCAGAGTTGAGCAACTTGTCTGACTAACCAAATGTACGATGGCAAGAGACCGTCAGGATGATAGCTTAGTGTGTCTTCATACATATGAAGAAACATCAATTTCATCATCAGTGAACCAGTGAACATGTTAGCCAACTGAACATGTTTGACCGTAGCAAAATTTCGAGATTAACTGGCACGCACATCAGGACCGCACAAGCTAACAGTCGATATAATTTCATGTAACGTCGCTGCAAATCCAAGTTTTGAACCGTGCTCGAAAGAGTTTAAGCATACATAGATCTCACTCGTTGAAATCGCGCGGGTGGTACGAGTAGATTTTCGGGTGCTGGGCCCGGGGCATCACCGATTCGCCGAATCATTGCCAGTACTGGATTAATCCTGCCAACGACTTCAATTTGCAGATAATGACCTCATAGTGACTCGAGCTTGCACCACTGCCTACGTGAGGAATGAAGTATGGGGCGAAGGAAAAGACTGTCCAACTTCTACACCGTGACTAGGTCTGACTAGGTGGTGGGTCGTAAGAGAATACTTGTCGAAACGTGACAAACAAGGTTTAGATCCAAAAGACCCCGGCCAAGTCACCGTTAGTGCGCCAAGCAGTACTCTAGAACCTGCAGCAATATTTCATCTATATATCACCACTGTCCACAGCAGGCGTTGATGCCCACTAGCATCGATCAGGAGAACTCTGGTACATCACACCCAGCTAATGGTTCATCATCTTCCCAGTCTACTGCCATAGAGCCAACGAATCAACTCCATGATTCCGAAGGGACTACCAGAGACTATGATAATCAGGTAGATCTTTCCTTTGTCCCGTTTCAATCTCAGGCTGGCCAATAGCAAGCGCTTATTTACCCACCAGCTTGATACCCTCAATGCATTACTGGAGCGGGAAAATAGAATCAAAGAGGGTGCTGAGAGGTTTCTTAAATTGCCTTTGAACGTATGTTCCATTACATCACCGTTTGATTGATTTACAGTGCGTTCCACAGGAGACGATGCGTTTGCAAGTGGAATCGGAGCTCGAGATGGCAACGGGCGAAATCGAGTCTCTGACAAGGAAGATCGAACTCGGTGCGTCTTCTTCGCAATTCGTATTGAAACAGCTGATACACAACGCACCAGAAACATCCCGAGGCAGGCGCAGGAAGAACGGAGTTCCTGTAAATCGACGCAAATTCGCTGGTCAGGCTCCTCCAGTCGGGGTTCGTTTCAGGGCAGACAGTGATGATAGGGACAGAGGTCTGTAAATTATTAGTTTTGACTTGTAA